CGATCGCTCTCTGATACCATCATTATTTAACCATCAAGAACGATATGCTGGCCAGATGAAAATGCTGCTCTACCACTGTGCAAAGCGCTTTCTTTTGCATAGACAAGGCATATTCCTAAGCCCTGGGTAAACTGTGATCTACGTCGCGTATCTGGAAGCCAGAGCAAATTTATGTACGACGTTGGATTCAAAGTGTCCTATGTAACAGTGACGTGGAGGTGAAACACAAACCGGCATTAGCTTTGTGTACAGTTTCTTTTGTTGTTTATTTCAGATAGCCATATTTAATGAACAAAAAATCAATCGTGTATATATGTGCATGTGTCGGTGTTTGTACTCGACATGCATTTGATATCCGCTTGATGCTTAGTTAGATTTAGCGGGTCTTGTCGCACGCAATACGTTATTGCTTAGGTCGTTTGGGTATTGCCGGAGGACGGACAGGATGTTCCTAGTTGTCGATTGTTCCGAATCGTTTAATTGTGCGTACCTCAGTAATATCGCATCAGCCATACATACTTCTGATAAACTATACGATCATCATAGCCATCAGCACGGTCAACTAGACAGAACAGACTAGCGTTAACACGATTGTCTCTGATGAATTTACGCTCCTCACTGGCTGCACAACGTACATCCGTATGCAGATCTAGTAAATGTTAGGTAAAGAATACGCATCAGATCTCGGACAAACAGTAACATGACATTACTTTCTTTGTTTATGTCTTATTAGCATGTATACATTGAATGCACAGCTGTGGGCTCCTGTGTAAGCAAAACTCACATTTGCATACATCAAGGCGAAAAACATGGTCAATTATACATCTAGCGTAAAAAAGTAATTGTTATCATTATCTTTAATATTATGTTTAGCACTATCTCCACTAGACGTCACTTATAATTATATTCGCGGCGGTAGCGCGTAATTAGAAAATTAACTTCATAATCCCAATTGGATCAGCCGCCACCTCCTGTAGATGGGCGACCGTGCTTACTCACTGCACGTTTTTCGCCTCCTTCCAATGCTCCGCGCGCCCTTCCTCGTCACCATTGCTGTTCATAAAGTTCTCCTGCTGTGCGAAACTATCCGACGAAGTCGCTCTGAAGTCACCCAGAAACTGGGCCTCAAATCATCCGTGTGGGCTGATGTAGTCCCGATTGGCGGCTACGGCGCACACAGGGCCACGCCGAAATGAAACAACGGATTCGATCCGTCAACGCTTGACTAGGTTAGACCACGGATGCAATTCTAGCGAGGAAGAAGAAAAACCAAACACAGCTTCAAAATATACCAAAGGCCATAAACACACTCCAACAGTGAGACACACATCGGAAGGGAACAAACGGAAAATTTGCCTCGTTGCCATTTTATCATGTCCCATACAGACACAACATAGGACAGTGAGAGTAGCTGCAGCGGACAATTTACCCATACGCCAGTGTGGCTTTCTACATAAATATATTTCAACGTGGCATTCTCTAGCTTCAGCTGCTCGTAGCGTAAATCCACCTTAAACCAAGCTTCGAAACAGGAAGCTTCGGAGACGACTGACGGCTTTGCCAAGAGTGGGATCAACGGCAACAACAATGGTATCAAAAGAAACAGTAGCGACGACAAAGAAAATGGTGCAATCTGACGATGGCTACCGAACATAATTACGGCGACGCCTATGGATCCATACCTGCGCACAGACAGACAGAGTGAAAGGTGTACTGAAGTGCCGTACATTTTCCTATTACGGCCACATCATATTACATACATATGTTAACGTCGAAACGGGTGTGTACGTTCGGGAGACATGTGGTCCTGCTTTGCCAATGAGCGTAAATGGCTCGATGCATAGCGTCAAGTGATTACACTTTCCAACGAAAAGTCCGGCTACCTCATGAGCCTCGGGTGGGCCTACAGCTGTGCGGCAGTGTCGGCACTTTATTTGCGCGCAAATCAATGAGATTTATTATAATCCAGAAGCATAAAATAAAATTGGCCAATGAACCATGGGTTGCTACTGGCTGATGCCTGAAGCGCTGATGGACCGCGAATCGATCCTGTATAGCAATCAAACCGCGTGGCTATGATATGTCGATAAAAATCGCCGTGTTGCTGGCGATAGATGGCTGTTGGCGCGTCCGACGTGTGAGGCAAATCTGGGTGCGAATAAACGAGCGATTATTTCTCTCTCATGTATCTCTATCGTGTATTCTTTGATCGTTCGAGTCTGACGGTTCGTCTCCGACAGGTCGACGGTGTCGTAACAATCCGCAATATGCCGTGCACCACGTGCTACTGAATACAAACACATGAACGAACACGGTGAATGGCGGTAACCAACGACGTTAAGAACAACAATAGGTTGCGCGCTGACGGTACGAAATTCGCTGATCCGGTTAGCCAGTAATCAACACGGTGCTCGCTTTATGTAGGCCACAGGAGGGGGCGGTGGCGGCGCCTTGATACGGTGGCAATCTTCTTCTTTCACTGACTTCAGTGTAATCGAAGGGGGCGTCGTCGACGTCGTGTCATCGCTATCGTCATTACCATTGCGAACGTTTTATCGAAGCAGTCGCGTTCGTAGACGATAGTGTCGACAGTAGAAAAAAACTCAAGGTGATTACTTTCCCCGACCTTTCTTTTCTGTTTTCTTCCTCGATCGCATCACAGCCATGTTCATGTCATCAACAATCGGGTACAGATCAGCCGTTGGAAAGATGTGCTACGCCGACTCTAATACGTGCAATAACAGACGAGGTGTACGCGTATCTCTATTTTCGCTAATTTATAGCATAGAGTTAACAGACAAATGGGTACGCTCTACACAAGGTTGGCCGTGCACAAGAAGGAGAGAATTAAACCTATATAGGGCAGTCTCGTAGAATTCAACGATATCAAACCACTAGGTACGCAGTACATATCAAAATAGTTAATTTTGCATAAGAAATTCTGCTTTTCTCATCAGCCTACGTGTATGTGCTTGTGGGTTCACGCGGATCAATCTGACCTAAGCTCTAGAACGCCGTACCGCTATTCATGTTCACGCCCATGTACAGTCTACGCACGAAAACAAAAATGGAGGAAATACCCGTCCGATGGCGGCGTCGGATCACTTACAGTAGCTATTTTTTACTAGATCTCACCATGCACAGGTGGAAGCACGCATGTAATGAATGGACTAAAAATCAAACAGCACTTCAAAAGTTTGTTAGCTCGCCAATTCGTGTATGAACGGAAAATCTGTCGACAGCTTTCAATGGACGCTGCTATTGCTAAGGCACGATTTAGGAAAAAGTTATTTATAGTAGCAGCATTTTAAACGGATAGTGACATTGTTGTTTTTTCCTTACAGAAGTGTATTTATTAGGCAATTACCTATCAATAGGCTTCGTCCTTCTCGTAATCTTTCATCGTAATACGGAGTTATAGTAAACAGCAGACTAACGGCCCTAGGCAGCAGCGTCAGGTGTTCGCGTCGATGCGGTGTCTCCTCCTTCCCTCAAACTTTGTAGTTATTACCGTTTTAAAGCCGCGGCTGTTTCAGTCCTCGGCCTTCGAGAACTTCCAAGAAGTGAGTTACGAAGACGCACGCAAAGACTGCCATCATCGTCGTCGTGCAAACACACACACACGCACGCATGCACCCACCTAAGTACGCCATTGACGCTAACGGAAAGCAATGTCGCTCAAGTAAAACGAGCGTATAAAATCTAATGTTTTCGGCAAATATTTTATTTCTGATAGTGTCATACTGTCACAAACGAGAGCCACGAACAGCAACAACGGCGTTTTCACAGTCGAAGTTCGTGTTTAAGATCTACCAGCTGAACATTCTGCAGCGAAAATATCAAACAAAAGCAGAGCTCCCGTAGAACAGGGTTCAAATTCTCGTCGTGTCAATTTTTAGGAGGAGAGTATTATGGTTACCTTCACAATCGTTCCCGTTTAGAACCGGGCTTGATTGTTGACTTAATGCACGAATTTTTGTTGCTCAGACTGTGTTAATCTGGCTAATATGATCCACTTATATAGTGAAGCAATTGGACGGTTTTCCGCGAAGATCTTTATCATTTCATGCCGTAACCTCACTGAAGTCGCTGCAGACTTGAACTAGTATTTTTCGCAGTGCATTATTACTGCTTATGTAATCGTTGTGTGAATGAAGAACCATGAAGCTAAAGCTATGTGTTGTTTTTTTTTAGCGTAACTGTTATTAGCATTTCAGTAATTGTTATTGCGATCGTTGACGGTATGGCTATTCAACCAGTACAGCGTTAGCAGTAATAACTCGCTCGTCCTACGGCATTTTCCTGGCAAAGACTCACGTCCTAACAGCCTACTGAAGCCCATGTTCCATAGGACTCTGTCGCGACAAAGTAGACACTCGACGAAATCACGTTTATCTCTTGCTGGATAACAAATTTTCTTCTGATTCACCAACCAAAAACCGTTTTGCTCGGGACCATGCTACGCGTCCCTGTCACGAACCCGTGTTTTTTATAAGCAGAAGTTCTAATTCACAACTGTACTCCGCTAACACAGACTGCCGGAGACTATGGCATTGCAACCAGAACGGTTTCCTTTCTAGCTATTTAATGACCCATTTTTCCCATCTACGAAACGTCCGCCTGGGCGGACACTACTAGTCAAGATTTCTCGCTCTCCTCCAGGAGCAGTTTTAAAACCATCTGATATATTTTTTGACGCGCGTATGTCTCATTTCAAAATCGATAGCTCTTTCGCTTTGTTCTTTTTGTTCTATGACTGTCCCCTCAATCTAATACCCGTCTACGGGCTTTCCGTTCTTTGTTTAAACGCATCAGCGCAGTAAGTGTCTCTATTGCACGAATGATTTTCTGCAAAAAAAAAAAGAGCCATTATAAGTAAAATCAAAGGTCATTCAAATCGAAATGTAGATTTGTAGATGACCAGGAACTCGTTCCAAATACTGTTATTACTACTATCTCTCAGTGTGAATTTTTCTCGTGCGGATCTCGCTCATACATGGTCGTTTCTTTCCGTTATTTTAGAAAGAAAAACGAGAAGACCAACATGGCCATCTTTATATATTCCATGCCACCCAGTCGTTCATTGGTGCCCTCGCAATGTTGCTTTGATCATCAGGGCGGTAGTGATGCTTCTCACTGATGCACGAGCATTTGCTCATCTCCTCTGGCTAAAATTTGAATCTGAGCTACGTTCTGTCCTGAAGTCCGCATTATAGCAGCACCACGTCGCGACGGCGACAGGAGGAGCTCCACCGACGCTGCTCCTGACCACAACAACAGCGTATTTACCACCATTTAAAACATACCCTCTTTTTTTTCTATTTCTGCTGCTACTATTGCTGTCCGATACTCCTAGTCGGCATAGCGGCTGTATATCCTTGTGCGCGCCGGTCGGATGGCTTTCTTCCGTTGCATATGTAGCCACCGCTGGTACCACAGCGCTAATGCTCGTAGCATTGCCGGTGAACTTCGGCTAGCCCTAACGTTTTTCAGCTGTTGTTTCTGCTCTTTCTGTTTCACTTAGCTTAGCCATTGGACGAATGGAGCAGGCCGATGGTACGAGGACTACTCCCTCTCGAAAAGAAAGCGGGCTCCTACGGCTTGAGCGGCATGATGCTTCTCGTCCAACGGCACCGGTTGGCATAGCAACTGTGCTATGATGGTATTTGAGGGTTGGCATGGCTCATGGAACAAGGCGATGTAGCCTACTACAACGGCTATCACTGTGCACGGACGTCACCCTCGCCATTGGCGGTGTTCGTTCCTCCTACAGCGACAATCATCATGAGTTACCATGCACGTGCAACTTCCCGCAACGATATCTCGACTGGACGTACAGCCTCGAGCGTCGTTCCAAGCCAGTGCGATTGTTTACAGTAGAAACTGTATGCAGGTCGGAAGAGGTCCTCCGTCAAAGACGCGTACCTAGGTTAGGTCGCCTTGACGGTCACAGAAGGGAAGCATGATGCTGAGCAGCGCACTCACTTCGCATTCAGGGTCGTTTGAACCGCAAGCATGAAAATGACAGAAAAAAAAAAGGCATTTTAGTAGCGGATAGCTGAAGTTATGCGGCTGCCTTCGCTATGGATCTGGCTGATGCAGTGGTGCCAATGGTGACAGTGCAATGGTGCGGCAATTTCTTCATGCGCAGACAAAACAGCGATCGCAATGGTAGCGTTAATAGAAGAGGCATAAACGACAGAATCCGGCAGCAACCGACAACGAGTGAGCGAATCAAAGCGGCACCACCATTGCCGCCATCAGCCACGAGGGAAGTAGGAATCCCCAGGCAGTGAACACCAGGGTGAACGTCCGCCGTAGGGAGGGGGGTTGTTGTGGTGTTGGAGCATCGCCAGCAGAGCACCGGCAGCATCTGTCTGTTCGCTATTGTCCATCTATTTGCCGCCCTGTACGCGTAAGGCAGCGCGAACTTCTGCAGTAGCAATAGCAGTGGTAGGAAATCGCCGTGTCGGAAGAGCGCTGCAAACACGGCAAAGAAAAATCGAGACTAGAGAAAAGGAGATACTAAAGGAGTATAGCTCGAAGAGGACCGTGTAGAGATTCAGCAAGAACACAACAATAGATAGGCGCAGTCGAATCGGTGGCACCAACGACAAGCCAGTTTCAGCCAGGGACAGTTTCATCGGTATGTTGGTTCCTTGTATAGCAATGTTATTTTCCTCGCATTCGTACCTCTAATAGTTGTAGGAGTTATAATGGCGCTTTTCCGACTATAAAATTGCCCAGGGAACTGAACGTAGTTCTTTGGGAAGTTGCAATTGGGAGTTGTGCATGACGTAGTTGCGTTTCGGCTGTGTCATTTGCCTGGTTGGTTGTGGCTGAAGCAATTTATTCGAACTTACCGTTACCTTAAGTAGTATTTCCGTAGTTGCTCTTGGGTCAGGTACGGCGATCGCGGAGACACGGCGGAGAGATTTCTAGGAACGGGGAATTCCTACGTTCGTGTCGGAACACGCAGAAAACAGTCAACGATTAGTGCTGACTACGACTATAATAATGTGGACGCAGAATGAGTAGCGATAGATAATAAGCGAATAAGGAAATACGCGTCTCGGAATCAGTTTCGTAAGCCTGTTCCGAGTGAAAACATCAGATGTTCTAACGTCAACGAGGTGCATCGAATCAATATGCCATGTTACCATCTTTGTAACTGGTTGTCTTCTAACATAATGGGTTAAAATTTCGGCGTTATTTTACCGTCCCAGTGTTACTTGGCTGAGTGACCAACCGAAGTCCCTACCAGTTATGTACATTGAATATTTCAGTTGTGTGCGACCCAATAGGTCAGTGCCGGGACATTTAGGTGGGAGGGATTCATAAAAATGGTTGCTATGATTTTAAATCGCCTAAATGAACAAGCGCCAGTTTCTTTTGAGGGAGTCACAGGCGAATGCATATATACGTCAAAATACAGTTCTCAACATGATATTAAATAAATAAAACAAAAAAATTATATATAATCTAAAAGCATTATGGGCTGTAGCAAGTGATAATTTCTATCAAGTTATATATATAAATATTCTTTTAAATAAATCTGGACTAATACTAAGGGTAGAACGAAATAGGTAATTGCGCCAAGATTAGTTCCCAAGATTTTTTCTCACTGCACGAAGGTTACAGTGCAGACCGGAAAGGCTACGACAGAACACAATAGCCCATCGTTTCCAGTTTGGTTGGTTTTTGACCCACGAAAGTGTAACTTCCATCTTCTGTGTTTACAAATCAGAGATCCGCAGACCTCTGCAACACAGACTTCGCAAGAGGTCAGTGCATCACCGCCGAACTTATCGTCCCTCTGGTAAGGCGAAGAGTAGTGATTTCTGTTGTCAACTTGGCTACGGTAACTTTAGCTATGCATAGGCATGTATTTCTTTGGCGGAGCTGCCTATACTAATGTTGTTGATTCCATCTTGCAGCAGTCTCAAGTTGATTACTTCGGCGAAAAGCGCTTCTGAGTTCGGCCCTTTGCCAGTGAAGGCCGCGAAACAAAGCGCAGAAGGAGCAAATAACAGGCAGTCGCTAGACGTACGTAATTGAAGTTGCTGGCGTGCCGCGCCGGGATCTTGGCTAGCAAAACTTCTCTCATCATAAGAAAATCAAACGTCATCAGAAAATCGCCTTTTTCATTACGAGCTTGATGCGATATAGAGACATAGCACATGTGTCCACAAGTGCTATGAAATAAGATCGACATCGCGCAGAAGGCTCACTGACAAAATGACCGGTAAATCAGAACAATGACTATACCAACTGCAAAAATATAATGCAAGAAAGAACTAGGGTATATCACGATTGCGCAAGCCATAATACCTGAAAGAAAAAAAAGCCACAGTAACAATAAACGAATCATCAAATTCGATCGAACTTTATACTTAATGGATACGCCTTTCAGCACGGAGGTTACCGAAGACACTACTCAGTGAAGCACACGTTACACTTAATGCCGGTCGATACGGCTGTCAATAGTCGCACAACGTAGCCCGATATGGAAAAGTTATCGCTGCCCTTAACCAAAACTTGGAAGTTACACAATAACGTCTGGCCGCCAGACTTCTATCAGTCGCTTTTATAATGACTGTTTCAGCTTAGTTTTTATAAATAACCAATATATTATTTAGGTATACATTAAGTGAATGAGCGTAAAGTATAAAGTGCATATTTATTTTATATCGAATTAACGATTTCGGTACGACTGAAGATCTTGCCTTTAGCACTAGTACAGCCGTGCTGCACATGTGTTCAACAGTCGTTGACTGGTTCGGACTTGCAGCTACGGAACAAGTTGTCGACGGCCCTTCTCATGCTACGTTGAAGATTCGTAGGTTAAATTCAATTTACGGTACCTGGTTCTTCTTTTTATTGTACAACGATGCGGTCCTGTTGCGGGTTAGCTTAACTAAGCTCGTTGCAGTTTCAAGCATTTCATAATCTGCTCGAAAAAGCGTTATGTATTACAGCTCACATCTAGCACAAGCTCCTTAAGCATTCCGCTTCCTGTTATCAATAATCAGATTCAATCCAAGCCCCTTACAGGAATCTTTTGCTTCAAATGTCCTCTATATTTCCCATGCGATGGCCGCGTGCTCTTCTTCTAGCACGGGCCATACACATCTGAAACAACGGTACCTCCGAAGCAAAGGACTCAACGAAAATCGAGGCGATTTCAGGCAGTTACTGCTGCTCCTGCTGAGGCCGGCCACGTCCGAAAACTTCACCTACTCGGCCGCTGTCCCCCTCCACAAACCTCCGACAGTCCTTATGCTTAGTCTTCGTCTTTACAACGACAGGTCCGTTGTACGCGCAGCATCTTCGCCCGTCTAAACAGTTAGATCAATAGAAAGACAACCCGTAATGGCAATATGTAGTAGGCATGCACAATCCACGAATCACTGGCTGGCGCTCATCGCATGGAGAATCGAGTTAAGAAAAGGCAAGCATTTCGCCGCCTGTGTTGTTTCTGTTACTGGACTGGAGACACCGATCTATACACGTATACGAATGTAAAAAGGCAGTAGGGGAGATGACTGTTGAAATTTGCCCTTTTACATATGAAGTAGCCATGTTGATACCGGCAAGCAATGCACAGTGCGCGTATGCCTTTATGACTGAACTGAAAAACAATCAGAACAGCTCGCGGCAGCTATTTTAGCGGGCAATTGACAGCGTATGGTATTAATGGCTGGTTATTTGATGCGTTCCATGCCTAAAGTCTCTCTCAATGCTTTATCAAAAGACGTATAAACATCAATTTCTTTGCTTCCAAAGGTCATTCTAAAGTTACTATTTACAGATGAATTACGTCATATTTCAACTAGCTACTCAAAAACATTTTTTCAGAAGTTTTTTTTTTCTATTTCTCTCGTATATATTTTTTGTTGCAAGTTTATAGTCGCGATGCAAAAGTATTGCTGCAACGGTTTAGCTGTGTGCGGGTAGCTAAGAAACGATCCACACAAAACAATAGCAAAAAAATGTGTGTTAATTAGACAGGTAATCACGGAACATTTCAACATAGACTCACAGGTATGCTGGGTTAGAAAAAAAAATGCAAAAGCAGACACCTCAAATAGAATTCTACATAGCCAAGCAATTGCATCACCTCAATCTACGATAAAGACGAATGCTTCGAGATGACAACGGTTACATCAGAAGCTGCCACCTTGTTATAAATTATACTGAATGAAAGCGCGCCATGGTAGAACGTTTGCATTGACCTATAACGAGTTGTTGTTTGTGCCGTTTCCGTGCTGCAGCAGCCGAGACTATTCTCGATAGAAAAATAGTGAAATTTCTGTCTCGTTTTCCGCGATAGCCCTTTTCTCCACCGTAGCTAACGGCGCGCGTTTGATCGTGATAACGTGATGAAACAGGCGGCAACAGACAACTGCACGAGCAATCGAAAATGCCGATTGCCACTACAAAGAGTCAACGAGAGCCAGCATCGATGGCCCTAAACGCATTTGCCTAGCGTCAATTACCTGGGCGGACACTGATGAGAGTAGGATTTTCTGTGGAAGAACACAGGCAATAGCCACGAGAACGACAAGCGTTTTCTGGTTAGTACCGGGCTGAGGGCTGACTTTTCCCGTTGTCTCATATCGAATTCGAGCCTATCATTTTCCCTGTATGGCTTTTTCCCACTTGATTGTAGTAGTTCGAATTTGATCAGTCGTCCCATGCGACTCCGTTGAGCCCCATATCGATGTGCGTCAAATTAAGACCCAATTAGTAGTCGCAGTCAGATCTATGATATATTTTACCGTACCCTAAATACAAGGGACTCTTATTTTTCGCTCACGTTGTTTCTATCGTCGGGCCGAGTAGAGTGACTTCCTGCTCTTGCATTTCGAAACGAATTGATCATTCTGAGCTGGAAGATGTCAAAAAATACATACAAATGGGGCATCATGCGCGTTCAAATATGCTAGTACGCAGCCCATAATTACTATGGACAAGCACACAAGTCTCTTAGCAACGGAAAATGTTGATAAACAATTTCTAGAGAAACAGTGAAAGAATAGGCGCAAGCGGTTCGCTAGCTACAGGAACCGCTGATGTGGATACCGTGTCGCTGAGAACGTCCGTTCGAGTAATCGGCGTAATAATGCAGCTATAGCATGTGAGGCGCTCGAACAGGGGTCTAAAACTGGGCGCGAACACTTCGTTTTGTGCTAGTCATAGCAGAAGCAACGCGAAAGGGCAGAAGTAGAGGTATACACTCGGAATATTTGTAGATTTGTTGGACAAATCTGAGATAGCCTCTGTTGCGAGCCTTTGAAGTAATACCAAATGAGTCGTCCAAAGACTTGTCCACATGGCATAACAGCCAGGTCGAAATCTTAAAACAATGCGAACACAGATCAATTAAAGCTTGCTAGCGTTACGTTCGTTTCTTGCATAAATTGCCTAATATTGCACACCAAAAGCAATAGCAGCGGCGACAGCTAAGAAGTTCGATGATAGATTTACCACTTACACAAGTTCGCCGTTCTCCACTGTTTTTTCCGTATAGACACACGTTCAGATGAAAAGATTGGCTTGTGCTTTTGAGACACCGAACCCATTTATAACTATCCGTAAGTACTTCGTTGATCGAATCACCCTTGACGCTAACGCGTCGGTGCAATACGCCCAACACTACAAGGTCACTGGTTGCCCACCTCTAACATGCCTCGTCTGCATCTACACACAGATATATACATTTAATCGAATCTAATTAACAAAAAGCAATTAGCAAAAGCGCCCACTTGACGTATTCGTTATTTCAGCTTGGGCATAGTATCCGTGTGTGTGTGTGTGTGCGGTGTGTGTGTGTGTGTGTGTGTGTGTGTGTGTGTGTGTGTGTGTGTGTGTGTGTGTGTGTGTGTGTGTGTGTGTGTGTGTGTGTGTGTGTGTGTGTGTGTGTGTGTGTGTGTGTGTGTGTGTGTGTGTGTGTGTGTGTGTGTGTGTGTGTGTGTGTGTGTGTGTGTGTGTGTGTGTGTGTGTGTGTGTGTGTGTGTGTGTGTGTGGTGTGTGTGTGTGTGTGTGATGAAGATCTCGAGTTCTACAGACGAACAATTTGCCCATTGAAAGATTCTGCTCTTTAAAGTTGGAGCACGAAGCCCTGCCGATTAGAAAATAGGTTGGAAACCTTCAAGTCGATACGGGTTTTCTTTCCTGTTAATTATTGTTCGTTAGTACACGTTGATGAACGCGATCAATGGCCAGCAGTTTGAAGCAGTCCTCACATAGCATCTCGTGTGCCTAACGTATGCCTGTCACAATTAATTATTATAAGTGAACGTTTTCAATTTTTAGCTGTTGATAGCACCCTTTGAATATGACCTTCTGAGCCTTTTTCTCAGTCAGTGGGTACTGTCCATCTTCACATTTCTGCACGAGTTGACTGTACACGTACTTTGGTTAGATATCACTTATATAGGGTTGAATTATACACGATTTGACGACAATAGCGGCTATATAGCATATAGTGATAGCACGAAAACGCTCGCTGATCCACTCAGTAGGTGAACAAGACAAGCAAAGAGATTCGTATAACGAGAACTACAAACTGGACTTTAGAAATGACGATTTAATAATAATTTTATTATCAATATATATTTGATAGGTGGATCTTCTGCACTTGATTCCAATAAGGGTAAGAAACTTCCCTTCTGCTTGTCGAAGTGTCAATGTCACAAACGACTTTTCGCCATATCAATAAGAAGTATAGGCCACTAAATAGTAAATAGCTGAAATGGCTTGTAACAACAATTGGCTACGACAGTCTGTATCTAGCTGCCCGCTGCCAATACGCCGTCCCCCCGCTGCATGTCAACGTCACCCCGCGGGTCCATATTTGATAATGGCACCGTGAATAAATATGCTTCCGCCGCGGCGAACACAGCGGTGTGATTTGCCTTAGCACACCTTTTGTCACCTTTCCCGACGATCGCTCCCTCACTCCGTAGTCTCGAGAGGCGTTGTAAATCAAATTACTTAATTGTATAATCTGCACCATCGAATGCAGGCACAAAGAAGCTTTATGCGGTGGTATGATTTTCTCAAAACGTGTAGCTCCATCGTCGAGACGGGGCATCGAAACAGAACTCACCTTATCGTGCGTAGTAGTACATAGTATATATGGCGTGTATACGATCTCTATCAGCGTTACGCGTATCGCTTGAAAGCTAAGTTCGAAACTCAATTAAACCACAGCAACAAATCCACTCAATAAACTAGAACACTTCTTCAGAGGTATCAGTGTATTACGCGACTCAAGATCGCCTTGGTCTTGGTCACTTGGACACTGATCGGTCTTGGTCACAGGCTACCAAAGGCCTCACAAATCAAGCCTGATCAGACAAGGCCAACAAAAATCTCTGAAACGATAAATAAACACGAAGTTCCTTCTAAATGTGGCTTTTGCATCTGACCCAAATCATTATCGAAATGGCTGCCGGCCGATTTCGCGTCGCTCTAATCAGTCGACTCAAACATTTATGCACTACGTGTTACCACCGATTACGAAATACTTTTACTCAGCAAAGGCAGTATCGACCGGAAGTTGTTATTATACACGCTGTTAACACACGGGCACCAATCGCGTTGCTCTATCTAGGAGCTATATTTTCGTTATTTTACCTCATTTGCTTTGACTTAAAGGCTTTTATTTTTATGACCATAGCACAATCGTGAAGCGATCAATAAACATTGCTGAAGCTCGTATTGTAGTAACAGATGTATCTCGATGTGTTTTCTGTGAATATTAGCCGGTTATCGTTTAAATTAGACCCTGTTACATTTATGTTTCTTTACCCGTTTTTTGACCGCAAGAGCCGATTTTTGTTAGTGAAGGTTAGGTATCGCGTCTATTCTACATATCTATGTTCTTTGCAGCACGTTCGAGGCGACTATCAACAGGTAAAATGACAGGCACTTTGCTTTAAATGCTTGTTTTAGCCTCGCTTTGTAACGACTATTACCCATAGGTCAATAGGGTATGCCTGAAGTGGACCCTCTTTTGGAGCTCGTAATAATGAAATTAGCACGGCATTATGTTCCCACACAACGATTGCTCCTCAACAATTTTTCTTCGTTGTCAAAAATAACGCCATTTCGTCAACGACGTCGATATCGCAAGCTTCCTGCTCCGTAGCTCAGCGCGAATAGAACGTATGCCGGAGGAAGTCGAAAGCAGACAAAGATTATCCGTCGTCAACAGCAGACCTGCGCGAATCATGCCGCGCGCGCGCGCGCGCGGTTGCCTTACCCGTCCAGATAATGGCTGAGTCTGGGTCTGGGAGTTCGATCCTACAGACTGTTCACAGCTGCTTGTCCAAGGAACGATTTAAGAGGTATGGAAACAGCAATGGCAGCATTAGCAGTAAGGCAAGAACATATAGGACGAAGCAGATGGCCAGGACTAACCAACCACAGTAACTAGTAGTTTACTAGTGTTTCGTAGTCGCTAGTAGACTTGTCGAATTGTTAAATGGACGTTTATGCTGAATCGCTAAATCGAAAAGGATGACCTACTTTAAGGTCGAATAGTACGGGGTAAAAGACGAGTCCTATTTTAGCTGAAATTGAGAGTACTGCCACCATGCAGCAATGCCAACACCAGCAGTAACGCAATAGGCATCAGCTCAAGTAAGCGACAGCGGCAAAAATCACAATTATAAGAGTGAGTAGAAGAAAACCGGAACGATTAGGGAAAGCATAGGAAGATTCGACCGTAGCAAGATAACGAAAACTTGTTTTTTCTTTATATGAAAAATTGATGAAAAGTCAAATGAACGTAAAATCAGCCGGCCGTATACCAATCGGACGGTGAAAATTCTCATCAGCAGGCAAGCCATTGCAAATTGTACGCTCAATCACCCCCTGCAAGAACGACGTCAATATAGCCTTCACCACATTGCCTGTCTTATACTCTATGCATTGCCGATCAGCCATCGTCTCGCCAATACGGTTTCATCTTGTATAGTCTAGTTAAAGTTCGTCTTTTACGAATCGCTAGGGAGCAAACAACGGACAGATCACTGTAAGTAGAACATGAGAGTTGCCAAAAGCCCTGAGCAGGTAGGGCGCACGCTTCGGACGATGCGGGCTTCGACAGTGTAAAGCGGCAGCAGCTATAAGAGGCCTGCCTTGACATCTGTCTTGAGCTTTTCTCTCTAAGCTTGTGGCGTTGCTCTGAGTTTTGAGCGAGATTCCCTAGAGACCTTTGCTTTCTAACAAACATCGCTACGATCTGAGGCAGCTCTTTTCAGGTTTGCTGGTGCGTCTATTATCGGATGTAAGCTAAAACGTAAGTGCTGGGTCAACCGATAAGAATTTGGCTAAATCAGCATTTTGGAAAGTAACTTGGCTTGGAGAGTAATACCTCTCATCACTTAAAACTATTTTGGATTAGCATCCATTCAAGTTTTCGGAGAGTCACACCGGCTAGTTAGATTACGTGTATGTAGTAAACAGTAACTGCTGTATGCGCATATTTCGCACGTGTATAAACTGCTCTTATACGTTTATAGCGAAGGTTTAGTTACAACTATATTACGTATACTCCGTATAAATTTGAGGCTCAAATACAAGCTATTTACTCGCGCCAACAAGTGGCAATACTTCTGCTTCTAACTGAAGAAGTCAATTATGTTTGCATTTTCTGTTCGACTGATTCAAACTAATCCAAATGATAACCGCCGATCCGTGCTCGACTGATGGATTAGTCTCCGACAATTTTGCGATATTCACTCGGCGAGTCACCATCACAGACCATCTGAGTTAAACGCAACCAAGAACCTTTCATAACTGCTTTCCAGCATGTTCTAAAAACTAGCGTAACAACTCTTCGACAGTGATCTTGCCTCGGCGAAGAAAGTATTTCTACTTCGCGCATAGAAAACTAAGTGTCGTTGAATACACTACATAACAGGACACTCTTGGTCTTCTTTCCGCTCGTCTGTAGATATACAGATGCCTCTTGACAACGGTGTGCGCGTTATACCCCCAATATGGCTAACTAGTTTTTACCTTGGTTTCCTGTCATCGGTGCTGTTTTCCGTGATCATGTGCGCGGCCACAGAGTATCCAAAGTAGGAGCCAGTTTGCCCTTCGTAAATGACAGGCAGCCGTGGCTCGAGGTTAAAGCCCGCACTGTCCCGAGGCACTAACAAAATACCGGCTAGGGCAAGAGTCACCAATTTTTGCCAACACATGTTTTACGAACTAGTAGATGCGCACTTTGTCGAACACTTGTCTACTGTTATCACTGCTCCTATTATAAAATGTTTTTTCCTTTCGATTTCTGCTCCGGCCTTCGTAGCCTGTCGTCGTCGCCGTCACACTCCCGAAAATTGCGATCACTAACTTTTCTCTTCACTTCCCTCTACTTATACCGATTAATACTAACCATTTATCAGTAGAATAGCAATAAACATTGACACTTCCATTCAGACAGCACGAGGTACCTACACATTAGTACTGCGCGGTTACTCTATCGATGCTTAGCCCGCTCTTGGGCCAGTCTCCCTAGTAGTGGGACCGACCCGACAACTTTCACCGAGCAACTTTTTACTCACGCGAATATTTCGACGGGCCGTTTATGGCAATTCACATACGTTAATGCAAGAAACCCAAGCTGCCGACTACGGTGTTTATAACAAGACGTCAGCAGCTTTGCAGCGACAGCGGCAACATGTTACTGGCCTGAGAATATGACAATATCGATGTTCACTCTTTTGCGTTCTAAGTGGTTCTGACTCTTCGTCTTACGCGCCCGGAGAGATGACACTCGTCGAGAGGTACCATCTCCGATGGTCCTGGTGGCGCTACGGTCGCTGGTCGGTCGATCTGCGGCGGCCGCGGCTGATGTGCCCACTGGGTGAGCACCCGTGCCACTCGCAGACATCATTCCGAGATGTTTTGATTCGACAGCGCCCCCTGGTGGTGTTCGAATTGAGCGGCTGGTTGACGGACGGACTGAGGACGGCTGTAGGTGATGTTTTATTGATTTTTTTGCAAGAAAAATGATAATTAGCTAAAATAAAATGTCTTTCCAGATGGAAAAAGTATTTGACTGTTACTATGATTCGTGCAATGTGCTTACACAAGGATATTCGTTGTTGATAATAAAGTTACCTCGCAGTTTTAGAGAGTTAAAACCGGTAAAGCTCTCTTCATGTCCCAGCATGTTCCACTTCTGAATACAGGTGGTAATATGTAAACTATGCATTTCCTGTGTGAGGTTTAATGAAAACATGTTACGAGAAGGTGGTGAACAGGGGGCCAGATTATATGAGGAAAAGGAAAGTGACTATGAAAAACACTCACAAGTCTAACTTTGGGGTAGTAATGTCTTCTATCACTGCCAAGCTCAACTGTAGCGGCGTGGGTGGTAGTGGTGGGTGAATTGTTAATCAAAACTTTCCATTGTACTTAATGCTGTGAGGAGGTGCTGTGTGGTGGAGAACCGTGACGCTATGGAGGCAGGGGAGTGGTCAGCTACCGATATCGCCTTGAAGACCGACACGGCCACGGTTCTCGAATGTCTTCAGCGGTCAATGGCAGACGATGATGACGAAGACTTCAAGCTGCCAAGTAATAGCCTCAGCAGTTACTCAAATCACTTGTCGAGGTAGGAAAACTTTTGCAGGACCTAAATGCACTGTTGAATTAATATTCATGTTCAATGCGAAAATTTATTCAGGGCAATATCGGTGTATGCACCGTATGTGATGAACGGCTTAACAACATACATGAAAACTATGCGTTTAATGTCCATATGTACGGTGTACTTATAAAGCAGTACAGTTTGTGCTTTATAAGTAGTCTAAGAATGATATCATTAATGTTATTTATTGCTACCTAAACATTTCTAGGTAGCTACCCATTTTGAATAAATGTTACAAACCTACCGTGGCGATGCCGGTGTAAGGTATAATAGCCGAATATGTAAATCTGATGAAACATTATATTATTTCGCATTATATATGGCTTCGTTTTTTTTGTTACCCTGCGAATCCGTTATCTATAATGGCTAGATGGATAGATACTGTTATTTTATTTGAAAATGTAGAGGCGCTAGGCAGGAGAAGCATGGTACACCGAAATTTCAAAGCCATTATGTCAATAACTGTTTTCAAACGCAAAAAACAAATTGCGAAGGTAAATGTTTCGAATTAACGTAAAAGGCACATACGTAAAGTGTTTGTAATTCCGCAATAATGCAGATAGCTGTACTGTGAAGCCAAATGGATGAGCTACGAAACATATAGAACATATACATAAAAGGGAAAAAAATCAATACCTTGTTGTTTTATTCTAAATAGATATTCGACGTCCTAATTATGAGGTCAACGTTATTTGTAGTTACACGCACACATCGAGATGGGTGTTTAACAAAGCAAAAGCAGCGTTGTTTTTGTAATTGAAAATTGTACCTGATCAAATATTAAGATCACTATTTCAAAAAGCTGCTTGCTGACAAAAAGCTAACTTCAAAAAGCTGCTTGCTGACAAAAAGCTAACTTCAAAAAGCTGCTTGCTGACAAAAAGCTAACTTCAAAAAGCTGCTTGCTGACAAAAAGCTAACTTCAAAAAGCTGCTTGCTGACAAAAAGCTAACTTCAAAAAGCTGCTTGCTGACAAAAAGCTAACTTCAAAAAGCTGCTTGCTGACAAAAAGCTAACTGCTATCATTTAAGCGTAGCCCGAAAAATTACATATTAATTAAAAAATTCATCGGACAAGAGCTATTTGTCTGGAGCACGCCTTCCACGACCGTACCAACACGTACACATTTTCACACAGAGGTAAGGATACCCGAAAAGAGGACCTATTGCATATCATATTAATCTAACAGTATTTGGGTTTATTTCAAAGAGAGAGTTTAATACAGGCTTTGTTCATACCTTCATTTTCTTATAGTTTGATATTGCGGGTAGAATAAGTGGTACGAGTACCCGAATTTGCTTTGCTTTTACAAAAAGTCACATACGAAATTTACTCCAAAGGTTGTGCGTATTTCTTATACTTTAAACAAAAAACTCAGAGCCAAGTAGAAAGGTCTCCGGTGCTAAGCAGGATTTTGTACAATGCACTGAATCTAACCCTTGTCACTGTAGTGTGATATGATAATCCTTTCAGACACTATGAACAAAAGATAGATTGGGTGAGATTGTATGAGTCACCGCACAAACATGTTGAGACCTCATCGAATTTAGTTGTCCAGATTGCGATGTTCTAGCGCATTTACATCGCTATAATCTTACATAGAGTCGAACCATCTATGGTTTTTCCGATTCTGTACGCATCATTATCATTGAGTACATATTGTTTCATTCAAATTTCTTTCTTCATGCGGTTTAGTAATCGGTGGCGAAGAAACTTTGGTTCTTACTTGGGTTAACCAATAGCATTCGTCGTCGTCAGTTCGGAACAATATTTTTATTGAGGCTTTTTCTCACATCGATCCCTGCAGCAGCTTCCAGTCAGAATATTGTTAGATTATCAAAGGGGTAAGATATTTTACCTGTTTATTACAATCAGCAGATTCACCTTTATCTTTCACATGACAATTATAAAATTGCACAGTAGCTTAGCTTTCTGTTTTATGCAATAGAAGTATCTCTTAAGGCTTGTTGATTCGCCTCGTTTTTTCTCAAGATTTGTCGATGGCTCATATACCACTCGCACAACAGGTGAGCTCAGCGAACCTGAGGATAACGCCATCTCCTTATTTACCTTGCCTATACCGAAGAGAAGGTTCAAACCAGCAATAGTACGCACTTAGTTTGGTTGGATAATCCCAGTTGTGGAACCTCATGGATTAACTAGATAGGAAGTTTTCTTTTGTTGATGCAACTTTGTTGAAGCTTGAGCTATGAACGTCCCTCATCTCATTCAAGTGGGACGTTTTAAGGCGTTATGGCCCCTACTACTACACTTCACACTGTAAAACAAGGGTTTGAACAACAAGCGTGTCGTTGTGTTCGAAAACAACATATTATAGTTATGTTAATTTGGTAATTGATTTCGTGCGGTAATTTTATTTGAAATCGACAATAATAATAGTTCACTGCATACCTTTTTGTTAAAAACGACCTTCAGGGATTTTTGCTTAACATGACAATTTATATTGGATACGATTGCACAACGCAATACTTTCCATAATCAGATTTGAATTCCGCGGTATGCAACTCAAATGGTACGTGAGCCATTATTGTTGTCCACGGCTGCCACCTGCAAGAAAGATGGCAAGACAGCTCGTTCCGTCAGCGTTTTGGTCAGGGCGCTGCGACCAAATTAAAATTAAATATTACTTGAAAGTGACGGCTCTTTTATCATATACCGATTTAAAGGCTTTTCATTTTAAGGCTTCATTTAGTGGAGTGTTATATGTGTTGTGATTACTTTGATCGTAGCAAGAACCTCAGACAAATGAATAGGATTCAAATTAGCATGTTAAATAGGCAACTAATCGACTGTCATACAATATCGTTATCCTCAATTCTACAGATTGATTTCCATCGCACTGCAAGTCGTATCGTATAAGCCGATTCTAACTACATCGCGGATTATTTGAACCTTTATATTGTTATGATAGGGCCGCACGTTGTTTCTTATAGTCATAGTCATACGTGCCACTTGTCCTGTTCAGCTGTCTTCAGCGCTTCATACCAAAAACAGATATATAATCAGACATTCGGATAATAAGTTGAAGATGTAGAACAGTGAATAAAAAGAAAAAAAAAACATTCGTCGTTTTATAATTTGCCGTATGCTAGTTTTGGTTAGGTCGCTCCGTGATATGAATTTCCGCTACATACAAGACTCCTATAAGAAAACTTGATTGTGCTAGAAACAACTTCGAATAATCTTGTATACATATATAAACGGAGTTGGCATGCCGTCATGTAAATATTTATTGTAGCATACGCTAATAAGGATATTCCAACGCGGCCAACGTTCACTTAGTCGTCTTCCAGTCACGGTACGGCATTTGCTACGCCGTAAAATAGTAGTGAATGGCACTATATATCGTGTTGGCGTCTGCTGGCACGCCATTGAAGACATGTATGGCCATAAGCGTCATCGCCGCGTACGGAGAATGTACAGAGCCAAAGATGGTGGTAAGAGTGAATAATATTGTCGGTGGCGAAGTTCGGCAATGGTTGACGCGGTTTCGTTGATGACATAGCAGGCTGTTGGTGACCGCCTGGTGCAGGCGGGACCATATAGTTCTGCGTGGTCGGAGTCATTCCATATTGGTCGACTTAGCGTCTGCGGGATTTTCTGTGGCAACAGCGGGCGTCTAGAGACGCCGTAGTAGCTAGTGGTACGGCTGTTTACTGTCGATGGCAGCAAAAAGCGCGATCGTCTGTGACAGCGATGACGGGGCAGACTGAATTATCTGTGTTTGATATCGTGCATATAATAGTGAGTTCACACGGTAAGGTCCAGCCAAGCCCAAAGCCATTAGCAGTGACGGCGAACGCCATCTTTGGAGTCATGGCGACAATGTTGTTTGTACATCGCATTTGTACTAACCGCCGTTTAGTCCGCACCTATGATGAGGATTAGGTGAAAGGTGTACCAAGTTGCTACCAGGTATTGTTTATCGAAACTTGTCTGATTCGGTGTTTGCATTTCGGTGACACGGGGTGGTCATTCTAAGGGAAATGATGGGAGGCTGAGAGCATAGGTATGAAGAAAAGTCCATTTGATCTGTCGTCTCCATTTTACAACTGTCTGATATAAGCTGTGTACCTGGAAATGGCGGGATTAATCATTCTGGTCAGCTGGCTGCTGTTTAGAGTAGTCAAGTAACGAATTAATATTTACGTTTTCGTTATCCACGACACACGTCAGGAGTAAATAAATGGAAGACAACAGTAGGTTCTTGGAAAGAACGTCAACTCATTTAAATCATGAGCATATGTGAGTAGACGATGGCGTGTTGCTCATTCGATTATGATATTAGTATCTTTTGTTTAGTTGTTAGCTGTAATCGAATTTACTGTTGGTCAGCTAACTTTTACAGTGGGATAGGATGCAGACATTTTGAAAGTGTTGGTCGGCAATTTAAAGTATTGAAGACATGAAGCAATATATTGGACCAACATGTTGGAACATGATTAATTTAACAAGAACCCTTATAACTCTTCTGAACTATAACTCTACAGAACAGTACGACAAGTCGATTTTTGTGAAGCGTGATACACTATTGATAGTTGGCTGTAATTGAAAAACCAGTAAGCAAATAAATCTCACTGCCTCTGTTTCAACGTAGAATTGCTTGAGTTTTATTTTATTAGCACATGGGTTCTTAGCATATGTTAATAGTCTTACCTTTCTAGCTGCTCGTGACAAAATATAAAAAATTCAAATATAAAAACAAAAATTATTTCACAATAAAGGTCTACGGCAGCTTTCCCGACGGTTCATACACCTTATCTTTGCTAAGTTTATCGTTGTTCGACTAATGGTGAATGTACTCTGTACAAAGGTCTTACAATCGATTGCTATTTATCTTGTTTCAGAGAATTATTATCAAGCCTTCCACCGGTGTCCGAACTTAAAGCGGACCTGTCACCATATTATTCCGAACGTACACGCGAAGTTCGTCGCTCGACGGAAGGTCCTGGGAATATAGATCTGAAGGCAGATACGGGATACAGGGTCACAACTGTACCAGATCATTATGTTTCATCGACAAATACAGCCGCCGTTTCGGCTTACGATCAGCAACAAGCAGCACAGGCTGCTGATGCAACGGCTGCTCAGTTTCCAGCTGGGTCGGATTTTACGACGCTTACCAATGGTACAACAGGCGCAACACTTCTATGATTCCTGAATGTTTCAAGTTCAAGAAATATAGTAACAGATGATTTAGCAGCGCTTTAATTTTAGAACTAGAATAGAAGTTAAATTGAACGTAGCTTCTATGAAAGTATAAAAAATAATTGTTGTGGTTTATATGTGACCACCTTGGTGCCAAAAAGCCGCAGATCTTCAATCCAGTCTCATTTCAAAATAAAATTATATATTTATTATTATTATTGTTGTAATTAGTATTTTGTTATTTTTATATGAAAGAAATAATTTAGCTTAATCTTATAATAGAAATTTACGTGAACTTCTTGCAGCCTCCAGCAGTCAAGCTTCAGTACAGGTGACAAGTGGCCAGAACACGATTCAACAATATCAAAAGGTCAGCAGCACAATTTGTATTAACGATAAAACGACAAGTGGTGACGTTCAAGACTACAATCAGAGTCAGCACCGTCAGTCGTACCAACAGTATAGTCACCAATATAGTTATCAGCCTCATCAAAATCAAGGTCATTTTCAGAGCTATTACTACTCTGAACTACTGGTTCCTCCTCCGCCATCGTACACGTCGGCTCCTTACCTTGCCGCTGGCACCGGGGATGCCACTTACCATCAGGACTCGTATAGTCCGCAGTCCGGAAGGCAGTCGACATCATGTATTCCTTCGGACCTTCAGCAGGTAACCCCTACGATCCAGGAACTTGGCACTCCTATACCAAATGTACCACCTCCAATAACACCGGTACCGCAAGTGGCTGACGCCACCGTTCCTACGACGCCCCTACAGTCGTGTCCTGCAACAGGATCAGGGGTCTTCTACAGTAGTATCGGAACAGGTGGTGTAGGGACCTCTCCCGCAACGACCCTTCAAGATATTGGTGGATGTACACGGAATAGTAACGGTGGCGCTGTTGTTCGCACCGCTGGTAGAGTACATGAGAGCTCTCATACTGGATATCATGGGAGCCAAGTATCCGCACCAAATGATTATGGTGATACCCCACAAGCGTCGGAAGCTTCAGCGGGGTTTAGTGGAACCCCACAGAGGACTGGAATGGTCTCCGTTTCAGCTACGTATGAGGCGCAATTTAATCATATAGGTTACCCGAACGAAAACGTTGCCACCCAACAGGCCAACCATAGTGGGATGAATGCATATACTAACAACAGCAATAACATTAGCACTGATACTACCAATAATGCGTACTCTTCAAGTAATCATTATGGCCATTATATTAGTAATCAACACGTAGGTGAGTACCATGGGGTACAGCCGCAACAGTGCATTGCGTCAGCGACTAGTCACCAGGGTTTGGGGTGCATTTCGCAGATGAAGCCCACTGAAACGGTCACTGACTACCAAGGTAATGCTAATAGTAGTTACCAGCATAGTCAAGATGGAGAAAATCATCAGATCCACCGAGACCATCAAAACCAAAATCATCAAGACGCTCTCTATCATCAAGGACACCTCAAATCGAAATCGTCCAAATCTGCACAGCAGCCAATTACTACTACGACACCAGCAGCGGGTTATAATCACCACTATCTTCAGCCTCCTGCCTCGCCCTTTCGTCAGACACATCATCAAACCATTTCAACGAATGATCAAATTGATTACCATAACAACAGTCAGATACAACCACAACAACATCAGGATCATGTGCAGCAGAACGCAGTCTCTTACCACAATCTCCATAAACCAGCTACTAGTGAACTATCTAAGGCGTCAACTGCGACTCCCTTTTCATCATCTTCTTCCACCTATTTCCAGCAGTACCATTATACAGTGGGGTATCACGGCCATTCTGAACAGCCAACTAATGGCATATACCAGGATGGGGTACCGTATCCCGCTGGACAGCTTCACCAGGACCTTTCCGGAATTCAGACACATCAGCAGACCCAGCAGGAGTTGTCACAGCAGCCACGACAGCCGTTAGCCGGATCCACTCAAACGCTCTCTGGGAGCAGCGCTGCACAAATGTTCCACGACGCGCTTGAATACATTGCACCGGAGGTGATCAGCGAAAATAAAGACAGTCTCTTCAATCCGATTGCAGCACTGACAGATACGTTGTTAGAGAATAATTTCGATATGACCTTTCCAGCCGACTATCAGGAAACTTGTGATACGATTATTCATGGCACATCGATACAGCAATGCACAGAAACTGCCGTAAAGCTTCCGGATCAGCTAGCACGAAAGGAAACCAAAAATCGAAATCGTAAGAAGAAAAAAGAAAACAACCTCCTTGAGGTTATAAAGGTATACCGATGCAATGTGTGCGGTTTCAGGAGCAGCGATAAACTTAAGGTGAGCTTAGACAACGGTTTATACAGAAAAAAAAACGTCATACATATGATAATGATTATGGATTGCAGCTATGTGATGATCGATTGACGTCCAAACAGTGGGTGCATTGGCCTCGTGTATAAATAATACGGTATATAAATTGTTGTTAAAACAATAATGGACATACTCAGGAAATTGAGAAAACTAGCTACTAATGAGATATGAGCCCCTTATTTTATTTGAGAACGTGACATAAACAAATTTGTCACAAGTTGTGCTAAGCTGGCGCTAAACATTCAAATGGCTAAAAATCGCAAATATTTTTATTACAATTTAGCGGTATTGCTCTTGGTAAATACTGTAATCGATACTATGATATATACATATGCATGCGCCGTGCAGTTATTGGGCGTGCGAATTCTATTTGACTTCAATGCAATTATACCATAGTACGCCAATCGCCTTAAGGATTTTCAGGTTATCTCTGAGCTTTCTTTAGAGATGACTTCCCGACAAGTATTACTAACGCTCAATATGTGACTGGGTTCTGTTCCGTACTATGATGTTGTTTCTAACGAGAGATAGTCGTAGTGACTTTTGAGCCCGCATCTGATTTGTAAGTAGTTCTTAGTGGCTGTTCCGGCTAGCTACTGTTGGCATTGTCCAATGGCACTAATGCTGACTGCAAAGAAACGGAGTCACAGCGGCACCTTTATCTCTGTGTGGTCCCCTCTGTTTGTCTATCTGAGCCATAGGTCGAAAGCAGCTTACGACCGAACTCAATACGCAGTCTCTGTCGCAGGCTATATAATAATTGTGTAGGTCGTACCAGTTGTTATAAACTTGTTACTCGTTATTATGTCGAAAGCTTTTGAAGGACAAAACACAAGCTCTGTCTGACGTTAGTCAAACACCATATTATACTAAAATGCAACACCGGGTGGCTTATCCTTCAGTAGCTAATATAGTAGCATGATATTAGCAGAATTCTCCTTTCAAATGATGACTGCCAGCTTATTAGTGGTCTTGCGTGCGAGCATCCCTGCTGTGCGTATTATTGACTATCCCATGATGTTTGTTTTGAGCGAATATAAGCACACTTCATAGCAGATTTGTATAAACAGCTCGATCATAAGCAATATTTTGTAGGGTGTGGGTGTGAACTCTTATATGCTGTTGAATTTTGCTTGGAAAAGCTGGCAACGACAAGTTTTGTTAGGCGCTTTAGCGTTCTCAGTTGTCGACTCATTGCCTTTTCAGGTTTCCTTTTTAGTTCACTTCTACCTTCATTTCCTAATGAGGTGTTCCTACAGTTGTAACTGAACTATCATCCTCTTCATTTTCTTGTTTTTAATACTTCATATGACACTGGTCGCCCGTAATTATTAGTAGTCAAATGTCATAAGATTTTTCTTTTTGCAACGCAATTTTGTTGGGATGCCTCTGCTTGGGCAAGCAAAACCATATTAAGCGTTTCGGTGCTTCAGTGGTTCATCTTCTTGAGCTGTGCAAAAGATTGATCTAGAAAAATGTGCCCTTTTCGCTATAAACCTATGGCACCTGTGGGCTTTCTGATAGCGTTAAGACAAAGTCTGATTCCATTCATGTTGGAGTGCGAACAATAGGTGTGTCCAGAGGCTCAGTAATACTATGAAAAATGCTGCTAGTTTCTCGAAGTAATGGTTTATCTCACAAATATAGCGGGTTTCGAGTGTGTTAGTAGTTCCCTGCGTTTGGATTACTAAAACTCACTTTGTAGCTGGAGGTTTCAATGATAAACTAACAACCATAATTTGGTACAGTTTTACATTGTGCAGTTTTAAATATTTCAGTGTCTCCCTAACGTGTAATACCATAGCCAAATACATTTTACTTTAAACTTAACACATATAGGCACAACTGGACCAGTTACATCTTCTTAACCTCTTGACAGGCACTTCGGCACACAATTGAATCGCACAGTCGGCCAAAACTCAACCGCCAGGCAAGGTTCGCCTGTGGGGCTTGTCATCTGCACTTTGCGACCTTAGATACGTGCTGCGAACACGTTGGAGAGAAGCACCCAGGAATGGCCACCGCCGTTTTAAAGGAAGGTAAACTTTATAAACAGGTGTTGATTCAGCCAGAAAAGCGAGTCGCAAAAGTGACTATTGGCTCAGGAACAACAGGTGGTCACTCAAAAACTGTTTGCGCTGAATCCGAGGTACAAGCCCATAAAATAGCGTGGAAACGGAAGATGGATCGGGAACAAGGGCAATATACGTAAGTACGGATTGATGGCACAGGCATTTATTGACTAAGTATGACAGTCAGCAGAGAACGCTGTGTTGGAAGTGCAAAGTCATTGAATGTATATAGTATCAAGTGTTTTTTTATACATGTTTGCTCTAAAAAAAGCTGTGTGAATATTATCGTAAAAATGACCACACAGCAGAACCTCCTTTTCTTCTACTGCAAGCTGGGATAATATTCTAGTGGTTAAAAGTATCTAAATATTGAAGATATACAACAATATATTTACTTCATACTAAGAATAAAGGTAAATGTGGGTGTCGCTTATGTTCGTTCTGTAGCGGGAAGGCTATTGAGTATAATATCCTTCTAGGACAGTGAACCATATAAAAAGTCGATCGACTTACTTAGACAAAAGTGAATAAGAAAAATGTGTGTGTGCCTATCTGCGAGCTTCCTTTTTGTCGCATACAAATGATACAACTGTTTGGTGATCTTTTGGTCGCGTTGCAGTTGTGAACTCAAAGGGTGCAGCATACGCTTCCGCCTAGAGGAAAGTCATCGCCATCATCTGCGCTGCCATCTACCACACCCGTCAAAATTGGAACGATTCCGATGTCCCATAGAAAAGTGTGGCCTTGGTTGCAAACGCTGGTCGACCATGGCAAATCATCTATGGAATTCGCACCGAATCGATCTTGAGCTTCAAGCTTGCAATCGTTGCGATTTTCGGTTCGTACTTATCCATACTGCAACGTAATACTGACTAACACAGCTGTTTTTTTTTTATGAATTTCATTGCTTGTAACGCAAAATTATTCGACCTTCCACAGATCTTAAAGGCTCTGCCAACTTATAATGCTTACCTATGTTCTGCAAAATGTTTAGGACCTACAGTTTGGCGAATCTAGAGAAAGTCCACAAACTTGTTCACGGCGAGGAGAAACAGTTTCCTTGTGAGCAGTGCCAATCACGATTCCGCACAATCAAACAATTGAAAAACCATCGATACATGCAGCATTCGCGAAAAGCCAAGAAGACTAAAACAGTTGCATGTCCACACTGTCGGCAGGAGCTACTCAAAAAGAACCTCTTCGCCCATATCCGTCAGGTTCACGAGGGTCGACTGACGGAAAGAAATTGCCCACAGTGTGACTTCAAAACTACAAGTCTAGCCGAACTTAAATCACATCTTAGGTACGTATTCGTCACATAAAAGTCATGTATTTTGACCTGCTTCCCTTAAGTGGAAAAAGAAGAATTTGAAAAAGTGACCAGCAGATACAGTCTTCGAATTAGAGTTCTAAACATGTTTCTGAAGTTTTTGCATCTACCATTTCCTTCTGTGATTTTTCCCGTTCGCAATTTTGCAGTACTGTCCACCTCAACGAATCGGGCGCTCACTGTTGTCATCAATGCGGCTTTTTAACGTACGATCACAACGTGTACAGGAAGCATGCTTTAAAACATTCGGCCGACAAACCGTACAAATGCGCCTATTGTTCCTACGCTTCGATACAGGCGACAACGTACAAGGCGCATCTACGCAAAAACCATCCAGAGAGAGCACAAGAATTAATTGCACGATGTCCGCATTGTCCCTTCGAGAGCATCAGCTCGAGTCGGCTTCAGCAGCACGTAAACAAAAAACACAATGGAAGCAATAATCTTACGACTATCATTAGCAACAACAGTGGCAATCTTAATAATACTAGCACTAGTGTAGTTACGCCTGTGTCGGTTGCTCATTTTTAAAAGAAAAGGCCAGTGACTTCTTTTCGTATGTCAGGATGGCTTGCTCTGACCATCTTAGCTTAAGGCGAATCTTTTCTCCCTCTACTATATAAGAGATGTATATAGTTATGTATAAATCAGCGTGAATTGTTCCCTTTTTAAGATCACTTCACAAGGTTAGCGACTAAAGCGAGAAAGACTAGAATTAAAGTATACAAGCGAACTCCTCGTTTCTTTGAAAGTTAGTGAACTATCTATCTTATTTCAGATATTTTCTCGGAGCCCATCGAATTTTCAACTTCACAACTAAAAACTTCGATCTTTACGAGGTAATCCAAACCCATCTATTTAAATTGGCTCAATCGTGACTCGTAAAAAAAACAAGTTCGTTTGTAATAAAGTGTCTCTTAAGCCAAGGACCATAAATGTCACCAAAAATAGCACTACCTATAACCACTGTGTAAGTTGACCACTAAATTCTTCCTTAACCACTTCTGTCTCTAATATTCAACATCAATGTTTTAGATGTTTACGGTATTTTTCCTGTATCATTAACTGGGGTCTGGTCAGTCATTTGATAGCCTTGTACATATATGATATATAGAAATATATACGCGCGAACTGACGTAAGTAAAAATTTAGCATTTAGTCGTCTTACACGTGCACAAGAAGATGCATCTATGCGCGGCGCCTGACAGAACATTGTAATACTAATGATTTCTGAGTATATATATATTCCAAACACATGCGTGAGCTTAGAGAAATAGCAGGTGGATTAAAAGGTGCAAACGCGCCTTTCGTAGCAATGGATAAATATCCGTTATCGGATCAGGTCCAATAAAAAGACGTTTTTAATCTAGTCTTGTATGATGAGGCGTGCAATCGTATTCTTAATGATTACCAACATCTTTGTATACATATTGTACAAAAATCTCTGTATACATATTGTACATAATTTTCCTGTTACCAAATGAGCAAAGAGTTATGGTGTTGCAGAGTTTAACAAAGCTAACAATAATATGAGACATTTCAGCATGTCCTGAGATTTTTTCTGCCAATATTTCGATAAAAATTGCCTGCTTCATTGAATAGAATCCTCCTGATGTAGTCGGAGGAACTCTATCTATCTTTCACCAAACCGTAACTTTTGTTTGTATAACTATTATGATGATCTATGAATAAAATCACTTTACTTTCTATTCTAATGATGTAATATCAGTTATATAATAAAGGTTTAATATGGGGTGTTACATTTCGAAAATGGTGAGTTTTATGGGAAAAAAAAGTGCGAGAACGTAATTCACCTTCAATCTCCTTGTTGTCACCGACGATCTACATGTAAGTGCTCTCGTTATCGATGTCCTGACATGGAATTCTTTTCTTTATTAAAACTCGTCGAATAATTTAAAAAAAAACACTCATGCATCGCCAGATAATTCTTGGTTATGAAATTCCTTCTCTCATTGAGAAAAATGGTACCTTCTAGAAATAATCTAAGCACTAGTAGCCACACTTTGAACTCGCCAGCAAACCACCAAATGTTGTCATTCTTTTCTTTTTCATAAATCCTATACTCTCGAGATATGCTAAATGAGGAAATCCCATTTTATAAACATACCTTACAATAGCATACGATCAACAGCGCTAGTCGTGAATGAATCTCCACCATTTTCAAATTTTCAGTGCAAATTCTCAGTATCAGCGCATTTCCAGGTTAACTTGCAAATCGTGAATGTCATTATACCATTTCTCTATAACAAGTTTCGAATTCGCACCCCCTTTAAAATACACAATAAGCAAATTGATTAGATACTGGGTCCGATAAACTTTCTTCCAGTTAGAGAACAAGCCCGAATTTCGTATCAAATTCAATTTATTTTGGATATATACAGGAGCATAGGATTAAATCATTATATATGATACAAATTTTACAAGCCATTTACATCTTCATACAGAAGTCAACGGATACCGAGTGTAACTCGAAGTATTTTATGATGAATTTTTGCAAGAAGTGTTTGTAAGAAATCAAATAGCCTATATTAATGACTCGTTTATGCAAATACATATTTAACTACTCGGCATAGTGGAACCGGATTGCCCCACACTATCAAGATTCTCTAAAGTTTTGTACAGTTGCATATATCATCGTTAGTCCAGATAGAACGTATTCTACTCACAATGCAACTAATTAAATAAATTAATAAAATATTAACAATGTAGAAACAGTATTTAAGTGCACCGTTATGGCACTGAGGCTTATCACAGGTGCTGGACGTGTTTACCTATTGCATGATATTAAGGTATTTCTCAGCAATCATCCGGGCTGCGTTTCGGTCCTCTGCGGCACATCTTGCATTAAATAGAATTTCTTGTAATTCGTAGTCATTGACCTTTAAAGAAAACTGCTGTAGTCTCCGAAGCTCAAGGAGAGCTCCCTGATACGACGAAATTGCTGGAGACAACGCCAAAGGATCCTCGTTATGGCCCACGCCGAAGAGGTTCCCTGTAACAGGTTATAATCTTTCACCGTTTATTTCTAAAGGAATGCTTAAATCGCAAAAACAATTCGGGGGCTTGCTTTTTAACCATTTGAATCTGTGGCAGAAAATGACGCAGCTCTCAATAGTAATTTTCGACTTGTGCTTTTTTTACGGTTGCTTGTCTAAATAGTTCATTCTCGTTGCATACTCACCATATTCATCAGTCAAGCTGCTTGAAGCAGTATAGCCTCCATAATTGAGGTGGTGTGCCGTGCTTGTTTCGACGTAACCCCCTTGTTCGACTGCCCTCTCCAGCTCTACGTAATCTCTTGCTAGCTCTGAGCCACAGTCACCTGAATAAACTCCCACTAGGCGCTGCAGTTCGCGAAGTTCTTCAGCAATGTCAGTTTCAGTTCGATTTAGGTTATCAAATGAGTTCTGTTGAGTAGCACGGTAGAATGTTGTTATTGATACGTATATGTTACGCCTGTACTTATTCATTACAACTTATTTATTACAAATTAGTGACGCACCAATATGGAACGTACGTATGAGCAGACGTTTCTCATTTTACTGCGGTTTTGGTTAGGCTATTATGTTGTATTATTAATGCTCCATTCAGTCGGCGCGGTCTGGGTGATTAATGCGCGTCTTTTTAAATACATAGCCATAACAGCCATAAATAAGTAAGCATGCGGCAATTGTTGGTCCAAATATTAGCCTCACCAAAAAAAAAGCAAGAAAATTGTAAATAGCAGGAATAATAAGTACCGTAGTATGATACAAAGGGGATTAATGTATACACTGATTGTACGGTTACTAGGTTAGTTCACAGGTCCATTGAGGAAACTTCAATAAGTCCAGCAACGCCGAGCCCGTCTAATTTCCTATTAATCATTTTACGACTCAATATTTGCAATCACAGATGTTTGTTAGTATTTTGTTTCTGACGACATTAAAATGCTTGTATTATATTAGTAATATATTTTAGGCAACCGCTAATATGATCTAAGCTAAGAAGCTCGCACGCTCACAAAGATAACGATGCATGGAATACGTGGGACCTCGACCTAATATCGTTCATGCAATAACCATGCGGTGTTCTGTTTAGCTTAACGAACCTGTAGGTAGACTGGGAATCCGGCTTTGTAGAAAGCTTTTCGTATGCTGACTTCAAGTATGTGAACATGCCAAACTCGAGCGATGTACTGAAGGGCGTCGACCAATGAAATCGCCTGTGGGCCTCCATTGGCTATCATGTTTCGTAGCGCCAGAATGCGATAACTTAGTTTAAAACGGTGAAATACGCCTTGTTGCATTGGCTAAAAAAGATCATAACTAAACATGTTAATATATTTTCTCTAACTGGCTCGCAAGTGCACTCATGCAAGAAAAAGGATAGAATCATTCTATAGCTAATAATATTTCTTTAAGCAATCATAAATAACAACACAAATTGCTATAGAGCACCGCAAAGTCAAAAATTGTGTTTTCCTCTAACTCTGAACTGCTGCTTATGTTGCTGTCGCCCTTGCTTTGATATTCAAATGCATGAATGTTGTTAATGAACGCGGCAAATGCACACGGAAAAGACTGAGGTGCTTTTCGCAACTTACCTGCGTACTTGCTGTTACCTGTTGCCAATGCACGAGCTTGACGTTTGCGAAATGCTTACCAAGCACAAAATGAGCCCGTGGAGGCAACAACAGGAATAAAACGATAGAGCGATTTTCTCGCCGCATCCGCTCACTTAGCATGCGAATATACTCTTCGATGCATTCCGGAGAGATTTCGCCGTCTTGTGTCTGACTTCGCCTATAGAGTACGAAAGCACGAACCAGACAATATGCACTACGGTATTAGCAAAAGTAACCGATGTTCAAATCACTATTTTAGAACCAAATAAACGTGTTTCAACCTAAAACTACCAAATGTCTCGTTAAAATCTGTACGTAATTGTTTTATAATATTAAGCACAATCTATGTAATAATGCAATGGGTCTACTAGGCATCAAATCCGACTTCACCGTAAGAGCCGTAATTCAGTCTGAAACGAAAGAAACGTTTTGAATCAGATCGAGATTAAGACGTGCGTATCGACAACGCTTGGAGATTTGGACCCAATTATTACTAACAATTAACATTTAAATTCCTCCTACCGAAAAATGATCTTCATCCGGTTGATGAATTGGGGTAGCAGCTGCGCACTGCCAACAATGAGCGGAAGCTCTTTTTCACCGGAGGCTGATGCACATAGCAATAGGGACAGCTTTGGACCAGGCGGGTAAAGAGCATCACCGAGGCAACTGTTTATACAGCGGGGAGTCGCCTGGTAGTGAAGTGTTGTTACGTCTAAACAGTAGATGTTCGCCTCCGAATAGTCGCATATATGCATTTGTAACTGTCAGAGGACAGAACATATAACCCAGCCAAATTCGTTAGCTACAAGATGAAAGAAGCAATAAGTAGGACGGGAGTGCCTAAGTCGCACTTTTTCATTAAATATCAATACAAAACTCATAAATGCCAAATAAAACAGTTCACCTCAAAGCGAGAATATTTTTAAGAAATACCACTTAGCGCCAAATGCTAAGTGCTTATTTTTTTATATTTTTTATTTAAATATTGTGGCAGCTTTTGTTTCAGACCTGCTGTGTCCAAAGTGACTGCAATGTGCTCAATTCTCCATGTTCCGGCATAATAAATCGGGCGTTGTCTTTTGCGTTTTTACTTCGAGGTATTACGATGTTGTGTCGTTTACGAAAACACTCCAACCATCCGTTGGACGCTTTGAAACTCCGCCTGCCAAGGGCGTCCGCGACCACCTTTGCATGCTCTTTAACTTGGGTGCCGGTGACGAACATATTCTTCGACTTCGCACCCACATACCACCTGCAATGATTAAGGGAGTGCCAGGAGTTGTTATGAAAACACTCTACCTAAGGCATGTTGCAATCGTTTGTTTTTAAATTCATAAGTAAACTTTTTATTTATTCTAATCAATTGACGAATGATTGTAACTTAAGAACGATTATCTATCGAGAGAATGCGAAGCGTTGCTGTCATGATACTGTGTAATAGTGACAATTTTCTCTAACTACCTGTGGACAATGTCGTCGATGTCCTCGTTACCGGTAAAACGCACCTTGCGTTTGGCCTGTTTTTCGTGGTCGTTCTTCGCCTGCGAATACTCCTCTTTGATATGATTTCGTTGTTTCAGGATAGCGTATACCTGCGTTTTGCCTATGGAAAAAAGCTCCATAAGGTCGCGGGCTTTTACTCGTTCCTCTTCAGACATACGAATCAACTCACGTTTCTGCTCAAGTGTCAAAAGTCTATGTTGCTCCTTTCGACTAGACTCGCCTCCTGGGGGCCCCCCTTTACAAATGCTACCCGAATGCGATGAATCATCAGCTGGGCCATCTGAAGTAAAATATTTTTTGATAAAACTAACGTTTGCGTGGTTCTTTTTTCCGCGCTGTTTGGCGCACAGGTTTTTATGAAATTTTGGTTTCAAGTTCTGCATAAATATGCGATAAGTTAAAACTAACAAAACCTTAACGATATGTTGTTCTGTAACATTTACTGGATACAATTAGGCAAGGGATCAAACACTATTTTGAACTACGTTTCATTCAAGCTTAAACCTTTCTTAACCTATAAAGAAAACGTTAAAAGAGGTTGCTAGAGGTTGAGTAGGCCCTATAGTTCCTCTAATAAAGTAAGGCCCTTTAGCTTTAATAAGTGTAGTTCAAAATAGCATCTGGAATCTCGCGCAAATGATATATAGAATAAGACCGCACACCATCAACATCGTCGATAATATCATCTTCTTCCTCTTCGGGCTGTTCATCAGTTTGTTGGCTGACTGACTGGCCCACACCCGCCAGATCTCCCAGCATATGCTGCTGAGGTGGCAGTTGGCCAGCGATAGCTAATTGTTGCTGCTGCTGCTGTTGTTGTAATTGAGCGCCAGCGTGGTGCAAAGACGGAAGATGATCCACAGAGGGTCGGTGATAGCCATGAGGATTCGGTCCTAGGCCGCTCAGAGCTCCGGTATTTGTGGTGCTAGTTAGTCCCGGAGGTCCAACAAGACCAGGATGTCCTGGATGTCCTGGAAGATTTACAGGACCACCTGGATGAACCGGGAGGTTCATCCCGCACGCTGACATAGTCGAATGGATTGACGCCACAGGTGGATGGATTGGTGGAATGCCTTGCACTTGCACCCCTACGGGAGGGCTGTACAGAGGATGGAGGTTTTCCGGTGTGATGGTAACGATACGACCTCCTCGTGAAGGACCTGGCTGGCAGTCCACCGTACCCCTAATGAGATGTAATGTGGAAATGTTTAATGGAAATGTTTGGAAATTCACATCGGGTTCATATTATGTTAACAGAGATAATTGGCCAAACGTAGTAGCACGTAAGAGACGTAAGAGGCTGCCCATATCACGAAAAGTTTGGCTGTGTCATAGTTCCGGCTCGCTGAGCTGGGCTAAAAGCTAACTTGTGAATTAAAGTACCACAACTGAAATAACAGAAACGTGCCTGATATCCCAAACGGGTACCCCTTTGTAGAGCCTTTGACCTTTTACCAAACAGTGGCTTTATATACCCATTAAGGTGTACGTTTTCTTACTAAAATTAAAAAATCTTTGATGCATACATAGATTTAATAAAAGGAAATAATAATAAGCAGACGACAGCCTATCGTTTAAAGAATTACAAGGTTTAGCGGCAAAATTGCTGCGAATGGACAGGTACTACCAACTATTGCAACAGAAGTGTCAGCACTGACTACATGATGCCTGTACGTTGACATTGTGAAGTAAAGACTCATAGCCGGTCGCAGAGGTTTGAATTTACACAAGTATTATTAAAAAGCTCCTGCTAAAAAATAAAGTTTAAAAAATTGTTCGTTTGGTAAAGAATTCTGTTAGTGTGTAGTCAATGAGACACAATTTGATTTTCGAGTAAAAATGCGATTATAGTAAAGGAGATTAATATAGTAGCGCCCTCCTTTTACTCCATTTCTCCAAATACATGGTATGTGTACTTTTTACCCTAATTAATCCTGAAAGCAGTGCTGAATAGCGATAGCGAAGCCTGTCGTAAAAGTGGCTCTAACTGAGAGTTAACTACTGAGAAATGATGTGTATTGTAACGCCAAAACCTAACAAGCATATATTTTGGTTTTGACTTAAGCAGAGTACATGATATTTAATTGAGACTTGTTTATAAGAGTTCATGTTTTCGATTCGTATTCATGTTTTATTAGTTGTGCTATCAAACAGTTAATTTCCTGTGTATATTAGCAAACCCATAGCACAATCTCAACCTAAATACACAGTTTTGACAGTACTGACGAGTAAAAGCGTGAGTGTATATCCCATGCAAAAAGCAAGCAGCACTTTCAAATCTCCGTTTCAACAGCGGCCTGGCATTACATTTCTGTAAGTGTACGGAGTTGTTACCGATTGTTTTCATCGCTGGATTTAACGTAACCCCACACGCCTAGATAGGGTCGTTGGTCATCCCTCATAATTGCCTCCTTGAGTTGAAGAACTTTTATGGCACATACAGGGGGGGGTACCGATACCCCACTCGACTGCGTGATGCTACGCACTCCACGCAGGGGCAATACGGCCTTTTTCCCGCCTTTGCCAAAGGCACGATGCACGTTGGAGCTCTCACCTCCACAGAGCGAAAATTTCTCTACGCGAAAACCTTTCTACAGCGGAATCGGTATTGGGCGACGGTATGAAAATATTCACCAACCTCCCCTCTCCCAGACGGCCTAAGGTGGCGAACATCGGCTGACATCAAATATAGACAATACCAGACACGCACCCATTTTAAGTGCACGTGCGCCGCATTGTGAGATGTGCGCGGATTATGTCCAGAGTGGACACCTAAGAAAACGTGCATTAACTTAGTAGTTATGCTTTAACCACTTGAAAACAGCTGCATTTTGACCTTCATTAAAAAGACGTAAAGTTAGCTACCAGCTACAAAGTGCTCCAATTGAACATTTCCGCTTATGCTGCTTCGCTGTGTGTGATCTGTTCGAAGCAAGTTTACGCACGTTTTGTACAGGCAAACGTAACGTGCTGTCAGTGTCGTACCTCTAACCAACGTCTTTTTTTTTGCGCGTTGCGAAACGTTTCAGCTGCGAAGTCCCCCTGAAACAGTGAACTACAGATTCAGTCGTTGTTGGTGCAGTATGTGAGAGAAAAAACTGCTATTTTTGCGTTTGCAGAATTACAGTTGCAGCAGTATAAAATACGTGAAAACAACGCAGGCCTTTAGAGAAAGATTGTGCCAAGGTTTGCTTCTCTCAATACATCCGCAACGGGCAGCCGTCTTGGAAAACCCAATGTGACGATCAGCTGACTCTGGGTGAAGTGTATCTTGCTGCATGGTTTTATGGCGATGGCATTGTACACCTCTGTGTAATTGCTACAGCTATCCTATGACTGACTGTTAAACAAATTATAGAGCTTTCTTTCAGCGAAAAATAACTACTGGCTGAGAGCTGTACTTGTAAACAAAATCGGTTGAGGATAAATTGATCAGCGTGTTGAATGTGTGCGTGTGTATGCCTGTGTATGTATCTGATCTTTTCGTACACAGTGGTTCGGCTGGATCAAGTACAGCCGTCGGTGCCATTATTTCGTGCTTGAGTTCTGTGAGAACTCTGATGTTCACGCGACTTGGTGCACAGTGGCGAGCCTCTCCAGCGCTTTTGTTCAAGATGGCTCGGAGTTGCTCTGGAACAAGTAGCTCTAATCGCGATGCCAGTTCATGTCTTAACCGACTGGGCAATGAGCGCAGTCCTTATTTATTACAGCATGCTACGAATCCTGTTGCATGGTACCCATGGGGGGATGAGGCGTTTGAGGCCGCGCGAAGAGATAATAAACTTATATTCCTCTCAATCGGATATTCGACATGCCATTGGTGTCACGTTATGGAAAGAGAAAGCTTTGAAAATGAAGAAGGTATGAATTTATAATTTTAAATGCAATTCCGATTGCTTTATTTTGTATTGTGAGCTGCATAACAAGCTTATACCTTACATGATTAGTTGACCATATTTCTAGAATGAATCTTGTGTCAGTCAGCTATATCACAGAGAATGTCAAGTGAATTAAGCATCCGTTGTATATTTCGGTCATCGCCAAAAACTAGCATTTTAAATTAGTGAGGCAGAAGCGCGTTGTTCTATATTATCCGCGTATGACGCATTTAACAGTAAAATGAAGTATTGTTAAAACTGCTTACGAAATTCATATAAGTCCTGCATTCTATTACATAGCATGGCTATGATAACGGAAGACTGAAACGATGGAATGAAAGGTGTTCTTGACGCCGTACTCGAATTGCAAAATATTTTATTGGAGTGGAACATTTCTCACTTAACAAAGACATTTTATTTAACAATAGAATAGATATGGAACATCACGTAGGTTACATTAGTTATCATATTTAAACGTGATGCCGTTCTTTCAAAATGTTCATGCTTTTCGATTTTGGATATGGCAATTTTCAGTCGCTCGCTTGCTGAACGATCACTTCATATCGATCAAAGTGGACCGAGAGGAACGTCCGGACATCGATAAGATTTACATGACTTATGTTCAGGTTACCTCCGGCGGCGGAGGATGGCCACTTTCAATATGGCTCACACCACAACTTAAACCTGTTCTTGGAGGAACTTACTTTCCACCAGATGACAATCCTTTCGGCGCGCCTGGTTTCAAAACGGTTCTCCGTACACTACATAAAAAGTAAGTTCGTTAGTGTCGATGTAACGACGAGCGACGCTGTGTAGTAAAACCTGTTTAAGTTCCCGCTTTAATCTTCAAAACCTGCAAAATGGTGGCCGATTCATAAGTGAAATTTTTTGAAGAGTCGGTTTACGGACTAAAATCGAACATTTATTATACTATCAAAGTAATAGTCTTAGGTAAAGTTCATTCATGAGAAATCAGTCCATAGACTGATTTCAAAGCTCGTTTTATACTAGCAAGTGTCAATGAAAGCCATGAAAGGTAATGATAACTTATAACTGAAGTGTATAAGTGGATCAATTTAATTTGTATTGTCACTTAACAAAGGCCTGGTGTTTTTTGCTCTTTTTTCTTTCTTGCCTTTGGCAAAAGGTGGAAATCATCAAGTAACGAGAAGATGCTGCAGGACTCCGAGCGCATAACTGGGTTGTTGGCAAGGGCCGCTGATATTCGTCTTGATGAAGAGGTAGCCGAACAATTCAATCCAGCAGACACGATTGCACGATGCCTTGACATGCTTGAAAATCATTTTGACTTCACGCATTGTGGTTTTGGACGGTCACCTAAGTTTCCCCAGTGCGTTAATGCGAACTTTCTTCTCACATTGCATATGTCGAAAGGCGACTTAAAAGCGTTTAATATTGTAGAGAAGCAATTACTTGCTATGGCACGGGGAGGAATTCATGACCACCTTGCCGGAGGATTTCATCGATACTCGGTCGACTCGGAATGGCATGTACCCCACTTTGAGAAAATGCTTTACGATCAAGCACAGCTACTGTGCCTCTACGCACTAGCTACGAGGGTCACTATGGATCAGGAAAACTCGGCCATCTTTCGGGAGGTTGCAGAGAGCATTGGCGGTAGGCTTATTGGTGACCTTTAGTGTATGTTTCAATTGAGCTACATTAAATAGTAATAACTGAGAAAAAAGCTTGTAAATTTTTGTAAAAAACTTCAGGCTGAAATAATAACTTTCTAAAACTGAATATTGGTAATAGTGTAATATTGTAAACAATTAAAATGTTACGTCTATCAATAACGTCATTTTAACTTTTATGGCTTTAGATTACGTTAACCGGGACCTGTCGCATCCCGAGGGAGGATTTTACAGCGCTGAAGATGCCGACAGTTTTGGGACATTCGACGATGCTAAAGGCAGAGAAACAACGAAATCTAAAAATGAAGGCGGTGTCAGCCACAAAAAGGAAGGTGCCTTTTATGTCTGGACATGGTCGGAAATTCACGAAGTGCTCTCTGAAACAGAGGCTAAAGTTTTTTGTGAGTATTACAGTATTGATGAGCATGGCAACGTCGACCCCCAGATGGATCCGCACGGAGAGCTGCTCAACCAGAATGTACTGATAACCCGAACCAACATTGCGTCCTTTGCTCACATAAACAACATGTCTGAGACAGATGTGAGAAACACGATAGAATCTGCCAAGAGGAAATTATTTAAGCGACGCTTACAGAACCGTCCCCGACCGCACCTTGATAACAAAATTGTCACTGCGTGGAACGGTCTTATGATCAGCGGGATGGCGAAGGCTGCGCGATGTCTGGATAGACCGGACTATGCTGAACGGTCGCTAGTGGCTGTGGATTTCATACGAAAGTACTTGTACAAGAAACATAATAATACGCTTCTGCGAAGTGTTTATACAGAGGGTGAAGGCGACTGTGCCCAGGTTAGGCAACTAAACAGGCCGATCCAAGGTGTACTCGATGACTACGCATTCCTTATCCAAGGTTTACTCGACCTCTACGATTCGACAATGGACGAAACCCTTCTGATATTAGCTCGTGATCTTCAAGAAACGCAGGACAGATTGTTCTGGGATGTCGAAGACGGTGGTTACTATCTTTCATCAAGCTTTACAAAAGATATAATCTTCAAGGTAAAAGATGATCAAGACGGCGCTGAGCCGAGTGCGAATTCAGTAGCTATCTCGAACCTCGTTCGGCTTGAGACAATCTTTAATAAAGACGAGTACCGCACGAAAGCGTCGAAGTTGATTAAGCTATTTGCCGAACGTCTCTCGAAAATACCGATCGCTCTACCTGAGATGGTCAACTCCGTGCTCCGACACTCAAGCCCGCCAACGAAAGTCGTCCTCAGCTCACCAAAGGGAGACGTATCGTCGATGAAAGCAGTATGCGATCGCGTTGTTCACCCGTTTATGGTTGTCCTGCGATCGCACCCGAACTCTTTGATTGATTTGGGTGGTTCTTTCGCGTGTGTCGATGGTCAGACCACAGCGTATGTCTGTAAAGATTTTACGTGCCAAGCTCCGATTACCGATAAAGAGAAATTATTGGAGACTTTACAGTAGCAAACTATATTTCGTCTTTATCTACGTAAAGAATACGGCATTCATCAATCAATCGAAAGTATACTTTTTCGTTTACATCTGGAGGAACCCATAAAGAGTTCATGGCAGGTACTATGGCGATTACAATAAACATGACAATGTTATACCCTAACAAACGGTTATATGCGAGATATCTCACGCGGGAAATATGATTCTTTCCAAGATATACGTATGTAGCAGTCAAAACGTTTTAGTGGAGGATATTTTGAGCTCTCTGTTGCTCCATTGTGCCCATTATCCCATATAACGTAGGAAATAGAATAAACTTAAATCAGCAAGTTGCAGGGTACACAAGGTCAATCATAGACTGGCTATGAGCCAGGAACAGCAAACTATTCCTGTCCCTCAAACAGCCCACAGTCACGGTAGTCGTTGAAGTCAGGCTGAATGAACAGGGTTTATAGTAGCGAATGTCGGTTAGACGTAAACTTGTTAAAACTTTGCTAGGTGCAACGGAAGGCACGCCACTAGAAGAAATGGAGGGAAAGGTCAAGCAGCAGTTATAAGTGACAAGTTATTTTCTTGAAAAGTATCACGTACTTTTCGTCAAATAAATGAGTCGATGTGATTAGAAGTTACATTTTAAATCATTCTCATGGTTCTTACAAAAAATGTAGGTTTTCCATACAAGCGGTGACAAACAATAAAAAGGAACGACACTACAAGGTCAGTAGATACAAAAAACACGTATTGAGTGTTATTGTTATTATTATTTACAGACTTATACACAAAGCGAACAGTTTCCGACCCGTTTCTACGATTATAATGGAAGCTAAAATTTAACGAAAATTTAATATAGCTATCCCGTTGTCGGTGGAATGAATACGAGAATAATTATTATCTTGGAAGCCTAGAATCGGTCGATTAGCTGCATAATCCTATCGTGTTCGGCCTTTGACGAGTTTTCGCTGCCGTCACCAAGGTTTCCAGCGTATTCTGCGAGCACATGCAATACAAAGCAAAATTAAAAAAATAGCTAAAACCACAACCTAGAATACGTAGGTCTTTTGGTATATACTACCGCTAATGCTTGCAATAGTACGAAGATTAAAATAGGCTTTCAAACAGGTGGGCCTTAACGGTATATGATTATTCATAAATTAATAGGGATTTAGAAACTAAATGCACTCAACTCTCATCATCAACACCCACCTACACACAACTTGCTTCGTTCGATTTTGTAATTTTAGCACAAGACTGTTTGAATCATTTATAAATAATATCGCTATTTCAGTGGAACCTTATTTTAACGAACCTCGCATAATCTGTCGAACCTGGCTAACGCTGCCGCCACGCATGTTGAGAACCTGCAACACTTTCTTCTTAACGGACTCCGGTCCCGCAGCACTAATATCCACGATGACGTAATCTATCAACTGCAGTGTGTAGAGGCCACGCTCGAGCTTTTTCAGATAGATGTCTTCAGCGCTGTACTCTTCCGACTGAGTCACAAGCAATAAAGAATAAGATTATAGCAATATGCATTTAGCTAGCTCAGCTTAAGTTTCTGCTAAGGATGCCCCATAAATATAGTAAATCATTTGCTTGTTTATATTGCTGAAGTTATTCTTTACAAACTTACCACAGGAAAGTAGATTCTGATCATTTTTAAAGGTAGCATATAATAATATCGACGACTTACGTCCATATACTCGATTTCAATCTCGCGCTCAGCTTGTCGGACCTTGTCAGAATATTTAAAGTGTAGTTCCATTATTCGGTCCACCTTTTCATGTTCGTTCTCGATAAATTTATTTAGCAATCTCTCATGTTGTGCCGATCTGCAGTTCTTTAGAAGTGAACAGATGATGGATATAACGTGCTCTGCAAAAACAACAAGATCAATTAAAGGTTTTTTTGTTTATCGTAGTGTATTACGATGCTCTACATTTTTCAAACGTTGCCTATTTTATTCCACGACATTACACCATAGCGCTATGATTTTAGACCTACATCGATATTTTGATGGAAGTTAATGCTCCATTATTACTATTATGCTTCGTACTAGACGTCATGAATACATCGACATATTTTCGAATCACTCTCTATCGTGGACTTATCGTGACTTCGAGAAACTTCTAGACTGATGCGTACCTTCGTGCTCTTCTGGAGTGTAACTTCTGCTCTTTTTCTTTTTTGGCGTATGCATCAATAGTGGAAAGAGCACTCGAAGACCAAGGATGTCGACAAACTTGTTACAGTTCTCAGTGCCTTCCGGACCCTGAAGGGCGTATTCAAGGGTTTTAAGGGCGCCGCACCTCGACTGGCGTTTTTCCTTTAGTAGCAGATTCATCAATTGCAGCCCCTCGCTCTGAAGTACGTAGTAATATCAACATGGGTTATGTTCACTAAAATGTTCACTATAGTACAGTTATTTTAAAAGATCCAATCACGCATTCAATAATAAAGGCAGTCAATTTAGTACGGGTTCGAAATTCACAATATCAAGTTTTACGAAGAATAGATATATTTTGAGCAGCCAGACATTTTTCCTACATGGCTAACTTGGTAGATCGTATACTCATTTCAAAGCAAATTAGGTGATGCCTCGCGTTCTACCGTTGTAGAGTTGCGAATATAACAATATTTGCTTTTGTCGTTGAACCTCACTTTTAAGAAACGGTCGCGATTAGCTGGCAGAAGTAAAGCCGAGCATAGTACATCAAAAAGATTTTCCATCATTTCGAACTCCTCGGAGTTGCTAGGATCGTGACGTCGAAAATGCTGCAACAGTATACGGAAAAAGACCAATGTAATAATAAATTCTACTGCTTTAAAAAATGGCTGAATGGGACTTACCAAAGTTTTCACGGTCGGGTTGAGTTATCTGCATGTAAGGCCTGATATGAGCCCTTTAGCTGCCGTATTAAAAAAAAAAAAGTAATTTATGCCTATGTTGTCCCAATAGAGGCTTCCGGTACTTGAACCCACAGACATAGCTTTAGAAGGTTGGCACTTCCCAGCAGGAAATTATGTGTATTTACGTAAGGATTTGAGTCTGCACCACCATGTCTCCTTAAGTCCAATAGGCAAACATGGTATCACTGCATTTTAACGGGGCAACTGTTAGTTTTGTTGTAGAGGAAGTAGTACAGTATTTACATAATATTCCAGTTAAGTTATTAAAAAGCTACATACCGACAGCTGTTGTAGCAGAATGTCGATTCCTTCAATTTCGCCAAGCATTTTCCGATTAGGTTCGCAGTTTTGAAGTAAGATGGCTAAGATTTCAGAAGCGTATAACTTGTTTGCATCAAAAGGCATTTTGGCACGAAGACGCCGTAGAAGAAACGCCATTAAGCCCTCTTGGGCAGCGGAAGCTGCGTACTCTGGCCGGAATTCAGCGATGTGCTCAATAACAGCCAATGAATGATGAACCCCATCAGCTTCCTCTTTAATTGTCTCGTTAAGGCGCTGCATGTTCTCTACCAACTGGAACGCCACTCTTTTCTCGATCAGTGAGTCTACGAGGGCAAGTGCGCCCTCCTATGAAACGTAGGCAAGTACCAAGGTCAGCGCGTTAGCTTGAGGCTGACTAATATGATAATACAGGCCTCGCGATAACAGGGAGGAGTAGCTGGCTCACGCTACGCCAGCGACATATACAATACCTCAGGCATGATCAAATACAAAAAAAAACCTATAATATATAACTCACTGCATAAGATATCTGGTAATATTTGGTTGAAATCTAATTTTCTTTTACTAGGTACATAGCGTCGGGCCATACAGATCAAGGACTCATTATAAAAAGTTACGGTGATATATAAGACGGTATTCGACTCCTTCAACGTGTGTATAGATCCGACATATGTGTCTCAATAGAGCAACAAAAAAGAATAGCACAGAATTTGCCTTGCTGGTTTTGCCATTTCGATGACATACATGATTTCATATAAAGCTGACTCCACTAAATAAATAATGCTTAGTTAAAGCCTCAGACAACAGAGCCTCCATCTGTGAGGCTATCAGATCGCTCGTTCGGTGCTGGTACATGATGGATCAATCTAATAACTGGCTCTCCAATATGGAGACATTGAGTTCATGCTTAAGGTTTGATACGTACCTCACTCTCATTTAAGGTATCAACGTCCGTCATTTCCTGTAGGAGGTCAACTGCAGCTATGGCAATATCGGAATTCTCATGACCTAGAAGACTAAGAAGAGATTCAAGAGTGTTGTGTTGGACGAGTATTGGGTAAAGTTCTGGATGTGTCGCAACAATGTGCATTTCTTGTATTACTTCATTTAATTCAATTTCCGAATCCATGAACCTGTATATAGAGAACGCAGCAAAGTGCAAAGTGGTTAGGATGAAGTGTGTAGGTTATGTTTGTATAAAATTATTTGAATTTTGAATTCCATATAGATATCTTGGATCCTTCAATGTTTTACATTAGATTTAGTCTATTCCCAAATTTTGATCGGACGTTCACAATCTTGACACTTAAAAATGTCGTATACGCTTTTCTGATTTATAAAATAACAAATTATACAAATAGATCGCTCATTGTATAATATATTGTTGACTCAGGATAATGCCATTAAGATATTATAAGCCTTTATTAATTCGGACAAAGATATTTTCTGTAAATTAAGTGCATTTTTAAAAAGGGCGTATTAATAAATAATAAGGGCGTTTGCTTGCCTAACCAATGCACCTTTGATGGCTCATAATTCAATGTCGGAAAAGTACGTTTCAGTAAGTATCTTCATAAAGAAAGGTGTATTGCCGTTCGTTGGACCTAGCCGTACATTATCCGCCGTGCTTTGTCCTTAAAAACCTACTTTTCAGGCTGGTCGGGGAACTTGATTCGTAGCTCTCTGTTCTTAAGCGTCTGACGTTCGAATTTTAAAATAAGCTTTTTCAACGATTGCACAGTTAGTTCCGGCGCAAGCTCTGCATCTGGCAAGTCATCTGCATTAATCTCCGGCGCTCGACTCGATGTGGATGCTCCATTGGCGTCTTTGAAACGTTTCGGAGGGCGACTTATGTCTTCGTCATCGCGACGAGGTTCCGTGTCCGGCTAAGCCACAATAATTTCATGCATAATTAATGCTTAAAACTATATGTATTCTTGTTTGTCAATCAATTAGACATGGGCAGCGGCGTACTTTTATGTTAAAACGATAATAGGTTGACCGGTAAGGCCGACTACTAATTGGAGTTGAAGTGAAATTATCATAAAAAACAAATAAATTCTTGATCATCATAAAACAATGAGGCGCTAGCACGAACCCATATTTGCATTGAAGAAAATTATTTTTGGTTTTAAATTTTGAAAATCGCGTCTACACGAAACAACAGAGGCCCAGGCAGAACGGCCTCACTTGCAGTGCAAAACTGCTTCGATGGGCTCACTTATTCGAAACTTGATATCCTACTAGTACAATAATGATCCTTATTCAGCAGTTTTCAAGATTCGTTTTTTATTTTAAAACTAACCTTATAGTCAAGCAGTTCTCCTACATCCATTCTGAGCTTTTCAGAGGATCCTTGCCTTTCAAGTTTTCAAATCAGTATTTCCACGCGATTTTCTTTTTATGGCCCCATGCATCTACAGGCTACGCACCATAAACTATGCCAGCAGGCATCAACCATAAGGCCACACCCTTATGCTATTTTCCGAGCAAATAAACACCGGAAATCACATCAGATAACAAAAAAAAAACGTTCTTCAGTTATCAAAGAGGCGTACTTTACCAAGTATAGCGCTTCGCTCAGAGCGGCACAACATCGACCGGTTCGTTTGGAACGTTGCGCTACGCTGTCCATCAACAAACCTACTTGGCGTCATCAAATCCCACACAGTTGCTTCGCGCTATTTGACGTTTCTTTCTATGTACTACCCGACCTCGATCATCTACTGATCCGGCGAAATTTAAATAAACGGCAGTTGACCGGGCTTTTATTTTCTTCGTGGTTCTTTTTATTGTGCATCTGCATTTGTGCCAAAATGCCCGCTAGTGCCCTATAAGAAAACATCGAGAATTTAGTTCGTGACAACTATGTTGTTGCTGTGAAGGGTTATTGTGCTGCGCAAAGTGCTTACAGACGGGACGATGTCAGTTTTACATCATACAGGTGGGTAGTGAAGTACTACCATGGATTTAGTCGATTAGTGGCAGATGTTTTAAAGGCAGTTAGCCGAAGCGCGCTTTGACTAAGCGGAACGTTCTTCATTGTTAAACGTTATTAGCACTTATCCCAGAACTGATCTGTAGAGTTGAATGCATGTGTAATAAATGTTTAATTTTTGATAATAAAAAGTTTTTTTTTTAAATTTGCAATGCATGCATTAATATGAAAAGATTTTCTGTGACTCGTTGGAGTTCAGTTGGGTACGCAAATTTTAATAGACCCTCAGTTGATATAACTTGCTATTTGCTTTCACTGAAGACTATTAGATACAACAGTGATATTTGGTACGCATATATTAATTATCCCGCCTAGAAATGCATTAAGGAAAAAATTAAGTAGTTTTAATGCAGTATTTAATACCGAAGAAAATCCCAAGGTTAATCAACTATATTACGGTATGTTTAAACAGGTGGATATCTTAAGGTGTATTATAGGGGAGAAATGGTATTGCAGAACTACGTAAATGAAAGAAAATAATCACTCTCCATATTACGGGCTTGTTCAGTGACTCGTGACTATAGGATAAACATGCTTCGAAATAAATAAAATAACTTTTGAACTTTTGTATTACATAGTCATTTCTGCAGTTACCAATGTAAAGCAGCCTTGATCAAGCGTACTGGAACTGAAATATAGATGCTGGCTCTTAACCTTATTGATCATTTCCATATAGGATTTGAATCGTCAAAAAAAAAAGAACACCTTGAATGTGTTTTAATTCACTCCTAAAATCAAGTGATTTTCATTTCATTTCACATGTATTACTAATATTTTTTCATTTAGTTACATCTTTATAGTTTCTGCTACTTTTTGAAAAAATAGGGATATGAAAGGTTGACGATCAAGTGTTCTTGATCGAATCGACAGCTTCAATCCTACAAGAGACTTCTGCATCCAACCACTTTTAAGCCACTTACTCACCACCACCCATTACTTTTAGATAAGACCGTTATATCTAATTATCACGACCACACTTTGGATTCAAACATTTTCTATAATCTAAATCCCTTTAGGTCGGTCGTCTGCACGGCGAAGCTCCCTTCCTCGTTATGACCTCCGGCGACGCGTTCTTGTCTCAAATCTCAATCGTCATATTCCTTCGCAAAAGGCGAAACTTACTCATTTGACTGCATTGCCATCGAAACCTGACACTGCTGCGCCCCTAGACTTGATTAGGGATTTGCCAAATGCTGCTTCTTCTCTGGGCAAACGCGTTAAAATGAATTGCGTCTCATCTCATCCATCGAACTTGATAACACCTGAAAAAAAACAGGAGAGCAGATTTCGCATTGATCCTACTATTCTTCGAAATCCGATCGTCCATACTCCGCTCAAAGCTTCTCCACCAAAACGACGAAGAAACGATAACCATGGCTTGCTTAGGGACACGATGTCGATCCATCTGCTAAAGGAAGACTACATCCCACCCGCAAAAAAAGACCGTATAGATGTTCCTGTTAAAGACGTCATACTAGCACATACTACTTCTACGGGAGTGCGTCCTCTAAAGGATGAAATTACCGACAAACTGTGTGTTCCAACTAAACCAGTTCCTTTGCCACGAAAATCGAAAATGGGAAGTACCTCAGGTTCGAAAGAAAGCAGTAGACACGAGTTAGCCATAAACTCGCACGCTTCAACCGATTCTGACTCATTGTATGCCCGAATCGAAAACTGTACCACAGGCAGTAAGCAGGATCTGGTAAAATATGGCCAAACTGGCTTGTTGTCTCCGAATTTTCCTGGACGTTCTTCTGCTCTACGCCTCGCTGTTGACCAGCAAGCAACTTCAGTCTTGAGAGACTGCGCCGATGCCAAAAAACGAGAAAATTCTCGTGTCGATGAGAATCGGGCGAAACTACGGCAGAGACTGCCGTCGAATTCAGCTGGCCAATGTCGAGCACGAAAAAGTCTGCTCTTCTCTGATGGCATCGACAGCTCAAAAGCGCCTTCTGGTCTCACTTTAAAGAATATTTACGCTGCTGAAATTCAGTCAGAGTCTCCTTTGAGGGACACCTTGAGTCGCGTACCCTCGCCGCCGGATGATCGCTGCCTGCGATCCCAGCCACGGGTGCTTAACCAGAGCGGAATATATTCGAATAATACGTTTGTTGTTGGATCGAACAAGTTGAAAAAAGACGAGGTGGACAGATCTTACGGATTTGCGTGCCGAATGCGACCCTCACTGCGCGCCTTGGGTGAACCTAACGCATCGCAGATTCTACTACCCAGTAAAAGTGCCAAACACGAAATGCAAATGGACACACTCCCTAAGGGAGGCAACACTGATCAGGGTGAGTAGGAAGGCCATAGCGGTAATGACAGCAACAATGTACAGTAATCAGGTTTCTGTTGGCAGCGTAATTTTAAAGTTCTAACGTCAATCGACTCTATAGTCACAATTGACGAAATAATTTACCCATTCAAAATAAGATGCTAATGGCGATAACCTTCTTGTACAATTAGAAGATACATAAAATTAAAAAAAAACATTTTGTGTGAACGGAAAAAATGCATTTGTTAAATGAAAAAAAAGAGAGACCCATATATGACGGCAGGACATACCAAAAGAAATTTAAAAGTCAGTAAATGAGATTGATGTTACCTCGTTTAAAAACGGTACAATAAAGCGTACTACAGGGTACAAATAGTATACAGTCTGATTTAGGCTTGGCTTTGTTTGCAGCGCCACCGCTTCCACCTCCGCGACCTGTAAAACCGCCGCGAACTATGGCATCTCCGAAAAATACTCAGCTTAATCTAATAAAAGATAGCCAAGTCGGACCAACGCCCACAACCCCCAATAGAGAAGTGGCTATTCAGACATCATTTTTAGTCCACGGGGCAGATAACTGTCCTCAGGCATTAAATCTTTCGGCAAAAAAGCGGCGACGTTCAATGGAGATTATTGCTGAAGTTAGTGCCAAAGTGAAGCGTAAGGGCAGCATGCTCCGGGATAAGATACGGAGATCGCTCGAGCTTACCCCGGGAAAGACTGCTTCCCAGGAGCTCTGCACTTAAAAGAAGATTTTGAAAAGATTGTTCCTATTAACGTAGATCTATATATATTTATATAGGTGCAAGGGCATCTTTATTAAATTCTCAGGTCTTTTGCCTGTGTGGTTAATTAACTACGTCGATTGCTTTGGATTGATCACGAGTTATGCAGGTGAGCACTTGTAAATTCTGCAACAAAGAGTTCATTCCGTTTTCAAAAGAATGATCTAGGTGTAATGTCGCATCGGCTCATATTCGTCTATAAAGTATATTCGTCATTTTATTTGGCAAATTAAAATTCTGAACTTTCAGTGTGTTCCACTACTTGAACGGATTCTTGTTCGAGGGAGGGAATCGAACAGACCCCACGGACACAATAAAATCAAGATATGAAATAGGCGTTGGGCGGAACAAGTACAATTAAGTATATGACATGGTATTGTCGAGTAATGGTACGTTCGAAGAAAGATCGCTCCTGTAGGGATTAGAGGCTTATGAAAGCCCTTAGACCACTACTCATATTGTATGAATCGCTCGTTGCATACATGTGGTCTCTCCAAGTCTAAACGTCTGCAGGTAGACTAATTAGGGTTTCTCGGAAAAAGGTTGGCCCTAAATGGGTTATTTTTTTCTCTTCGTAGACACCTCCATGATGAGTCTGTGTAATAATTGCAATTTATGATTTTATTTACTTTAATCACTTTGACACACGTAACCTTCTTTTTAAGTTAAAAATAGTTTGCCCTTGCTAATCTTAATTCTTGTAATTAGCTCAATTTATAGCGATGCAACAATATAGTACGCTATACAAAGTACTTTCCCAATTTAATTGTTTAGAAAATCAATATCCAACCGCATATTTGAATTAGACGTTTGCGTATAATGCAGCTTTAGCTTTCCTATTTTCCTACCTTTCCTCAGTAGTTAGCGGAACTGCATTCTGACATTTTTTTTACGGGTGTTTGAACATGGTGACATGCTTACAATGCCGATGTTTTTTGATATAATTTTTCTGATTGGGGCTGAACGTACTACAATGTTAAACAGACTATAAAACTCCAATAATATATATAAAACGCTGTCTGATTTCATAAGCTAAATACGCACATTAACTGAAAGGCATCTGCTTCTACAAGAGATAGTGGTTACAATTTGTAATGCAACGATATGATGATGGAACTTTATTTCGTTTTATAGAAAGAAAAAATCATTTGAATAAGTTTGACATCGATGTCGTATCATTGTTATCCATTGCAATTTATATATATATATATATATATATATATATATATATATATATATATATATATATATATAGAAAGAAAGAAAGAACGAGAGAGAGAGAGAGTACCGAACAGCGAAAGGTAGAGAAGACTGTAGATCTAAATGTTAGGGAGGTCTTACCGCCATTAAGTATTGCTTCAGACGGCCGGTTGCTTTAAAACGAAATACGTCTGCACCCGACTCGGAGCATAAACCTCCCACCTCACATATTCCTACTTCTGGTAGGCAAGCACGTCGCAGGAAAGAGATAACAGATCAGGCTAATAATAATAATATTCTGCTTAGAAATTATTTTAAGAAGTGAAAACAAAGCTGAACGGTTAACTACCACATTAGTGAGCCGGGTATACAGGCATTTATGGCCAGGCTATGCTGCTCCAAGCCTCTTATGGTAGGCTCGCATATCTTTTCTTCTCTACAAAAGGTATTTGTGGACGTTGAAGCGGTATCCGCCATCATTTTCTGCGCTACTGTCGCGTGCAATAGTGAACACGCATATAGTGCTTGTATTGTGTGTAGTAAGTACTGTAAATAGAAATAGTTTCTTTTTTTTTTTCTTTAATTATTAACTTATGCTCATAAGATAACAATACATAGTTTTAAGCCAATTTTTACACTGTCCATGGTGGCAGATGGATTGCGATGGCGACGTATCGGAGTTTCGCTGAATTCTCAATAATGAGAGAAAATTTCGTACTTCGATGCAGTTGTGCACCAGGATTCCAATATAATCGCTAAGTGCTTTACTCGTAAACTTCGACGAATCTTTGATCATTACTAACAATCAATATCTCGTTTACCCCATATGCTTTTTAACATTTCTGCTACTCATTATGTTAATTAATAATAAATCAAAGTATGTAATCGTTCCTGAATCGGCAGATGTTTTCCGTCTACGTACTATCGTGAAAGTTCAATTTTAAAAGGAATCGCTCATTCGTAGATTGTACGGTTTATATAGTTACACAGCACAGTAACTTGTTTTGTTTGCTACTCTAAAAACGAATCTTAATAAATGTGTTTTTTGTAGAGTTTGGAAGTTGAACCTCAAGAAGTATGTGTGAATTAAGCATTCATATATGTTAACGATGTTAAAGAAACTGGAGTAATTAATTTTCGTGAGATGTAAAATCTGCGACTCTAACTTACAAGAAATATGTGTCACTTAATGTGAGAACCATTCACCACACAGGCAATCTTTTGATGTCTTTACGTTTATTGAACTTATAGTACGACGAGTTTAGAGTTGGACGTTCTCAACTTTACACTCGTCGTGCCGATACCTTATCGAGTCATAACAACTTCGCAACGATAGCGTGAGATAAGCGAAAAAATTTCCACGTATTTATTATTCACGTTTATTTAATATAATAGTAGTATTAAGAACAATAATAATCATCATAATTTGTGCACGGGATTCTAGCTTCACGGGAAAAATAGTCATATAGTAATAGTAATAGTAATGAACATATTAGTGTTGAAGCAGTAAACATAGACTCGTAGATCGTGAGAAGCATTTAAAGAACCGTTTTCTTTTTACAGGACAATATTAAATATGGTAGAATATATCTTAGATTCACATCTCTATTTTTTTCTAGCATATTCGCTTTAATTGGGTTCAATATGCACATCAGAGCATTATCGTCAGAGAAAGGGGCCAGAGGAATCAGCAACTTGTTCTAACGTAAAATAAATCCGTTGATTTGATACTGTATTCTGCACACGGCATTCACTTGTGTCATATACTCTACGTTTTTTTGAGGGTGGCCTAATATGGGCTGCAGTTACCTTTTAGCGAGCTTCAAAGAATTTAAGGTTTCGTTGACATGCTCTGCGGTTGATGACACGCTAATAAACGTAACAATCTTCGAATTGTGGCCTTAATAGAAGATAGTTTAGTTTGCAGTTTCGGTATGGGATACAGACGGCAATAAATAAGTACAAATGGGTTAACTGGAAGATTGGGTTTGAGTTCACATTCTACGCTATATTCGCAGTAATGCAGAAAACGTTTTGTCGTGATAGTAGTGATAGCGATGTAAAGTAGCATGCTCGTGTATACCAGAATTAAATTACAACGTATAAATGTAATTGCTATTAAAGCGATGTTACTAAATCGGTTTGCGTACCTTTTTTCTAGGCCTGTCAGGACAGGTGACAGTAAGTGAATGATTGTTTTTCGATACCATCAGGCAAGTGTTTCAGCTTTTACAAAAAGGCTTGCACACACATCAGTTATGCTTTTCTAGTCTATAATTTTCACTGAAATTGCTCATTCAACACGGCGAAACGTGCTTTAATCTTTATTCACTAGGCTTTGGTCAAATCCCGGGAATACGAAAAGCATTTCAAGCTCTTAAACCTACTTTGGTTTAAGTACGAACGAAACCGGGATTGCTGAGCTGGCGCTTTATTCGCGCAAACATAATGGCGTATGCTAGTTATCCCTGGCACGTCGAGCTACCGAAGTAATAAAAAAAGTACCACACGGTAAGGAAGCCTCATTAGATTCTGGTTCTCGAATATTAAACAAATAGCGTTTAATGAAAATGCTTTTATGCCATAAATTACAACCGACAATCACTATTAATTTCATGTCACATGATAATACCATGATCATTATGAAATAGTTTGGGATGCTGAAGCTAACAGCATTTTTTTTACTTACCAGCAAACAAAAAGCAGAGGCAATTCCAGGCATCGCTACCCTTTCATCATATCGTAAATAAGAAAACTTGAATCGGTTCTACTTTCAAAAAGAGGGTTGATATAATCTTTCCAAGCACGATAACAACCAGTGAATGAAAATTTTTGCCTCAAACCGGCGTCGAAAGCGAACAATTCAAAGGGCATATCAGCTGGCTAACCTGTACACGTTAGGTTATGGCGTTCGATTGGTTGATTGTGAGAAATGTCGGGTCCATTTCAGGGATTACTTGTGCAAAAACGTTCATTACAAAAGTACTTATTACGTAAACTTCTTATAGCTTCTGTGTCATTACGTTACGGAGTAGCTATGGCTGACTAAATAGGCTTGTAGAATTAATCTAAACACACGAGGCTACTCGTTACGTGCAAAACAGCCCGCATAGAGGTACCATTGATCTAGTAAGCCATATATAATTACAGAAATTGTAAATAGTTTTAGTCAAGTCAGTACGCCAGAGAAATTCATAATAAGCGTATGACACAATTGTTTAGAATTCTCTTAGTACAACGGACATTTCTTATACGATTCGCACTGTTATGGCCGCTTTAAATGGTTTCCTAATGTGACCACTTTGTAGATTCGTTCTGTGAATATCTAAAGGGCTTGATTAGAGATGAGAAACAATACATTTATAAGCCTTTGAAGGACACCTATTTGTTGAGAAATGGTCAATTAATTAAACATTCAAGGTATTTATTCATTGGCAATAATCTGTATAGACGCTATTGACGTAATCAACGATAGAAACGACAATTCGCCGATTCACCCTAATGGATTTGCACGAAAAAAGAATTGCTGACCAACGGATGTTTCTATCAATTTTTTGTGCCGTTTTAGCTTATACCTTAAACACCGCCATTTAGTTATTCAACACAGACAACAGTCGTGTTGGACGGTTAGACAGAACGCGTCGACTGCTCGTAGAACGAGATATTAGCGCGAAACGTAAATGTTGATTTGCTGAAATCCGATTACAACAAGCTGTCTTGCCTGCGATCGCTGGGATAAGATAAGTAAGTTTTAGACATCACATCGTTTGAAAGTGTTTGCCGATCTCTTCACCCCCGTGTGGTGTACCGCCTTTATACAATATAACGTAGAAATTCATCTAAAATACCTCACTTTAGTGCTGTTCAACTGGCTCCGAAATATGGAATTATTTAATTGAGAATCAATTGTAGATATGAGGCTTTTGTGCACTAGTTCATGGATAACTGGTCAAATTCACCCTGCCTACGGGACACATTTCAAAAGTTGTATTCGTTAAAGTGGTCGTGAAAAGTAGGAAAGCATAACTAAGACGCCAACAAACGCCCGCGACCTCTAGACACCAACATGGATGATTTAGATGGCAAAATAACAGCGAAAAGGAGCGCTCTGTCTTGAAGCCGGCCAAGTGGCGCACGTTCTTTGCTGTTGGCACAAAAGCCATGGCTGATTAGGAGGGCTAGGTGTACTAAAAGCTTGGACATACCGGCAGTTGTCGTTAATCGGTGGCCGTCATGCTCGATGTTATGTTGATGCCCTCTATACAAACGCTTTTGAAAAGGTACAAATATCTGGGTCTATGTAGAAGGTTTAGCTCACTTTTGGTAATGCTTTTGTAGAACATGTTGAACAATATCTATTTAGAATGTATTACTCTCTCAATGTTTAGACATAGGTGGACTGACTGTACCGATATCTATACTAATATAAAAATACTCGATAATGACCTCATAAATAACATTTTTAGTAAGTGAATCTTTTCATAAATTTAACTGTGGAATGGATCACTTGTACGGAATATAATTACGAGCAGGCTGTGTGTAGGTTAGAATAGAAACCCATAAGACTTGCCAAGTTCGTTGCTTACGTTGCATTGTAACATCTAACGGAGGTTTTATCCGATATAACGTACATTCTTGTTTACCACGTCATGATAGGTCTTTGTGTACATTTCGTTGTCTAGAGCAATATCCAATTAACTATAGTGTGCTAGTTCTGTTGGAAGCTAATTTGATGATAGGGCTTTGCACTCGGTAATTCAGATACAAGTGTGCCTGTGCCGCAGTAGCAATAACATAAGTCGATATCTTATTTACACCACTTGTTTGCTGAATCCATAAAGCAAATTATTTCTATCGAGTTCATGGTGTGGTTCCACTGCCGTAACAACTAGAAGTAAACGTATATGTACGCGGATTTAACTTCAACATGAATGGTGTAAAAAACACGCTAATATCGCCTGCCGACCTTGATGTCACTCTATCTGAAGCTGCTATCTGACCGTCTAGCTAAAATCGACAGGTATCCTTCGGGGATTCGCCCTGTACCTCTCATCGAAGGCTTATGAGGCCTGTGCCTTTTCCAGTAGCGAATTACTCTTCCGATAGTAAGACTGTCGGATAAGACTCCATCGAGTCTCTTGGCTTTTGCGGATGGCTCGTTTCTCATGCCAAATGTGCTGCTATCCCGCAGAAATACGATTACAATACATGAAAGGTAAGCGTGCCAGCGAAGCTACCTAGCTCAGTAGGCCTATTCATTAGCGTACTATCGTGATTATAACTGCATCGGAAATGAGCTGCACAGAGAACAATACAACTTTCGGAGACATGATTCACCCGAGCGTTTGACGCTATACGACAAATGCGAGGCTTTCTATCTAACGCGTTGTTTCCCACTGTGGAAAATGCCACATACATCTATGTACATACCTAGACATTGTGTGTATTGACAAAACCTCATATGAAGCCAGTTTGAAGAGTTTCAGTAGACAAAAATGGCTTAGCCCAAGTTAGCGGGCGTTCAGTGTTACCTACTAGTGATCATAGTAGATCTAAAGATTGAAATTTTCTATTAGTCCTAATGTGCGTATATAGATTGTATTCATCTATTACCTCACACTGTAGTTAACTGCAATATGACCCTAATGTCCTTGCGAAGTCGGCATTTCTCATCGGCATCTTTTTCAAGGTAAACATACTTCTATAAAAGGCAAGGTATGCTACACTTGACAGATGTCACAATAGTCGCATCGTCCGGATGCCATTGGAAGAAGACCAGAAGAACCTCACATTGGCGGTCTCGAATACATTACTTGTGATATCATTTTCTGAGTTATTTCGCGTCGCGCACAGCAGAAGGCAATATTGCCAACTTGCGTTTCGCTTATCGAAGAAATTGACTGGAAGCAATCATGTCAACTATGCTCTATAGCATATACATATATATAGTATATATGTAACGCAGCATAGTTCGACGATCTTAAATATGATTCGCGCTATTATGGATCTGTTGGGTTCATCGAATAGTCGTTTCCATATAGCTCCCAATCGTTTCAATAAGTTGCCAAATAAATTCGAGGAGTGACATCCTTTTTGTCTAACTAGGCTCACTTCGAGGACGGGAATTCGGGGGAGAAATAAAGCTTTTGTTTCCCTTCTTGATACATTTTTACTCTAATTGGAACTATAGTGGCCGCGGCAATTACTTCATCTCAGTATCTTCTCAATTTGTCTAACGCGATGTGGGACCTGGGCTAGCTAAACTTTGCTAGAGCTTTTGGAGTGTTCTAATAAATTTGATTGCTAACTTCGAACAGTTGTGACTCTCCCTGAAGAGAGTCACATATGTTCCCTATGTGTGTTCATCTACGAAAATTTTATAAAAGACCAACGTGATCCATGTTTCTAGCGTTGACTGGCATGCAGAAGTCACGTGACCGGGCACGAAACCTTAGGTCACGGCCACGCTAGTATATCTCTTCACGGCTAAAATAGCTTTGTCTGTATAAACCTAGGCTTCTTTTTAGGCCGGGTCAATCCGGACAAATCCGTTCGCTGGGAACCCTTTCGACCGTTTTGTTCCAGCACAGAAGAAATCACTTCGAGTGAATCGTTGATTCCGTTTCGTAAAAGCAAATGCACACTAAACGGATATGTTAGCCCCAGAATGCTATACGCAAATGATTCGGGGTATAGTAATGCGTAACAAAAAAATCATAGAGGAGGTTAGGGCATGGTCTGATGACTTATTTAAGCAAGCAAATAATGATCTCAGGGCAACTATGTGCGGACTTTGATAAAGTGCTCAAATGTGCTGATTTGAGGAATCGGTATTATTTTGCGCCGGGTGCTTTGGAAACACTGGCTCTTGTTAGCGGAATGATCGGCCCTTCAATTAGAGAGCTCATCAAGCGTAATTCGGAACCGTTTTAAGATAAATAACTCCAACAACGATCCTAGTGGCTATGTTAAGACAAATCACAGGGTATATGGTCCCTGATGAGATGAAATGCCTGCTGCTGTTTCGAGTACGTGGTCGGACTGGAGTTGTGGAATAACATTATTAGTAAACACAGCCTAGCAGACTTGAAATGTATTTAGTATCATTTTTATTTAATGCTCGTATGATCCTATTTAATGTCTGTAAACAAAAGCGATGTTTTCTCTCTGACTGTCGTCAACGGAAACCGTTAGTGTTCACATAATGACTTAAACGGTCGTAATTACTGTAAGCTTTGCAGTTTTCCCTAGGCATCTTATAATATATATATACAGTATAAAGATAGGATAGAATATAATATTCACGTATTGTGGCCTTCCAAACACCTCCTATCATTTTTAGGAGTTTCACAGAACCATCGACATAAATATGTACTTTGGATTCACAGTGTACCCTTTTAGATTTTTTTCGCGCTGTTTCATAGTCAGGTGATATGGTGCCAACTCTCTGGTTTAACGTACCCTCATTCTTGACATAGTGAAGGGTTAGGCTGATATTGTCAGTTTTGAAATCAGTGATTACATTATTTTATTAATATTGAATTCCAAGTTTAGAAAACTAAATGACTCCTCGATAATTTTTCCGGCGCAATAAAAACCGACGAAAGTTTTCGGTTATTCTTTCAATCCATTGTACGCATCCTAAGCACAGGCAGGTCGGAATCAGATAGCAAAAGAACTGTCAGAACAGAACGATGAGGAACCCTCATGAGCGTCAAGTGGTTGCCTAGCAACGCTGGCCCAAATGAAACGCCCTTTCCTCACTTCTCTTCACATCAAACCAAAAACTCCCGTTTCTTGTCGTTCCAGACAAGCTTTTGTCCCCCGCTGCCTCCCGAAAATCCATTAACTCGTTTAGTTTCTTGTGCCTAAGGGTTTTCAGTATTTTCGGAGTTCTACTTTCTCCAGTAAAAGGTAGGGGACAGTCAACTTAACGCGCTTTCTTCCAAACGGTAAGGGACGTGCCATTGATATTGGATCGACAAGGATACATCAGCAAGGAAATATACAAGAGCACGAAGGATTGGAAAAGGAAAACGTGGTAAAGAGCGAAAACGGGTTTTTATCAAACTATGCTAATACATCTGCTGGGAAAGACGGCGGAGTTTCCCGTTGATATATAGCAAAGTCGTTTCACTTTCTAAGCCTCCTGATTCTTCACCCAGTTGGTCGGGCTATTGAAGGTAAATTGGAAGGTCGGGAGAGAAGACGTAAGGAAAAACTGACTATGAAGAGCTTCGTTTTATATAAGAGCTCGACGCTGTCTGATACTGCACTCGCAGCTACTAATACATGGGAGGACGCAGCTAGGTCGTAACGGAACTTTCACCACATTCAAATTGACTCGAGAGTGGTTTGCCAACTTGTCTAGGGATCGGGTGGCAACAGGATAGCTTAAGCTATAATATAGCCCAGTGGGTGAGGGATGCGAGACTCGTTCTTAGTTCTGTTCTCCTGGGTGAGAACTTCGAGGAGAAGAGTCATTGTAACGAAGTTAAGCGGCGTACATAGTAGCTGTGTAAGCTGAGTAAGATCCAACTTCCTTTCGCAACACATGTATTACAACATACATGTTTTTGTCGATTATTTAAAATATATCCTATTTTGTATAGTGTTACGTCCTATATGCGCTCCGTGAACAGGTCCGCAATCATCGTGTGCTACATTTGCTAATAAAAATATCTCATTAGACACTCATTATATTTAGCCATAATCGGTGATTTGGAGCTTGATTCGGGTGAAACTTACTACGGCATGTTTCATAGCGTTCTTGTACGCGTTGCCTAGTAGCCGATGTTTGTGTGTATATACTATTAGTGGCATTCTTGTTGTTCAACGTTGTTCCAACCTCAAGTCTAGTTAATAACAGCTTTATTCAACACTCAACGGTAAGACGAATGCCGGTGTAGAGTTTAAAAAAATACCCATATAGTAACCGTGGTGATGTCCCATTTAATGACATTAGATTTACAAAAATGGTAACATTGACGTTAGTGCATAAAATAGCATTAACAAATATGTGTGAATCTTGTAGTCGTTTCCCGATTCGCTTATGGTATACCCTAATGTACAGAACCCTTTCTGGTGTATTCGAGACCAGATGTACTAGAATAAAAGGAAACCTTTGCGAAAAAATTTTACTGCTTTCTACGTGAAATTTTTGTTTATTGTTACTTGGAACTTGATGATAAAATGTTAACGTTAAATTTAGCCGAAAGCTAGTGCTGATTAATGAAACGTATGTGCCGAAAGGCAAAATGGATCATGCTATATACAGCGACATGCCAGAATGATTAAATTTTAACTTACAAAGTCGAATTGGTGTTTAGTAAGAAGTTACGAGTTCAAAAAGTTTAACTGTTTATATGACTTACATGTAATAGAAACGTGTCTAGCATAACATGCTTGTATAAGAGATTCGACTTGGGCGAAGAGCAAATTATCGACGTTTTTGGCTCAACATTGACGCCATAAAAGACGGCCTTGTCTTGACAAGCTGACCAAAGTAAATCAGCATCTGAAGACACTACTTAAGGCACTAAGCTCTCTTGCTTTTTTCTTTCAAAGGTAATCAAATTTCTTACTTGCAGGCTGTCGCTTACTCATACTCGATATGTTTGGAAAAAGCTATCTATATATCTATATATATAACGCACAATGCAGATACATTGTTCATATTCATTTAAATAAAGCATCTTTTAAATGTATTATAGGCAGCTATCGTTTGAAGTTGTTAACAATTAGGTACTGTCTGAATGTCAAGTTCAAAAACTACTCAAATCAAGGAGATTATCAACCCGATTCCGTGTTTCATGAAATAACGGTGACTGATCTTTTTAGGTGTGTGTCATCTGCCCTCAGTGGTAAGCGATTGTTCCATATTCCAGACGGCTAAACCTACTCGATTTCTCTGTCGACTTCTGTTGCTAGGTAAGTGACCACGCGTCCTAGTGTCTTGCAACCCACATATTAAAACAAAAGGTAAAATCGTCACGCCATTATGTTTCGTATTGTTAATAATAAGCCTGTTACCGAATCATGTGCTGGATCAAATTCGAGGGGCTGGCTGCAAAAGGCTCAGGTCATTCTAGAACTGTACAACATCTCTGTAGCCTTGTGAGGTCCTGCGATGATTTTGCGTAGCTACATATTTTTAAGTTAATAATCGATCTTTTTTGCATGCTTGTTTGTTCTAGCCTAGCGCAAATCTGAAATATACCGTTGCAGAATTCTCGTTGCCAACAACAACGAATTCTCTCCAACATAGCACTTAACGCTGCAGTTCCCAAATAGGTTATTCTACGACAAATAAAATTCAGATTGATCCTAGGTATAATACACCCAATTTTCTTCGGCGAAATCTGAGATACTCCTAAGGACATAAGAATTATTATCGGACTTCTATATGGCGTGAAGAGGTGACGTGACCCTTAACCAGTTTTACCCGAACATTTTTTTTACTTCGAGTTGATTATATTTAATAAATTCTAGGGTGCATATGGCCCCATAGGAAGGAGCCACAGAAAACGAACGACTACGAACTTCATAATAAATTGCCTTATTTAGTCGTGCGCAGTTAACAGTGCCGTTTGTTTTTACTATATCCTAGTCTTTTTGTGGTTGCATCAAACTCCGACATTGTACGCTGGCTCGTTCCTTCCCATTCGCGCGTTTTCCATCCAATATCTTTCCATTCAGCTTTTAAACAGAACTTCACTTGCGTGGTACAATACCTCAGGTATGTCTGTTCGGCTAAAAAAGTCTGCTGCTTTGCTTGGAAGTTGAGTGAGCATTAGCAGACCAGCAGTTAGAGTCTCCGTGGCAGGACGTTTAATCTTTTTAATCTTCGTCACTCGTTTGAAGCCTCGTTGCTTCTTTGTTTGAGCCCCATCTCCACAGCATTTTGCCTCCCCACATATGAGACCACTCCCGAGATCGATGCTAATCGAGGTCACAAAAGGGTGCGGGATCCGAATTCGACCGGGGTAAGGACTAAGGGCTACCCTTGCCGGGACATCAGCGTTATTGTCTAATAGTTTAACTCACAACGAAAACCTATACCAAAAGTTCCTTGTCAGGCATCAACGCGAGAACTCAGGACCTCTCGCTAAAGGCGGGTATAAAGCTGGCGAGGTGATCCGCCGGGGCAGGCCATTATCTCACTAGTCCTACTATCGCGGACCCCGGAAGCGCTGGGAGCGGTAGGCTGCGTGCCCCAACGAACCCAACCTCAGGCCAGCAGCATATCTTTACTCAGCGAGCCAACGACGAGTCGGTATCCTGTCTTGCTTCGTCAAGAGTTCTAGCTGTTCGGTATTTTCACCCAGCACCTCCTTTGCCCATTCGAGAAATACAATGGGAATCGAGCTTTAATAAAGGTCGTGCATTGTACATATTCCAGAGCACTGCAAGAGTGCAGCGGATGGCAGCAGCTGTATTCTTGCCATGATTCGGCAGAATTCACTATTTTCTGATAGTGAATATAACCTTGAACCAAAAGATTTTGAGCTAGGTATATATGTGGTGACTATAAAACGTATACTGGAAAGGCGGGTTTAAAAGTGACTAGCAGATAAATGCACATGGCTTCGAATACTAATGGGACAAGATAGGTTGTGCTAAAAAAAACAATTACTCAAGACCCGTATTACATTTGGGCAAATAAAGAAATCGGCTGCCTTTTCAATGTTGCTACTGTTTTCTTTAAGAAATCCTATCTAAGTGCACACATGACAAGTGTCACACATGTGCTATGGTAAAATACGTGGGCAAATCGTAACGCAACGGGCATTTGTCGCTACTTCTCTTCGGTTTATGAATACGACTTGACGGTTGTATCAATAAAAGCAGGACGCCCTTTGCAATACCCGAGTATAAAGTATAACTTTTTTTGGGAGTTATGTTGAATTTTGGCCTTCGAGTTACTTTAACGATAAAAAAAGGTTTACCTGATTTTACTTTTAGTTATTAAAATCGCTCTGTGATGCCTGAAAACGAGTTTGCATTCGAGTGTCCGTCACGGGTCAGGTGAACGGATGAGAGGGGCATCTGGAAAGTCTCAAATCAGTGACAGGTTGCTTTGAAAACTAGCAACCTATAGTTAAACATATGTATTCGCACTTTTGTAGCAAATATGAATTATGTGTGGTTTTTTAACAACGATATATTCGTACCATCAGATCGCCCCACCGTTCCTATCGACGCAAACGAGAAGTCCTTGATAATCGCCGCATACCTCGATAACATACCGACACTGCTCCACCGTCTACCCAGACACTCCGCGCGCTCTATCTCGCGGAGCGTCCGTCTATTCCTACATACTCGCTTCCTTTGCCTTGTTCATGTGGCCCACTTTCTCCAGCAGAGCTCCTGCGTTCGGCACTGGTCAAACCGGGCTGTGGGTCGCGAACGATGGGTGTCGTCACCCTCACTCGTTAGGGAACTCGCTTATCGGCCAACGGCATTGGCAGACCAGCGTCCTAACTGGGGTACGCACGTACGCCGTCCCATCTGTAATCTCTTGAGGAAACTGCTTTCCAGTTACTCCCTCTCCCCTTCGGTCCATCTACCGGACTCGGCATACCAGTCGGTACCCGCTTGTCCCGGTATGCCCCACATTCGTGCCCGGGTGCTTGTTCAAGAAGCCAACCCCGCTCCACGCCAAGCCCCACATTGTACCCCACTATTATTCCCCGCTTTTCCTTTTTCCATCATGTGGATGGAGGCTGCTAGGCGTTAGAAATCGTTTGTCGCCTGGGTCGCCGGAGCGGTGAGCCGCCCGCCGATCTAACGGATCTGCCGGATGTCCCGCTGCCACTGCCGTCGAATGGAAGTTCTTCACACAACGGGTGCCGGTTGGATGCGACGAATTCCCCGACGGGTCCCAATGTATATGGATGTGAAGAATGCCCCTCCCCCACGTAGAGGCGAACTTCGCCTCTGTGTCCCTTGACAACTATGGCCCTCTCCCTGAGCTCGCTTGCTCTGGTGCTGGTGCGAGAAGCGGTGAAGAACGTAAGCACCCAAGGAATTCCGAGGCATCTACCGGGACCTCCCTCCGAGCCGGGCATCCTGGAGCTCTTCTCGTGAAGCGCTCCCCGTTAGCCGCTCGGTTGGTTTATTCGTTCGTTCGTTCGTTGGAGTCTCCTCACCAAACCGAAGTCATGTCGACGAAGTGAAGGCCGCGGTGAGCGTGCCGACTGGCAGATGGGACCTGGCGTCCCTCGAGAGAGCATCACCAGCAATAGAAGAACTAGTCGAATAGAATAGACGAAGTCGTAGTAGTGGCGTTCCAAGGACAAAACGAGACGATCCTCGTTAGGAACACAATTCAAAACGTAGGGACCGTCGTTCAGTGAAGTTCTTCGATCTACCGATGGCAAATAGGAAGTGCAGCCCGAAACATTAGCTTAGCGATTACTAACTAACGAAAGTGTAAACCGCAATCACAACTCATTATTGCTCTAATGTCTGTCTCACATTAAGAACTAACTACTACGGAAAGGAACTCGAGTAATGAAGAAACATAACGTGTTATGCAGTCCTAATTGACGTTTCTTACTAGAATAGATGCTTGCAAGGATTGATACATAGATCACAAAGGGTGCTCGGCAATCTTCTTAACTGTCTGGCTATTAGTTCGATTGCATTGAGCGGGTTTAGTTAGTCTTTATTGTTTAATGTTCTACGGGCTAAAAGATGAACTCTTGGACGTTTTTCATGATGGGTCATATTCGGATATCGTAATGATACTCCAAACATCTTTAGCTTTCGTATCGACAAACATTTCTATGTCAGTATGGAGTAGAAACAGAACCATACAATTACTAGATATATTTTCTATTGAGTAGTAAGTCTTCGAGTTAAACTTCGATAGTGGAATTATGTGAAAAAAAGACGCGTGCCTAAATAATATGGATTTATCAGAGAGTAGATATAAAGTGACATGTTGATTTGTCTCTGTATGTTCACAGGGTGAGGCGCTCGCTCGGCAATTCTGCTCGCTCGTTTTCTAGCCCGCAAATCTACACGACGACTCTAAGCAGTATCAGTTAAGATGACAACTTCCATGGCAAACCAGGTTGCAATCCGGCCATTACGAACCGATGAAGTGCGATACGCTGTAGAAATCTGGAAGGAGCAAGGTCTCGAAGAGGGTGTAAATACCCTACAACTGTGGCATAAGACGGACCCTGAAGGATTCATTGGTGCTGTCGATAAAGACACGGGTGTGTAAGCACGCAGATGCAAGACTAGTTTATCATAGATATCTTTGTTGTAATGCAGTAGGATATTAATGTAAAACATCGTTTATTTTGGAGAACGGTTTGCACGACAAATACTGAAAAATGCAAAAAATGCCTAATACTGGCTATGAAGTCTCACTTACCCGGTAAAAAGTCACATCCTTGTGACAATACAGTACGCTTACTAATAGGTTAAGAGGAAGATGGCTTTTTGCTCTATCCGCCGACACAAAATGTGCGATGTTTTTTTTTTAAAATATGGGATATACAGCACTCATGCGAAAATGTTAAGGATTTCTTGACAAATATTAATAAATTTCCTTAACATCATAGAGTGGTTACACTCATTGAAGTGCAATTTTAAGCAATTTAAATGTACTTAGCATTACACGTAATATAAATATAAAACTAGTTCTGGTCAACTTGTAGGCATTAGTGGTTTATTTTTTTTGGGGCGGGAGAGAGTAGACCTTTACAGGATAGGGGAAGAGTCACCTGACAATTTAAAAGTCTTCATTTTACATCTGTTAAAGTATCTATTGGGTAAGATGCAAAAACAAACAACAATGATTAAAAGTTAGGTAAGACTTTCGAACTATTCAGTGACGTTTTTTTATAGGAGAAGATTTGCCTCACTTCGTATTTTGCGAATGATGCCTTAATAATGTGACGCCGATCTTGCCTCATAATCTTCATTGTTCCCGTGTCCACATTAGGCGAAGTCCTTGGTAGTTGCGCTGCCATCCGCCAAAAGGAAGGCCTGTATTTTGTCGGTCTATACGCAGTTCGCACGAAGCTACAGGGACGGGGCATCGGTATGAAGATGTGGGATTACGCCATGAAACGAGTCGGTGATAGTAATGCTGGCCTGAACGCCGTACCTAAACATTTGTCGAATTATCGGTAAGACGGGGTTGGAAGGGCATCAAAAAGCTTTAGACGTACAGGCCCGATAATATTGTCTGCACCATGTGTGGTACGATAGATTGAAGTGGGATCAAAGAAAGTGCAGATTCGTGTAGGAAACGCGTTGTTGAATGTAAAATATATATGCACTTCTTAATTGCACACCATGCCTCCTGGAAACAATAACAAAAGCATTCGATTACCAGTGAGTGATTATACTATCCTGAATTAACGTGGTTATCTAAGAATGCATTCATTGTAAGTAATGTATAATATTCCGTCTTCTATTGAAAAATTTAAGGCTGACTGAATTAATCTCTTCTAGATTAACAAAGCGTCCTCTGTGGCGTGTCTTCAACAGGAAAGCATGGGGCGTTGGTAAAAATTTAATTTGGGAGAAGAGGGGCACTTGCTGCTCAATAGAGATCAGTTAGGTAGTATTGTAATAATTCTTTGACAGAAATGCTGGAACGATTATTTTCTATAGATATCATAGATGGTCGAAGTAAAAGCTTAGAAACTGCAAATTAACATTGTGTCACGGTGTGTTTACGTATTTGTAAACGAATAAAGAGATCGTGCGGGCTTTTCCCATGTCGCGCCATGGAACACATGGGTTTACGCCTCCCCGTGGAAGGACGTAACGCTTGAGAAGCTCATTTCAGCCTCTGATGACTCAGTTACTCTGAGGTAATGATGCATGCTACAGACTGGTACTGAATTTTTGTTTCAAATCTAATCTATCTTTAGTTATGTTGATTGAAAGATTTTTTTGCATCGTCGAATCAGATCAAGCAGGAGCGACTACGTATTTTTTTTTATTAAGGAAGAACTGCACTCTGAATCTGAGATAAGAGACAGCAGGTTTTCCTAACACGTTATCCGAACCCGTCTTCAATATAAAAAAAACGGGGACCCAAAAAAATTTCTTTCGTGACGAAACGAAGCTTCTGAACGCTTTTTAGGGATCGATTCAAATTGTCCGTAGCTAGCGTGTTTTTGTGCTTTTAATTGTGTTGTAACGTAATCTTATGGTAACTCGACGTATAGGCGCTGTTATCCCGGTGACGATGCGACACTCTCTCTGTTGGTCGATTACGACGAAAAGGTAAAAGGACAAAATAAAAAAAAAGATAGCATAACTGACGCAAGATCACAAGTAGTCATGATTCTCAGATAATCTTTTTATATGATTTTGTACTTACTAAATCAACGCTAATTAGCTATGCACGTTAAATTAATATTTTATATGCGTTTTTAAATAAAGAAAGAGTATTTGAGCACTGAGCATTGGCAGCAGATGTTAATAGCATATCTGTAAACTATCTAAGTATAGTCAATGCTTTTAGAGATCAGAAAACTCTGGATAAGTCCTCCTCAAATATAGGACGTTCCGACCCTACACAGGTGCATAACTTCCGTCGCGAGAACGCAATTCGTACAACGATGAACGATGACGACGGATGCTTGATGGTTGCTTTTAAGGGCTCAGGTGCTTGTGCTGGCTTCGGTAAAATCAGCACCAATATTCAAGGTAGGTGTGTCGAAAGATTATGAATTTTAGCCATTTGTTCTAATAACTCGTAAGCTTGTTTTGTCTCGGACATAGTGATAGATCGAATAAGATAGACCTAGGACAGTGACCAAATTGTTTGATCCATTGAGTCGTACTGTTGTGGGTTGTCGTCTGTGGCTTCGAACTCGTTGATTCTTAAATTTTTATTGCGTGCAACGAATCGCTCTCGCAAAAAGTTGGCGCAAAAGCTACAAAAAATACAGCCAATAATCTAATGAAGATCTGGGACTGCACGTAACGCATGGTGACTGGGAACGACAGATGGCTGTATTTTCATTTCTGATATTTGCAGAAGGAGCACTTGTAGGGCCGCTGTACGCGGATGACATTATGGTAGCCCAACATATTCTGCATTCACTCGTATCAGATTTTGCACCTGCGAGAGTCACGGTAACAGCGTTTGCGATGGATGGCAACCCGGACTCGTGCCGCCTTTGCGAAGAACTTGGCCTCCAACGGCTCATGGCAGTACCTAGGTGCTATCGGGAGACAGGAGTCCCACAGGCCGACTTCAGTAAAATCTTCGCCCATCACACGCTCAATTTTTCACTCTTCTAAAATGACCGGTTTAACAAAAAAAAAGGCAAAAGCCAAGTCAGTTAATTATCAAGCTTAATTAACTAATGAGGAGTGTTTCGTGGTCCAGTAGCCGAGTAAACCTTTTATTCTTCGCAGAATGATTACAGTTTCCACTAGTCTTAAACGGTTCGCCAGTGTTGATTATACTGGACAGAGATCGTGTAATTTCCAACAACGAAATTCAATTACAGTTGCTTGATCATTCGTTGTCTCCAGATACGAGCTCTCTAGTTTAGTACATGATCTTTCATACACCCTATACGAACAATTTCAATAACAGTAATAATGTTAAAATATGAAGTGTTCGACGAATTCGAGGCAGTGAAGAGTTGACATTCTACAGTTGTTTTCTTATTTGCATCTTCTTTTCCGACAACATTTATTCAGGCCACCGGTAAACCTTTAATACCGATCTCCTAACAGCTAACGGCCTTAGTTTGTTAAGGTCATGGGAAAGACTATATACACGTCTGTCTACATAACTGGTCGGACTCACAACATGGACATTAAGCATTATAATTATTAAACTTGATATATACGTTGATTTAACGTTATAGCAGTGGTTATTCGGTATGACCTTATATGCTACAAGTAGATATATATACACATGCATCGAGGCGGCGTCTTGGACGGCCAAGCTTCCGGTTGAACAAGATCAGAAGTCGTTATTTCAAGCCCCGCGAACGATACTTACTACACAACCTGTGTGAATAAAAAAAACTTATTATACCTACCAGATATATCAAAAAAACCAAAATCAAGCATCGAAGATCTATGTGTCGATACGCAAGGAAGAATGAACTGCAAAACGCATAAAGCTGCAGCGAATACCATAAACGCATATACGAAGCTATAATGGTATGCATTTAAACGGACAGTTCTGTGAAGACTTTATGACACAAATATCTATAAATGTTCGGTTATGCCATAATAATAAAATATCCAAACTATAATAGATATACATACTAGATATGAAAACTATGTATTATTAAGCATTTGTCATCCTGTTATTGCTATTATGAACATGAAAAACATGAAGTAAACTTACGCTGCTGTTAATGTCGGCAACATGTTATATAACTACAAAAATTAATGAAACAATAAAAATACATTTAACAAAGGCAAAAAAGGTGCGACAGAAAACTTTGTAACACAGAAAAATATGGAACGGCCAGAAAAAAATATTAAAGGAGTGTTAGAAGATGCTGAGGTACCTAGCAAATAAAACGCCACAAAGGGTACGCATTGGATTTTTCATGGACGTATACAGTTTGGCGAGCTTCTATTCGCGACGCTGCAGCAGATGAAATCTTTGAAAGATGAATAGCCCTCAAAATGGCCAAAAAAGTATAGGCCGTTTGGGATACTAGATTATACTGATTCGAACTGCGTTGCGGCAACGGCGGTTTGTTTATCATGAAAGGCATTAATTCGTATAAGTGTGTATTTCGTTTTACTTATGATGACGCATGTGAAGGCGCTTGCTAGATAAGCTGTTTTGCCCTACGAGTATTTCTGAGACAAAGCGAGAACGAGGAAACCTAAATCATCATTAAAAAGTTGCTTGTAGCGGCTATCATTAGGGTTGTGAGGAAGGCGTCTCACTGGAAACGTCAAAGAAAAGCCCAACTGAGACAGAAACTTTATTGCAAATAATAACAACCATTTTTGTAATCGTTATCGTATGCAATCGATCGTTTTGAAATCAATTACCAAGAGTAGAGGCAATGGCGAGCGGACTTGCGCCTTCTGACAGTCCCATAATTTGCCTTAGGCGGCTGATCTGACACGGTAACTGATAGGGCAACCGGCTGAAGTGAGCCGGTCACGTCTCAAAACATCACCAGAATAATAGGGTAGGTCCTAGAACGGCATGGGATCAATTTCGCTATAATGGTAGAAATAACAGTAGTCCACTTAGACCAAGTAACATATAGACAGAACTTGTCTGCACCGTCCATATAATCAATATTGTGAAAATGGCCAAGTGCACTGAGGTACAGCAAAACACAGAGACAAACAACCTCACCACACAGTAGCATGTTATGGATGTAGCCTATCGGTAATGTCAGATTCGCGTTTTGCGATGACTGCTGGTCATTACTATCAGTACTATACTGATCATTGCTAGAATCAACCGTGATGAAAACAAAACACTACTAAATGTCAAATATATCGACACTGAGCGACAACGCCATTGCACACAGAGGCATTGTATCAAAGTAATCAACTCTAGTCATTACTACATCTATACGCACTATGATTCTTCTCTGATGTAAGCAATGACTGTTTCTGCCAATGGAAAACGACACGGCCATATTGGAGGCGTCGAAAAGGTGCATGCAAGAGCGACCCCCTATCAAACGTGAAACAATATTTATCTGTACGCCCGTATGTGTATGATCGTGAATAAGATTCGATATAAAATAACACTATTCAGCCTTAAAGTAAAATCGCACCTTGCCAGATTTCAGAGCTCGGTAGGGCTAACTTATGATATTACCTATGATAGTTTCCAGTCGGTGACCTCTAAATGGCGCGGTACTCGTGTACAAAATAAACAATGTGTTTTTCATTAATTAATTAATGCTTTCTTCCCAAGATACTCATGGGTATAGTCCATGTCACAACTAGCACACTGTTGGAAAAAGGGTTCGTCTTTGAATTTGTATAACCTTTCTAAACAACTTCATTGGGGAAGAACTTCAAAAAATGATGACTTGTGTTCAGCCATAGGTGGTTGCGCATAGTGCTATCGTACTCAATGTTCCCTAACGACACTAACCGCAACTGACCGTTGGTTAGATCGGCGATATGTATGAACGTTAACACCCTTGATTTGCAGCTACAGCTTGAATGTTCACTGGTCATTATGGCGTGCTGAGCTTTGGTCCTAGAACGCTCTTCAAGGGCCTGCGACAGGAATTGTAACGAAGAAGAAAAGAAGAACTGAATGGGCTATGCACGAGTGGTAATGGAACATAACGATGATAACGCAATGCTGAAAGGCGTACAATTTAAATGTGCTCAACTCCCGACCTAAAACACGATTTTTGGCCAGTTGCAATAAACACACCGACGAAAGAATATCAGGTCTAAGTGTTTTCGATGACTTACGCTGCAATCAATACTGAGATTAAAGTCTGAACAGAAAAATCACGAAAATAGCCGGCTACTAGAGTACTATGTTTTATCAATACCACATCATTCAATATGGGACCGCCGTCCCACGCAGGGCTATGACGTAAAACCTGAAACCTAGACCTTGTATCTTTGGCGTGTTTATCTAAAGGTCACTTTAATGAGCAGTCTAATTAAGTGATGAATGTTGGATGATATGCTCCATCAACAGCGTAGAGTTGAGGTCTGGCGGGATACCTGTGCTGCTGATGCTGAATTTTAAATTTCGTATTCTTCGAAGGATCATCGATTTTCAACCCTACGCTACTTTCATGCCTACCGTGTCAGGAAGTGCCATACGTCGCAGTCTGTCCGTTATCGATTAACTAAGCACACCGAGCGCTGAAGTAGAACATTACCAAATAAACCATAATTTAACTTAGAATGCGATGCGGGCTTTTTCAAAATGACTAACATAAATGTGAAATTAATTCGGCTAAAAAGAGTAAACATATCGTCATAGTAGAGCAGGGTCCATCTAAATTTTGGGAACGAAATCAAATTTTATTTACATGTATTGAGTTGTAGGGGCAAACTAACTGTGTCATTGTGGATAGTGGTATTTCGCTGACTTGAAAGTAACGATAATATGGAACATTCTCACTGTCGTCAAATTTTTTTTACGCTGCCCAGAATGAGTCAATAGTGGTTACTAGTTTCAATAATCGCCAAGTTTTAATAAGAAAGTTGCAGGTTTCCCAAAAAATATTTTAATAGATCTAGACCCCCGAAAAGTTATTAGTTCTAATTTCTTTGTCTGACTTCGTAAGCCTAATTATTTTTGCATATCTTTTGTATAAATTAATTTCAAAACAAAGCACCTTTACGAACCGTAAATTCGTGTTTTTTTGCTGTAAATTCAAAGTACTTCCTACAAACCACAACTCTTACACCACGTTTCCTTTCGAAAAGCGATGAGGGGTCGTACTTCGGCTTCGGGGTAACCACCGAATAGAATTATGATAGTCGATAAAACGGTTTTGAATTAGCGAACGGAAAAGATGTTTTTTCAAGTTCGCAAATTTGTTGATTCGTACAGCAAAAGACACCTGATATCGTATTGCATTTTCTGAACATGTATTTCTCGCCTGAGATGAACTTAAAAATGAGTAACTTTACGCTGAGATTTTTCAAAATTTGTTTTGTGTCTAGGAGTATCGGTCATTCCTTTTGCTACTGACTAGATAGACTGATGATGATAATGCCTAGTAATAACACTTTTGATATTGCCCCTGTTACATACCCTCTTATCTTCGTCATGCTCAATACGCGAAATTTCTAAAAGTACGCATCCATGAAACTTCACACTTAGTTTGGTTTACTTGATACTTAAAAATTAAATTTTATTGGTTCGATTAACCTATACTTCAAACAATTTTGGGGTTTATTTTCGGTGGAATTTCAGTAGAACGTCTCAAAAAATTTGAATAAATCCGCTGCACCACAAATTCTGCCCAGGCTTGTTTATACAAGGGCTTTCAAGCACACCGTAAGCTTCAAAGATGGAGATTCTGTGTCGTTAACCGGCAAAAAATAATTATCCATCAGTCTGACTAAAAAGTACCCATGCATACCTGCCATACTTGGTTGGCGTCTGCTTTGCGGCGGTATTCGACAATTCGCCGTTCTTTGTGGCGGTGAAGTACTTCAGAATAAAACATCCGAGAAATTGATTTGACTCGAACCCATTTGTCTTCGCAGTAATTAGTGATCTGCTAGATGAAGTCACTATTCCCCGTTGCTGAAGCGGTTTGGACGTTGCAAATCGTCACTATGGGCCGCAAGTGCTGGCCACAACTCAGGCTTTTATTAATAATTCAAGTATATAAATGAACTTAAAAAAGATGCGTCGGTTATTTTGTGTCGAACGAATTTGCGGGAAGTTCGATTGCATCAGCTGTTTCATCTTTAAACGGATATCGACAGAGCGGACTTTTGGAGAACACGTGGAAATAAAGACACCAAAGTATATGGCCACTTACAACGATTAGGCAACCGCCTAAGCTGAAGGTGGCCTTTTAAATATCGTGATCCACGATGCACTTTATGAACTGCTTGCCTTATCAAAAAAGAAACCTGGCTTGCCCATTTACCCTTTGCAATGGTACAATTCCTCGATAAACTGACGTGAGAATTCAGTCCATATTTTGTCCTTGAGGGTTTCAGGAATATACATTAATGTCGCCTGTAAAAAAGCTCAATCTGACTATGCTAATGGCCACTAGTTCTCGTTTTGTCTCATTACTGATCCCTAAAAATTTTCTTTCAGACTAATGACACCTTCTAGGAAAAATGCCTCCCTCTTCTGCTGTACCTCAGCCGTCATCTTCCTTTTTTTTTTGTGTCCAGTAGCCGGAGTTCTGTGTGAGCGCCATTTCCTTTAGCCTAGCTTCAGTGCTCCGCAGTTTTCGAACGTGTGCGCCGCAACATCTATATCCCCAGAGCTGCATAGGACATAAACCTTCTCGAATAATGTGTCGCACCATTACTCTAAGTCTTGGATTAGTAGTTTAATTCCAATAGCCCTTATGTTCCTTTTATGGTAGAAGATTTGGCTGACTCAGTCTGTGCTCCATTTGTTTAGAGTGGATCCCATTGCGCGCGGTGAAAATCAGCGTACGCCACAGTTTCAGCCCCCTTCGGCAGGCCGGGCAGCTATGATATGCCATCGAAGCATACATTCTAAAGGGTCGGTTTGGGAACCGAGCCCTCTGGGACTCCAGCAGTGCTCCCATTTCGCATATAGCGACCTGTCATCTTCCAAGTATGATGGTAGCGTTTGACGTAAATAGGGTGAGACACTTTTACGCTTCAGCGTCTCTGTCATTATCTCCCAGTTGATTGTGCTGGAAGTGTTTCTGACATCTAGCAATATAGCAAGCAGGGCAAAGTTCCTCGTTTCCCGTGTCCTCAGTGTTTGCCCACATGCCGCATTGAGCATGACTTTTATAGCTCCTTCCGTAGATCCTCCATTTCTAAAAGCATATTGGCAGTTTAACAGCGCTTACTTCTGCTGAATTTCTTCCTGAAATCTCAGCAATTCATACGTGAACTCGATGAGAATACACTAGTGAAACAGACCCAGTACCAGCATTTCTTTAGGCCGGCCACAATATTAACTGTGGCGTTTGCAGATACCAGGGAGGGGCCGATCGATAGGTGGTAAACTAGTATGGGGTCCATGGAATACATTATGTCTTTTGATCCAATGCCTGATTTGGACGACTCAGGGAACGTCTAGCAGACAATATTACGCGGATCACTGTTCATCAGTACTTTCTCTAACGATGTTGAACATCTGCTGCGCTTGTACAGTTCGATGCTTTGCTCACTTCCAGCCTTACCTGAAAATTATATCATCTCACCTTAAAGTTACCTATGTATTAGATTTACCTGGGTAAAGCGCTGACTTATTTCGTGTGACATAAATTCACCAACACGGAAGAAGTTAAACCTCTCGAAGTTTAAAGCGTAATCATCGATTACTGAGTATATATATTGCAAGCACGTTTCACATCAACCTGCGAATCAAACTCATACATTTCACATTTTAGATGGACTTGATGGATTAAGAACAAATTTAAATGAATGGACTAAGTTATTTATGCCTTGTGAACGGCTGTTGTAGACCACCAAGGCGCCGTGGCAATGCAATAGACGCGGCATTTGGATGAAAAGGACCAGATTTCCTATCGTGGAGGATGGCCTTGAACAATTTTCGGGTTGTCAGTTGGGAAATGCCTTTCTTGGTTTGGAGCTTCATTCCAGATAACCGTATTCACCCAGATACCTAATGGGTTATACTAATTTACTCCAAGATATTGTACGGATCTGTTTTCATTTTAATGATATTTTAAGATTCTATTATATCGGAGCTTATCGCGTCGGGAGTTGTCAAAGAAGTAGTCGCTTGTGTGGCTTAAAGCGCCGCTGTTAAAATAATTGTTGAAAGGATTTTACTAATAGTCGTAATTTTTAAAGTAAGCGCAAAATTTAACATGTACTGTGTGCTAACATGGGGCTTAACCATCAGATTAAATACAATAAATATCTCAGAGATCTGGTAGGACTGTTTTGTTTATTTACTAACGGTTGACTGCTTCTAATTAATGGTTCCTGCCATTGGTTGCGTATATTCTAATATTGGGTCAGTTTTTGAATTTGTGATAGCAAGTTGCCAAATTTCCTATCAAGGTGTGGGTAGAAAATTGTGAGATGGGTATCATCGTTTGGAGAGACAAGCATTTTACAGGTGCTGGCCACATGATAGCCTGTGGCTCGGAGGCTCATGTGACAACTTATTAAATGCTTTCAGTTTCATATCTAGTACTTGGGCCTTTAGATATTGCTTTAAACGGCTGGCTGCTAACACGAACTGAAGTATATGTACGCCCGGATTCAGACCTCGACCATCATATGTTTCTAGCTTTAGCAGACGAACACTTTACTCACTGCACTACGACGAGGACACGTGAAATCTGTGTGATCTTAAACCCTTTTAATAACTGCTTCGATAGCCGATTATCATAATGGTAGTAGAATCTGTGATATTGGGTGCAAGAGTACACAATTTGTTATAGGTGCCATGATGATAGCAAAACGTTTTAGAAAAAAAATACTTCAATATGGCAGGCATGTTTGTTCAGCGAGAAAAGTAAAAAAAAAATCGATTTTGATACAGACCATAGAGGAGAAGCTAGTCTCAAACAAAGTCCACAAAACCCTAATACGCGATACTGTAAATATATAATAGACACATACAAGGGGTCATGGTGAAGCACCTTTTATCTGGAAAAATAGGCCATAAAAGCGCCCATTTGCTTGAAACGAATCGTGAAAAGATTAGGGATCAGCGATTGATAGCCCTCAGTAGACCTAAGTAGGCCTGGACGGAATTGTAAACCTATTGCTAATCTATCCAGCTATTGACACTATAGTACATAACACTGAGCGTGACGTCGTACAGAAAAGCTATGCACGCGATTTTCAATATGCCCAAAAAGAAAAGAACTTTGGCGCTGCAAGTCGTTGAATATTTCGAGATAACACACGCTATAGGAGTAGAACCATTATTTCGATAATAGATTTTTTTTCGCATTTATCGAAAGGTAACACTAAATTAGCATTACGGCTACAGCGATCTCCAAGTAGAATGACGTTATTCATATTGAAAAAGGGTCGCACCCTTTATCGAAGCCTGACCATGTTCGATCATTGGTACCGATACACAGATTCCAGAATATTTCAGCAGCATATGAGAAATAAAACAGCGAATTGGTTTAATTAAAATAATAATAGAGAAATGACTTACAGATAGAATGGCCTGCCGAAATTAAAGCCCAGGTGTAAATGCGATTACATGATATGTTAGACAACGCTAGGTCACGGTATTTATAACTAAAGTTTTATGTTTAATTAAACATCACGCATATTCAGCATAGCTGTTTGCTGCTGCCTTTCTTCTATATTTCGAATTTTACGTCCGGTGTCGCCGTTAGGCTATCCATCAGACAGATGACTGCCTTCCAGTACGAAACGGACCACATCCTGCCCCTCAGATTACGGGACAAATACGTTGCCCACTAAGCTATCATGTGGACTCTTTATCTCTACCTAGTAAGACTCTACGTAATAATTAGGCTGAGATGAAAAAATAGGCTAAGACAGCGACGACGGTCTAATCATAGATTTCGCAAAAAAAAAGCCCAAGATGACATTTCTAGGGTTGTCATGTGTTTGTTGATTACGGCTTTCGCTCGGATCGCCTGAACTTGGAGGAGTTTCCAGAGTGGATGGGTGAGCGTCAGGCAATATTAACTCAAAATAACGCGGAAATATGTGCAAGTCTGGTATTTTTACTTCTCAAACATAAATATGTTCATTTGATTCAGTAACTCGATAATTTGCATAATTGACTTTCAGCTGCCCCTTCCATGACGAATCGCGGTATTGTTGTCCTAGCGTTAGTTCGATGACCTATTAAAAGAAGGGATTTAATTCCAAAAATTTATTGTACATAATATATATGTTTACTTCAATACTCAAATCAGAATAAACAATGATTTTACTACCGGTTTTAACTCGCATCGTTCCTTCAAATTTTTCTTTCCGCGGAAATTTAAACTGCTTGCCATAGTGGTAAGATCCAATCCCGGTGGATCTGCGCGAGCTGTATTTACCGTGAGGCGCATTGTTATTGTGTACGATCGTGAGTTGCAAGGGATCTCTTCCACTGAAACTGTAGAAACAGTTTTTTTTTTTTTTAACTTTCCTTGCATAATTAATCTAGTAGCTGAATGGTCATTCGTCGTGTGGAGCCGTTTACTGAAGATGAATAAAATCAAACCAGATTTGCCCCCTTTAAGACGCGACCGGGTATGTACATTCAAAAAATAGGTGTAGCTGACTTCAATAAGTTTTTTTTTAGATACTTATATCTATTTGATTTTGCAATCGGTTTGTTAATTTCAAAGTGATCAACAAAATCGAAGAGCGCGGAAATAGATTTGCAAAATGTTATAATCGAACGTTGTCGTATGAGTACAAATGTTCGACAATAAAAATCGAACAATCTGTTCGATTTTCAACTTGCTGAAATAAGAATAGAGATAACAACACGCTGGTACTAAATGCAGATCGATTATACTAGTTTACGTGTTCTTGTCGATATGGATGCGGTGCACGAGTCATTTGTTTCAGTGGATAATATCGAAGCAGGCTGTAAAAATGAGTAAATAACAAACGATAAGTTTGTCTGTTGGTTTGTGTTTAGTAAAGACAAATTTTACTGTCTTGATCAAAAGCCATTGTAAATTTCCGAATTAATGATTTACACACATATCTTATTGTAAATAGCTTCTAAATGTATTATATCTATGGTATTAACGTCTACTATATAAACTATGGGCAGTATAGATTTACAGCATATTGGAAATGTTATTCATTGCTTATTATCAAGGCCATAAATTTCCAGACCGACGGGAGGTGTCTGTCGCACTAGCGACTGTGAACCAGGGCCTTTTACCGCTTTTATTGATGTAATAATATCAATATCGTGCTGTGCTGTTGTAGAGTTCTTATGCGTGTAACAATAATTAGTGATATTTTATCGCAGATGTGGGATCTTATTGAAGGCGAGGTTTCGATGGATATGAACGCAGAGTGTGCAGTAGTTAACTGCTCCCATACACTAAGGACACACCCTCAGATTAAGTGAGTGATAACGTTTTTTTTCACTGTTCTCCGGTTTTGTGTGTTTGTTCAACCCGAAATTCATATTTTTTTTTTAAACCTAATTTCGGCCACAGTTAAGATACTTCTTGCAAAATGCGATCTTTCAGATAAAATAATTAATAGTTTGCTCATTGTATGAATGTATTTTCCAGATTTTACCTTTTCCCGACAAATCCAACAGAACGAGTGATTTGGTCTTGTCTGTTAGGACGAATTGAGTTCGATAACGGTCCATGGGTGCCGTCATCTGGAGCTTGCGTCTGTCAAAAACACTTTCTAGGGGAACGCCGGTAAGTGAAAAATACGTAGTGAAGCTTATTTAAATTTTCAAGTCAGCATAGGTATGAAATGTGTCGCTGTTACTTACTTTGAAAGCAAACGATTTCAGCCAGATCTTTCGAAGGATATAAATAAACTCAAAACGTACTGCTATATATTAAGCTAGATTATTATACACAGCTTTATCCTTTTACTCGTCCCATAGGAAGATATATTCGTTCCTTCTATTTGATTATACCACAAGTAGAAGCTGTTATTAAAGTAAACAGATGAAATGTTCGAAACTTTGACCAAGTACTCTTCCTAACTATTTTTTCTGGTAGTAAAACCGAACAGGCTGTTCGTTGGTGTTCTTATAATATAATCGCCATCAGCGTTTTATTCTGCTTATTTTCAGGTTGAAGGTACCCGATCTGGGTCAATATTTTCCGTGTATTTTTCCTGCCATTCGCATTGCCGATACTTTACCTCTTAACTACAAGCGAGCCCGAAATGCCCGACATTCTGGGTATTACATTCATCATACCAGCGTAAGCAATGCTCTTTTTGGCACTAAAAAATAACGATACCGTGACATCGATTCAGAAAAAAATGTCTTGTCACCAGAAATGTAAAGAAACTTTGGATAGCTCCTTCGAATATAGTTTTGACAGATTATTCGTCAAAAAATCTTCGTGTGGTTGGCTCACAACTGTCCAACGTTGCCTGTAAATACATGCGTTGTGCGTTGAGTTCGCTTCATTTCTATCTTAATTTGTCGACATGTTCATCATGATGAAAGAGCGAATATTTTTCTATGAAAAATTTCACTTTTGCGTCTCCTTAGCCGAAAATTTGAATGCAAGTCAGATATTTGCGGACCTGAAATTTTTCTGAGGTGATAAAGTGTGAGTCGATAAACGGTAAGTGGATTTAAGGGTCAGCGCTCCAAAGTTTGTTGAGCAAAAATTATGTGAAAGATAAGAATATGCATGTAAAACGGCGGTTGGGACTCGTATCTTCAGATCGCTCAAAATCTGCCAAAACACTGAAGTGTCTTTCCTAACAGAAGAGGGCTGCTAAGATGCCGACAATGATAGTGTGCGGGTATTGCATGCCCCTCGAAGTTGAATACGTATCTTACAACCTGTTTAGTAGTGTCGCGAAAAATTAACGACGTAAATGTTTTTCCAGTTGTGTAGCAGTTGTTACTTCTCCTATGGCTATCCTGTTTTGTCTGGCATACTTACTAAATTTTTTAGCAAAATATTTTACAGAAAACCGACCAGAAGCGTACATCAATTATCGTCCAAAAAGCCGAAATGCCAGGTAAACAAATGTCCTTTCTGTCGTAAAGGTCAGCTAAAATTCAAACACTATTTTGAGCCGCATTTATTTATGAGCTATAACCTTTATTCTGATTAGAAAATATAAAATGTGTCCTCCTTCTTGTTTTAAGTGAATTTTAGGGTAATATTGAAAATAAAAAACGAACGTGAGAAGACAACATGCTGTCTAATATATTAATTTAATATATTCTGTCTTTTCCAATTGACTCTTGCCGTGATCCAAACCGGGTAACCAGAACAAATGCTGTAAGAAACGGGCAACAGCAGACCCCCATCTTATAATCTATCGTAATAAGTAGTACTTGGTATTGAGAGGTTTGCCACTTTTCAATACTGAACGACTCTTTTTGTTCTTACAGCCGTTACAGTTCTAATAGAAAAAAACCGATAATGTCATTTTATCTACTATTCAACTTCAAATGCTCTCCTTGCGTTACTCATTTTTAGAGCCAGATCCAGAACTCGATGGCCTAACATGGGACGAGCTCGAAGAAGTGATGTACGAATCAATCTACAAGCCTTCCGTAACTAAAATGCATGTACTGGCGGCTGAGCTGAAGTGTGATTTTACCAAGCGGATGGAGAAACTCACAGAAATATCCCGTAGGCTAGATGCCACGAGAATTGACCTCGACCTTCAGCGGCAAATCAACGTTGTAAAAAGTTACGAAATTTTAGCGCGTAACACGTTTACACATGCAGGCAGCCTCACGGGCGGCGCCCAAGGCGATACATCTCATTCTGCTAGTAAAATGACCCAAAAGTCAGCACCGATCAGCTTGGCTACTAAAACTGGAGCCGGAGGCAGCGCCCAACGACAGCAACAGAGAACACAACGTAAACCGATGATTGACGTACGAATGCCTTCTATCGTCAAAGATACTCGCTTCACGAAGTTAACACCACTCAAGATCAATCAAACGGTAGGTCGTCTGAAATTTAGCTAGCAAGTAGAATTAACGTTAGTCTTTCGTTAGTTTTTTCCATGGCAAAAACTAATGTACGTGGTCTTATTATCGTGATATCTATTGTAAAAGGCTCTGGAATTCCATCAGTGTTTATTAGCAGGATATCATATATTACTACAACTCTTAACCATAATAATTAATAGTATGCATCCTTTATTTATAATAAGTTTCCTTCAGCTTATTGACATTCACTGTATTCAAGAGATACGATTGTTACAAAATGAGCGTATTATAAAATCTCAGGATCTAATGTCACATAGGATGTTTTTAGTTAGTACAATGATCATAATTTCCTAGAACATTAGAAACCAAATAATCCATTGTAGTATCTTGTAAGCATAATCCATTCTGTCAAATAATCCATTGTAGTATCTTGTAAGCATAATCCATTCTGTCATTTCCGACTTCTTTCCGAACATTTCATCCGAATAGACATGATCCTTAGTTCGATTTGCAACCCGTGTTTGTGTTAAATTAAAATCAATTTTAATACCTTTAAAACATAATGATTTAGTTATTATACTGATTTGTATTCGTTGCTCGTATTGACCATTCCTACCGGGATTCTTCTCAGGTTTTCGTTCTCGAAGGCCGGAAAACAGACGCCTGGGGTAAAGGCACAGTGACGAAGGCTGTCGATTACGACCACGATAGCGTTAAGGTCCGGGTTGAGGGAGCAGAAACGGAGAAGTCGTTTTCGCTTGGTCAAGTTGCCTATTCTTCCCCACACAGTATGCAGCTCCAACTTGGTTCACGTATTGTGTCACAGTACGTGCCCGACAAACAGTTCTATGCCGGCGTTGTCATCGAATATCCTAAATGGCAGAATCGACACCGGTACCTAATTCTGTTCGAGGACGGTTACTGGCAATATAGCGAACCATCAAACATGTATCTCATTTGCAAGCAAACGTCGATGCCGTGGAGCCACGTCAACCAGCCTATTGTGCCATTTCTCAAGAAACACTTCTCGACAACGGAGCACGCGCTTCTACGAGCCAGCGTCGGACAGATGGTGCATGCGGAACGTGAGAAACAGTTCTTCCTTGCTAAAGTAAGCAGTGCCAGCAAGCTAGAAAACGCCTGCATCAAATACTACATATTATGTCTAAATTGAACTATTGTATTTTCAAAATTAATTTTTCATCGATGAAAGCTCGCACAAACTGAAGTCGATTACATTTCGGAAAATATTTGTCACACGGGGTGTGTATGCATTAGAGTAGTATCGCGCTTACATTTCTTTTTTTTTTTGTTCTTTTTTTTTGAAAAGCCGATGGTGCTTTTACGACAAAAAAATGTTTAATTAAAGAACATATTTAAACGAACTCTAAAGCATGTGAGAGAACGGTTGACTTTTGCCCTACATATTACGGCAAAATGACATTCGTTTGCGATTTTCTGCCCGGATTTTAATTTTTTTTAACAGGTTATGGCTGTCGACGGCAATCTCTTAAAATTGGCGTTCCGCCACTATGGCGACACGTTTGCTACCGAATGGATCTACGCTGGCTCACATCGTCTAAAAGACGTGTTTGAGCACCTCTCTCAAACAAACAAGAGTAAACACAAAATCGCGCGTCGAAAAACCGGGAAAAAGGGACAGCCCTATCTGGAGTTCGCGGACGACACCCTTGACGTTATCGAGTTATCCGACAACGAAGAAGAAGAGAACAAGGACCCAGAAAAGGACACAGATAAAGATAGCAATAACGATTCTAACGGCGAGGACGAAACGGAAATTGGAAGTGAAGGCGGAAACTCGGACGGAAGGACACGTAAAAATACAGCTCGAAAGTCGACTGCGATCAGCAAATTGCATCATGTTCAAGCCGGCACTCTACGGATGCCGAAAAACATTTCGAAAGCCGATTTGGGCTTGCAGGGCTCGATTGAACGAGTGAAAGTGCAGCCTGTTCACTCACAGATACCATTTGTGGTTCATAATTGCTCAAGGAACTGCATTCATCCTGATGACGATCCACTAAAATTTACATCGGTGAGCCCCTACGTGATGCCGTACTTTGTTGGCTGGACTCGACACGAGGGATGGCTAAGGAAGAAGGGTTTAGTCATATACAGAGCTCCCTGCGGGCGCATGATGCGGAGCCAACGCGATGTGATGGATTACCTGATAATGACGGAGAGTAAATTGACTGTTGATCAGTTTTGCTTTGAATCTGGCTTCGATCCGTTTGCCGTATGGAAGCCAAGTGTTGCCAACTACTTTCAGGAGGATATTACCAAGGGCACAGAGTTTTACCCTATCTCTTTAGTCAACGGCGTAGACAGCCACGATGACCGTGACTCCGTTCCTTATTGGCCAGAACGTCGTCCCACCAAAGCGGTTGAAAAAGTCATGCGGTTGGATGAAGATTTTTTGCCATGCTGCACGTGCGAAGACGATTGTTTAGATCGGAACACATGCGAATGCCAGCGTCAAACGGTGAACATGTCTGATGCTCAGGGTGAAATCAACCGACACGCTGGTTACACGTTCCGTTCCTTATCCGAACCACTCGTGACAGGTGTGTTTGAGTGCAATTCGCGATGCGCTTGTAGCAAACGATGCGTCAACCGCGTGGCGCAAAATGGTATCCAGTTGCGTCTACAGCTGTTCAAAACCGAACGTAAAGGTTATGGTGTGCGAACCCTGCACGATATCCCGAAAGGTCGATTTATCTGTACCTACGCGGGAACGATTTTAACCGACATTGAGGCTGATGAAAGCGGACAAGATACGTATTTCGCGGAGCTCGACTACATCGACAATGTAGTCAAACATAAGGAAGGCTACGAAAGCCAAGTCGAGGAAGATATTGAAGATATAGATGATGAAATGGACGCCATTGGTCTCGAAACAACTACAGGGTCAGGTAGTTCGATATCGGCTGCCGCCAGTGTAGCCGCAGGCGTCACGTCCAATGGAAAGAAAAAGCTCGACGCTGATGGACTCCGGCAACTTTACTTTGGAAAAGAAGAAAGCTACGTCATGGACGCTCTCACGGGCGGAAACATTGGCCGATACTTCAACCACTGTTGCGAACCGAACATGTTTGTGCAGAACGTCTTTGTGGATACTCATGACCTTCGGTTTCCATGGGTAGCCTTCTTCGCTGAACGCAACATCAGCGCTGGTGAAGAGCTAACCTGGGATTATATGTACGAGGTTGACTCGGTTCCGGGCAAGAGCCTGCGATGCTATTGTGGTATGCCTAATTGTCGTAAGCGACTTCTGTAATTTAGTGAATGGCAAAGTGAGTAAACACAGAGCTGTTCCTATATGTATATTTATGTATCCACAGCATGTATATTTATGTACAACATGTGTCGTTGATTCCAGGAGTCAACCTTACGCAGTCAAAGAGCCCGGTTTCTTAAACTTGCGAAGGTCATTTTCAAGCGAGGGAATTTTCAAGGAGTGCAAACAAAGCTGAATTTAGGTATGAAAGGAATCTCGATGTAACGTGTTGGTCAGTTGATGTTAGGACATAGGCAAGCTCAAATTCAGTTGAGTTAAAATTCACAATGAAGCTCCACGGATCTCGCGAATGTAACGGAAGATCTCAAGCAAATGGGCAAGCCATGCGGTCGTAGGCGCTGGTTAGATACCAAAGTGCCACACTCGTGTCATTTAGCAGTAGATCATTATTATTATTATTGTTACATAGTGTACAGATTATAGCACTATCACCCTCAATTACATGCGATTAAACCTATTTTGTGTGTCGCATGAAGGGTACTGAGCATGCTTATATCTAACATCAGACCATTATGAAATTAGGTATATTTTCAATTGTCAACAAAATAATAGAAATATAATATTATTAGTTCCTATAAAATAACGTTAACTGTTTAGTTGGCTATAGTTCACGATAGACGGAACAACAAACAATGTTAACATGAACAGTGAAGTGCGACCAAGATATCTCGCCTATGACAGTATTGATTGATATAAAGTTTCAGTGTTCTAAATTCATTGTCTGTGTTTTCATTTCGCTTTAAACGTATTGTGGGCCTAATAGCGATTACAAAGGGCCAACCGATCGAAATTTGTTTCTAGGTTGGCTCGGTTTTTCGCTTGAAGATTTTTTTCTCATTTGATGAATATGAATATGAAAAACACTTCCACACTAAGTGGTCCACACTAAGTGGTGAACTCGACTGAACAGAATCCACACTAAGTGATGAACTCGACTGAACAGAATCCACACTAAGTGATGAACTCGACTGAACAGAATCCACACTAAGTGATGAACTCGACTGAACAGAATCCACACTAAGTGATGAACTCGACTGAACAGAATCCACACTAAGTGATGAACTCGACTGAACAGAATATCAGATTGATGAAGATAATTTTTTTTCGAAATCGCCTGGCACATGATTTTTGTCATTGCGATTACAAATCACAATCGGTAGCGTAAGATGCCGTGTTTGGATATTATTATTATTCGGTTAAGCGGTTAGTTTCAATATACGCCAGATTGTCGACGGCACCTAATGCATGTGTGAATAAACACTGAAATATTGTTACAGATAGTGAAACTCATATTTCTGCAGCCTGTCTTAACTCTATGACTGTCTTTAATAGATATTGTGGAGTGGCTTTACTGAAATATGACTACTGTTTTTTTTTCAGATCAGTAGACGGTTTAAATAATTTAACTTATCAAAAAAAAAGCTACATGTCCTTTTTTGACAAGTACTTGGCGAACCTGTTCAGGGGCGACTCAGTGTACTGCTACAGCTCGGACAGCAAATAAATAGCGTACTAGTGTGGCTTCTGCTTCATTCCCTAAGTCTTTTTTTGCTTCTAAGCTACAAGAGTGCGTTATGTTGCTCGAAAACGGCCAGTCGGACGTGAGGTGGATAAGTTGAGTTATCACCAACATCTGCAGGTTCTCGGCTTTTGTATTACCTAACCGAAATGGCCTGTTGCAATCTCAGTCAAGCGTACGGAGCTAAGTCGGTCCCGACAATTGGTTTCCCTTCACCTGCAGTATACATATATATATATATATATATAAATAATAGCCAGATTAAATGCACTAGGGGTTTTTCTCTCTCTGTTTTCTATTTATTCTATATTTTTTTTACATTTTATTCTGTATCAGATTTAGATGTTTACATTGCGGATGTGGTACAGTGTACTGCATAAAAAAATCAAAAATAATTTTTGTATACGCCGTTCGTCTCGTCCAACGTTGCTTAATTTTTTCTACACGGTCTAATCTGTAGTTTCAGCCTTATAATAAGTTGTACTGGAGGGCCTGTTAGCCATTTAATAAACTCAGAAATTAAGCCGTTGACGCGCTCTGACGTATTCTATACTACCCTAAAACACTCTAAATTGAGGATTTGGTTAATATTTTGAAACATAGGCGTACGTTGGCTGAGAAAAGTCTAAACATTATATCTGATAAATGGGCAACTGTGTAACAGGCGACAAACAGTATTCTTTTTTTGTCAGATTTGAGTTGACTTACCCACTTCATAACGGAGTCTGCTTCATCCGTACTAGATGCGTCGACAATTCTGTCACGGAACAGATCTTAGTAATTTATCAATTCTCTAAACCACTTGCTTATTAACATAAGCGACGGAAAGACGCTATCATGCATCTGAGTGTCCTTGCTCATCGGTGGTCGAATATGCAATGAGATACTTGCTGCATGTCCAGCCTGTTATTAGTAGGAACTTAGTGCTATGGGGCTTAGGCCCTTGAGGCCTTAAATCCCAGGCGTACAAATCAAATCGTGATCACACTCGTATATCTCCGCGTTACTTGAGTGGTGAGAAACTCTCCAGTTTGCCCCTCATAGAAAACTAGTGTAGAATAGGAAATTGAGTAAGACCAAAGGGGTAAATGCGAAATAGCTTGGTTAGCACGATTCATGTGAACGAATATTTAATTTGGGCCGACTAACTTGTGAAGTCATATTCATCCACTTACTCTTAAGCTCTTCTCAGAGATATCTTTTAAACACTAATAACCCGTTGAGCACTATGAGACATAGTGTTCGTTTATCGCTTATTCTTGTGCTTCAGACAGGTACCTTTACGAGAAAGGGACGAAAGAAAGTAGGCCTGTACGCATCTTTTATGCACTATCGGTAACTGCCTATTTTCGGCTACAGAACATAGGTCTTGTGCGCAAGGATCCAATTACGAAATTATGCATGTCCTTAGTTATGATACCATGGTAGAACATGCATATTAATATAGCTATATTTTTTATTATTGATGTTTCTTAATAATTACTAAATATATAATAAAATATACAAACCTACTTATAACCATTTCTACGCGCATTAGGTCTAATAAAAATGGCCTGACCTCCCCATGTATCATTAAGGTGATAAGTAGAAGGATGTAAATTTTAAACACAAAGTAAATTTTCAGCAAGGAGTAGCTTGTTTCTGCTTTGTTCCTTGAAGCGGCTCCTTATGCTGAGCAATATAGATTGTCTCTAGCGGAAAATAACGCTAATCTACGTGAGTGGCTAGGGTGTGTCGTGTCACTATGATTGTGAGGCGATAACCATAACGAGCTCTTTTAGTTGCCTTTGACGTTGGAAATCTGAAACCCTTGCCGTTGTTGCGTGCGCATTTCATCGCAGAGCGAGGCATTTTATACTCAAATATCTATGGAGATAACCAGGGGTAAGACCCAGTTCCCGCAAATCCTCACAACGATTTCTGCCGTCATCACATTTTTGGGGGTTGTCGGGTACATTCTTTTTCTATCTTCCTTTCTCATGCTTACATCGTCCATTGTTTCTCATTGCCCCTTATGGGCAAAGAATTTCCCGAGAGAACGCGTTTTCAACCAATGCATGCGAGAATGAAGAATAGTGCTTGAGAGCCGACGGATCCCGGATGTGTATCTGTTATTCTAAAGTGGCGCCCTAATTCGCGCGCTATTTTGTTCATACATTTATTCAACACAGAATACTAACTCCGGTATGCGCATGTGTTGAGGAATAAGCTCTAAAATTGATGAAATAAATCAATAAAATTTATTGGTGAAAAAACTTATCGGATTTTGCTATCGTTCATCTCTTTCTACTACTAGCTCTCCGTAGCTACTATTCAATCAGTTACATTACAATATGTTAGCGACGGCTGAAGAAGGTATCTTGCAGAGATGACACCCAATGAGCTGGCGTACGATCCAGCAATTGTTATTATAATAATTACGATGGTGCTAGTGAAATAATTAGCGCGGACTAATGGCCCTCAAAGCTCCTTATACTGTCAAACTAGCTGTGTGACCAAAGATGCGTAAAGATTGTCCAGGCCTTGTCTGAACAGCCAGGGCAGATATCTTCTGAGAAGACAATGCTGACTTGCAGATTCGAGAACGTATGTGATCATTTGTGAATACGCACATGACAGAAGGCATATCATACGAACCAGCTCTACAAAGTTAGTTAATTAATACAGTGTCTATATAGAAACCTTTCTTCTAGGAACCCTTATGCACTTACGTCTACTTCTTAGTTGGTGTTCGCATCGCTACTATTATGCTAGCTCTCAAAAAATCCTTATCAAGTTTTATAATACATATATCTATGGCAAGGATCTAACTCGGAACATCTTAATAGGGAGTTGTTTGCTAATATATTTGTTAATATATAACTCTAATGAATTGTTAAGGCGCTATAAAAGTGTAGCAGAATTAGCTCACTTTGGATAGCAATAGAAGTTATGAGATGAAATACATTTGCTATGTATTTAGAGTTTTATTAAATACTATTGACTAATTACGAGAACACGTTGTTGATATGTTAGACTGGAGTTTTTTAAAACTACTCTTTTTTGATACGGCCTTGAAATTCAACATTTGGATAGTTACTCTCACTGCTATTACACCTAATTTAAATGAGCTAGGTGTACTTCAATCTCCGCATTATTTACTATTCTTAGAGTCGTCAAACTATGATAAAACTGTGCGGTGTTAACATGTGTTACTTCCTTAAATAGATTTAATAAGTAAATTCTGAGTCATGCTAAGAAATTGGCCAAATTCGTTGCAGATGTCGAGTTCTTCATCGTACATCTATCTCAACAGCAAGCAGCACTGTTGTCGCACTAACTACGGACAAAATGTCCACTCCTAGTCCACACCTTCTGTCTACTGATTTTTCGCTGGGCAAATATCGACCTAAACGAAAAGCAAAGCGAGAAGTCCATCAAAACGCCCGAGAATTCTGCTAGGACGCTGGCGTTTAACAGGACGGACCCATACAGGTTCAGGACAACGACATAACCTTGCTATGATCGGCACAAATCTGTATGGATTCGTTGCGTGAAGCGCGGCCAATAGTGGTCTACCCTAATCTCAGGCTATAATTATATCATCAATTATGAGCACAATGTGCCTTTAATCGAGATCTAGTTTTCATCCAGGGAGATTGAAAACAAATGCAGATTACTGTCCAGCAACTTTACTTTTTCATAACAATAATCAACTAATTTATAAAGGATCTGTATTAAGCTATCACACTTAAATAAAGAAATGATAAAAATCCGATGTGACGTTCAACATAAATGAAGTTTCGATGCATTTTTCTGCATTTCTTTCTGCAAATTCGCCAATAGGCCCATCGATAAAAATACGGCAAGAGAGAACTAGTGCTGGATAAAATCTTTTCAGACGGGCGACCAAATTTATTCAAGTTTTCCGTTTTTTTCGTTTGTTACCCTTAGAAGCTTACTTTGTTTAAACCTAAGTTTGTTATTCCTAAAGGTCACTTACAAGGAATGCGCTGTTACCGTTAACGAACCGGTTGATAAAGTGGAGAGGCCAATTTGGAAAGGTAAGGTTCCGGTTTAAATGCACAGCCCACAGCTGACTTTCACTTCCGAGCGCTTCGTAGTTTTCGGTTCTGGAGTATTTTAGATCCTACGCGTTTGAAAAGCATAGTACTATCGGTATGGTATAGCGTCTCGCGTAGATACAGCAAGATCTTGAAGCCGGGATCACCAGCTGCTATAATAACTTTTCGAGAAATGTAAACCTTTTAGAATCGCAGAGGTAACTGGTGCAACGCTAAAACTCGCAACTCAGACGATATGATTGTATTCGAACAGAGTGTTTTGAAACTTCCGGAAGGCAGATTTTTGAATTAACAATATAATGATGAACGATAAAAAATTATTAAGAAAGCGACAGTTAATTTAAGCGAAGCCAAAATGATCAGCTTTTTTAACGAGAAATAATAGAACTAACAAGTTTTTATTAAGTTATATATATATATATATATATATATATATATATATATAGCTAAGTTCCTTATAATTAAAAATGGAAAGCGCAATTCTTGCTTGCGATTGAGTCCTGTAAGCAGATATTTTAGCTATTCGGTAAAAAGTTCGCGTTGAAACCTTTCCCGAACTATTTTGCTAGGCTGGCTAGGTAATTTAAAAAATAATATATCTTCTGAAGACCTCTCCTCCTAAAAATTAAAATTCAGAAAAGCTAATTAGGAAGTTATGCGGACCCCCCCCCCCCATATATTGATAGACATTAAATACGTATTTAGTCTGTATGTATTTAAACATTAGGCATGCTTGCCTTTAATTGTTGACCCAAACGAAGTCCTAAACCCGACATGCAGGCACCATGTAAACACTCTTCTTCCTGACCCGCCAAGGAATGGATACAGCATAACCTATGAGCGAGTCTAAACAAAGTATTGTGCAGTCTTAGAGTGCAGAAAACTCTAATTTACACAAGTGCCGAGTTGCACGGGGCCTTGAGAGCTCTAGCCAGAAAGACATTTCACGAAAAAATAGCACCGCCCGGAAGTGATCCGGATACGACCACTGCAAAAACAGCCCAAGGATGTTATGAAAACAAAATTTAGTAATTCTATGCCCAGGGTAGTCGCAGGAGTTGACACTTGTCGTGTCTCATCCTTAAGGGGATGTTTTGAAATCTATGAATTTAACTAGAAGTCAGAAAACAAAAAAAAACATGACTCTACATAGCTGTTTTGAACACAAGTAATTTTCTCATCAGCTATGCAAACCAACTATTCCCTTAGCGATTTTAGCTGCATTTCGTTGCTTGTCACAGATAAAAATACCGTTGAGATGTTAGAAATATATAGAAGCTATTCACTAAACCTCTGAGCTTTGCATCTTGACGAAAAACGTAGATTGCGTGACGCGTACACAAGCAATGCCAGACGACAAAATGACGCTGATGCATAAGCATTTTCGGCGGTTGAGGGTAAAAGCACTGTGCACTGCGTGAGTGAGGAATGTCAAACAGAAAGAAAAAGAACACAAGCGAACAATGTTCCTGACCGTCGTCGACCGCAATCACATCAACGGACAGAAGCACGCTTCAGTTAGACAACTACAGATGTTAAACGACGAAAAATTTATGACAACTGAAAGGATTTACCCGATGATTCCTTCATTGAATTTGTTTAAGTCACAATAGCAGTTAATACGAAAATTGCGTATCTGGGAGAAATAATCACAATCCAGATTCGTACCTGATCTATTAAGGCCAACATTATTTGGAACGATAACAGCAGTCAATCTCAGAAACACTAATGTCGCTCTTAATTACATCTATTGAGTAACAAAAGATTGAGCATAAGGTTCTAAACGACGATACGCTAGTTCAGTTGTGTTCTGTTCAGGGTAATTTCACTCTATTGGGAAATGCCGTCACTATTCAAGAGTTATTCGCCACGAAAACCTCTGAGGAGAAACAACAAACAAAACAATGATATATAATAACATATTTGCCTAGCCATAGTAATTGCAGCATTATCGCTCCAACATCTTCGATACTAACAAGGCCAAAAAATCGCATCACGTGAGATGAGTTCTATTTTTTTTCTTAGTTAGCATGCTGTATAAAGTATTACTAACAAATTATACTAAGTTAGGAGGATAGAACTTTCCGTTGAGATTGGTCTCCTAAACAGAGCACTAAACTAAGATGCACTTATATGAGCCTATGTGGCGTACCGAAACAGTTGGATGTGCGCGACGCACATGTGTCATCCGTAACTGATCGATCCCGAATGTGAGACTCATTTTTTCGCGTAGCTTATTTTTCGTATATTGGCTGCGGTACCTGCGCTGCTGTCAACAAAGCCTACTATTATATAACTGCGTTAGCGACGTATTTATTTGTACCCAGCCCAAAATAATCAATCTGTTACTTACAACCGAGAGCTTAAGATTATTGATACGGATAATGATTGACAGTACGAGCAAAGGACAAGTCAGTTTTCCATAAAACGCCTACAATTGCCCATTACGTTGTTTACAATCTTGCGATCTAAAGAATCATCGCTGTGTATATGATTGTCATTCCTAAGTACGTCTTACAGTTAGTCTGTAATTTCGCTTCCGCGCTATAAGTTCGTGTTGAACTTTCATATTTCGCTGTTGTGACAGTAGGATTAGGTAGCTTACATGCTGTCTTCGATTAGTAATATTACTGAACAATAATGATAGTTCTCCGTTTTCTATTAGTGTTAATTAACGACCAGGCAACTTAGTTGTTAGAAGCTTTTACTTGAGGGAAGCATGACACACTCGTCTAAATGGAACCGATTTACATGCCCTGACGATGTATTCATTTAACGCATTTTAATCGACTTGCTGATACGACCACCTCGGTCCCCCCACGGTCTGTGATACGCCAGCAGGACTTGGATCGTTGTTCAATAGGGCATTGGTGGCGGAGAAGCCGTTAGGCCGGCGAATCCGGAAAACACGCAACTCGAGTTCATGAACGGATGGGCCAGCAAATTCAGGGCGTAGAACCAAGTCGGGTCTCTGTATTAATTTTACCTCCAACGAATTTAGGTATAGTACTGCATATGTGCTACTTAGGGCCTTCTGCTATACCGGCTTCTGCCGTTACCTCAACAGACACTGGACTCAAACCACATCAAACATGTAACATATTTTCTTGCTCAGAGCAGAAGACTTGTTTGACGTTGAAGGCCAACTTTTCTCGTCGTCGTTGTTGCGCTAGCTGCATCAGAAATTACCTCAGCCAACGATATCTTTTAGTTTTTTCGAACGAATCACGTCTTGAAAGCCAACGAGTCGGACGGATGTCGCTGTACAAGGTAACAACTTTGTACATTTCCTGATTTCTGTAGACTACGAAAAAAGAACGTGTACACTGAACGGATCTGGCCGCTGCCGCCCTATGCATATTGTCTAAAACTTGGAACCAAGTCGAACAACAGTAGCTATCGGCAGAAGCGTAGTACTGGTATGAGTAGTGATCAAGGAGGAAGGGATGATGTAACAAGGACAATATTAAAAAGAAACCCTAAAGTCTGAACAGACGTTACCGAAGTACTGAGGACCAGCAGAACTAAACAATCTATGGTGCGCTTCTGTTAAAGTTGTTCGATCGATAAACAATTTGTTCTTCGTTGCGGCCGATATCGATTTCAGTGTTGGAAACAAACGAATAACAATAAAGAGATTATTATCGATCTTTGATTTTCTAATTGCAGACGACAAAAAATTATTTTTGCCTACTAGCTAGAGAATAATAGTTTCTCCGCATTATGTTGTAAATACCAGTAATTATCAAGGTGAAGGTCTCCTAAAAGTTTGAAAAAGTCATCTGGCAGTTAGAGAAGTTCTAAATCCCTCTGAATCTACCGTTACTAAGAATTTTCAGTCTGCTGAAAAATATATCCGAACAGTACCATTCAGTGTGTAACTTAACAATGTCAAATCGTTATGCCGAGACTGCGGAATCTTACAGTTACCTTTTCCTCGTTCTGCATGTGCTATGCCGCGGACCGATCTAATGCTGGCCTTATGATTTGCCGTCCTAGACTGGTAAGCCGATGCGCTTCGTTGAAACCGCATTGAAACAATCCGACAATGGTCCGATAATCTAATATGTTGTTGTTAATGTGTATTTTTGCGTGACAAGTAGCAATAAACGCCTCATAATTGAAGACCTCCCCTTTGACGTCTTAAAAATAGGATGTCGATCAATCTGATGCCATGATAACAGCGACTGCGCAGTAGTCGTCTAGTCCTTGTCTCGGTTTTATGCTCAACTTCGAATGGATCTATAATTGCAATATAACAGTGACGATGTTTGTTTAATTCGATAACATTAAGAACGTCAAAGCTTGGACGAAATGAGCATGTCAGCACAAATGGTTTATTTTATCGAATAAGGTAAGTTGTTCGTTGTCAATTAAGGTAACTTTGCGCGCTTATAGATTTGTAAACAGGTCAGTGTGGTCGTATTGTTTGTAAATAATATCTGCACTACTCTGGTTCTTGAGCAACATGCTCAAATTTAATTATTTACGCCGTTAATAACCCACTTCGACCGGTGTAGAATTGAGGTATAGCTTTAATGTGGAATGTTATTACACAGATGTACTACACAAAAGTTCTTGAAGGTATGGTCAAAGTGCAACCGATCAATGAACTTGGTCTGCCCACCTGTTTCGTCTGTAAATCTTGCAACGCGGGTAAAACATCAAAGATCAAAACGAAAAACACGGTTCCGATCCGTGCTCCTTTGTTGCTGGCTAATCCTTTTCCTACCGACCGATTCATAAACTAGTCGAAATTGCAATGACGATAATAACAATGCTAACTAAGCACTCTCTTATGAGCGACCGCTTATGCAAAAATAAATTTTTACCACATTCGACTCAGGTATGAGCAGTGATATCATTTCTGTATCGTGGTAGTTAAGTCGAGTTCTCTTCGAGTCTCTATTTTTTCCCTTCCTTCGGGTTGTCATCCTTTCAAGAAGACAACCGGAAGCAAACAAACGAAACTGTCCACCCCAACACTCCCAGGACTTTTTGATGTGTGCTGCAGCAAACGACGAGGCTAGCGATGTATTGGGCCACCCAAGCAGGCGAAAGAGTCACTTTTGCTTCAACAGCCTCTTTGTTACCATCAGTTGCCTGCCTTGTCAAGCTCGCAGGTACCCTGCGATTACTAGACAGTTGAGAAGCGGACGTTGCCATCTGAAGCTCTGTTCAGCCTGCGTTGATTACCAGTTAACCCCGTTCCTGTCCTCGGCTCTTAAGCTGTCATGTTAGATCCTAAACTCCTTTAGAGTCTTTTCGTTATCTCCCGAGATTCGGATTATATGATGATTTGGACGTTCACTTTTAACAATTCCGTACTCTGGCCCTTCAGCAGTGCTCTCCCAAATGAGCAGACGACAAACTCTTGCGGCAGGGGATAAAGCGCAAAGAATGACTAAGCTGATTAGGAGGCAAAAGTAAACAAAAACCACCTACTTCTGTAGGAAATGACTTACGATAGCCCATAGTGATATGCGAATATGCCAGATCACCTTATCTTTAAACCATAGCTAAGAAAAGTCAGAGTATTGGGGGCATCGCAAAAGGCTGCAGTCGATGATCTCAGTATGGTTTACATAGTGAAATCATCCACCAAAAAATGTTCCAAGGGTTGTTAGTCTCAGAATCTAAACATATTATCTTTTATTGCTTTGCATATATCTTGTCTTTTGAATTTTGTTCGAAGTTGTGCTATGCTTTATGCATATAGAAAACAATGTGCATTTATTTTATTATTTTAATACACCATTTGCTTGATATTTCTATTATATAGATATATATACACATGTGCATGTATATGTGTGTTTGTGTACAAACCCTTCAAATACGTGCATGCATATAAAACGGAAGTTCGACGTTTACGCGTAATACCTAATGCTTTCGAGTCAAATCGACGATCAGGAATACATCTTCGCTTCTTATAAGTAAGCGTCAACCCGTTTTTTAAAACTATTCAAACATATTCACCCGCACGTAAATCTGCTATTATATGGCTACCATTATAATCCAAATACGAACGAAGAGTTTGCTTGCTTTCAATGTTGGGATTACCATATTTCGTTCTACTATTGGGACCAACCCCTCCTAATAAGGTTCTTTAGCCAACAAGCCGACCAACAATCCGGCCATAGCCAGAACACTATACGGTGCCGCCGACGCCTACACCTCATAGAATGCAGGAAGTCTGTCGATTATGAGGAATTGCTTGCATGACGTCTGGAAATAACAAGGTCTAACTTGGCCTAACCACGACAGTCATCCATTATACTGTCGCTGCGAAAGGTACAAAGCATGAGCAGATTAACTAGTTAGATCTAGAATTAGCTTGGAGCTCTACTGACCATTCGACGTTCCTTCGGCCGGTCCCCTTCAGCGCCTCCAATATCGATTTTGTTATCACATTATACACAGGGGCAGACAGAATAAGTGAGATGTGCGTCACTTTCCGTAGTCCTGTAAAGCAGGACGCTGCTGTGTATATACAGCTGTCGCAAAGAGTTTCCACGATAGTGACAAATCCGTGCGAGCCCTTCTAACCTATAAGAACGAAAGAAGCATCGTAGCACAGTGTATATAAATGTGTGTCTCTACTGTAAGTATTATCTCCAGAATCGATTGTCTGTAGTAAGGTAGCCACAGACCGTCGGTCCTTCGACTCAAGGAGACCGCAGTTTTAGCCGCAGCTACGTGTTCGAATAGCTGACTATACAAGACACGATAGAGTTAAGCGATGAGATGTTGTTCGTTAACGTACTTTAAGAGAAGCGCGCGTGATCATGGGTGCAAGCCGACTTGTAAATTTTTGATTAAGCCAGTAAATTAACAGCGTTTGTTGACAAAATGTAAGAGATGCTATAGACCGAATAGTGGGAGGTAGTGATTGAGCCATTTCAAAAAAGCAAGGTTTTCTGTAAATTCCCTTTGTTGCGGGTTCTAAGATAAAAGCTCATAGATACGGTGACACTTTTACATGTATGGACTATAATAAAAGACAAGAAGGCGGTAGAGGCTTGGATTAAGTGAAAGACGAGGATTAAAATGCCCAAAGGACCAAGTGCTAAAGGGCAAAGAAGTAAGTCCGTTGTAGAGTATTGCATGACCATCTTCCATTCTCTTCATTCTTTTGTGAGCTTTTTAGCTAGTGGCACTTCTGAGTCTTCATGGTCCGTCTGTTGAAGCATTTCTTTGCCAACGAGTGTCATCTCACCGCCATTTTCCTGCGAAGACTCGTTTTTCGAGACTAGCTGTGGGCAGAAATCCAGCTCGTGTTGTCTGGGTTGCTCACGAAGCCAAAGGCGCTGGGACTTCTACCGGATTTCCCTTTCTTCTGCTGGGTAAGTGAGACAAATGTGTGAAAAATTGTTGGACAACAGAAAACTATCGTGGTAGCAGACGGGGCGCGTTGGCTACACCGAAAAGCTTATCCTTCGGAAACTCCTATACCCATCTTTCCTTTCTTTTGCCCATATACCTTCGGGGTTCCTCATGCCTTATCACATACCCAGAAAAACTCTGGCACACTTTTTTTGGAAGTTTGCTCCACTGCATATTGCCCCCCCCCCCCCCTCTCCCCGCTCCGGTCAGCAGGCCCAAACACCTCGTAATTCGTCGTTATCAGCTTGACAAACGGTTCGTCGAGCTCCTGATTCCTTTAGACTGATCCCTTTAAATACAGCCAACCCTCCACAGACGTACATAGGCTAGTTAAGCTGGCAGCTATGTAGCCGAAAACTCGACTGGGGTGTGCCGGTGCTTCCTAAGCTGCTGGTTCTCAAGAGAGTAAAACCGAGAGAAAGTCCGGTTTGTTCCATCCCTATCGATACACTCGGCGCTCTCGACGCATTAGGAGAAGCATCGTTCAGCATTCTACGAGGGATTGTTGATTCCCACGAGAGCGTCTGTCAGCCAGAGAACTTAGCTAATCGAGAGATCCCCTAGTTTTGAGAAGGGCTTAGGTGGTTACCATGACGTCGAGTAAGTATTGTAGAAGTGGCGTGTATCTAGGGCTTGCCTGTTGCTCGTCGTAATTTACCCTAGATGTTCTAATTCGTTCGCTTCTGAGGCAGCCGGAAATAGGCCGCTTTTGCTGTTCAAATATGGGGGCCTAGAGCCGACAACGCAGCGAACACGAAGCAACTCCAGCAGATCGTTGTGGATTAGAACACGGATTTTGTTTAGCTTAAAGTAATGCCTTGCACCGTAAATTAGTAACGTTTGCCCATTGAAGTATTTGAATCACAAGCAACAAAATAGTACGCAATATTTGGCGCCTTATTTAAGCGTCGCCACGTTTATTCTTCAAGCGTCTGGACTCAGGCTATCGCATGAACTTTAGAAACCGACAAGACCAAATGTTTGAAGTGCAATCGTTGTGTACTTAGGGTCCTCGCTTCGTTCAATTGTCAAGAAAATAGCTTTTATATAAATGGACAAACCAACTGTGACTTTTGAGGTACAGGAGACAAAACATGCACTATGATTTGTGTTGTCGTATCCTAGCTGCCCTAAGCGTCTCAGGTTAAACGTTATTCAACGGTATTGTTACACAGCTGGTCAGTGTTCATAAATATCTATAGCATAGAATGAACTTCTGCTAAAGCTTGCCGCCGACTGTATTTGATCTCTTTTTCAGACCAATGAACAGTAGCGCTCATCTAGATATCTGAGAATCTAGACCTAACTAATATGAGTATTCATTGAATTTAATTTGAATTTGTCCATTATTATTCACGAATTCATCGACCAGTCGTAATAGGGCGTACAGCCAAGTTTGGGTGTACAATTTGGGACGAAAATGTCTCACAGTACGTCCTGAAAAAGCTTTGTAACCACTGGGGCACACCCATCCCTTGGTGATGTAAGAAAGTAGAATTTGTAAATACTGCGTTTACTATCTGTTATCCCTGTGTTTATAAACAACTGGCGATCACAGGCGCATAATTAGCGTTAAGCTGTATTCAGGTTGAGTTTATATCTTTCATTTATATATGCTGTAGACTGTTTTAAAAACAGCCTACAACATATATAAATGAAAGTTTCAAGTAAGAACAACCGTATATCTTTAGTGCAATTAGCAGTATAACCTAGTTTAGAAAAAATAGGTTTCTTAACTTACAAAGGATTATTCTTTTTCTGCTTTTTCCTTACAAAAAAAGTAAAAGCAGTGTTTTGTCGCTTTTTGAGTTATACACGTCTTTAAAACCTTATGACTCTGACAATCAGACAAATTACCTCGGGCAAATTTGTAGCATAAACACTTGAAAGCTGGTTAAACGTCAATAATCAGCAAACTTAGGCAAGTTTAAGCCTTCCGTGTAGAGGAACTTAAACCGATTTTCATATATCTTTCTTTTTTTACTGCAGAAACTATAAGGGCAAAATTGGCTAGGCCTAACATAAAACGCACTTTGGGTTTACCAGTTATTCTGGAACACAAAAAAATTATTAAAGAAAAATCATTTTTAATAATTGTAGTCAAAGCTCGCATTGGCCCTTTGCGCAAAAATTACTCTACCGTCCTACTTAGCCGTCTCACTGGGCCACAAATAGTTATACAGCTAAAAATGAACGACAACAAATATTATCTTATAGAAAATATATAATGAAACATAATTCCGTACCGCGTATTCATAGCACTGTGCAATAGGTAGCCGGGTTTTTGCACTGGGTTAGTTTTGCAGTCGTACGAGGAGGCAGCATACTAACTTAATTATTAGTGCTAAAAGGTTGTCCTCTGTAATAAGTTAGTCTTGTAACTTTAACTATATCTACAAAACTGACCACACCACACTTAAAATAATCGCCTTTGAAGCCGCTAGCGATTAGATTGTGGTGCGCTGCTGATATTAAAAATCGTTTTACACTTGAATATATTTAACAGAATAGATATTTGTATTCATTAATATCAGGGAATTTTTTGACATTCATGGTACCAAGATACCACTAAAACCGTTGCCGTAAGTTAAGTGGCCAACATGCTGAAGACATCTCTTGGGTCATATTATTTATGTGCATCTAAGGATATTCACCTTACACGCTCTAGAACAAGTCTTCAGCGACGTCTTTATACTTTTTTATTGGGACTAAATCCTTTGAAGCCGTCTCAGTGAGGATCAGATATTATACTGCGTCTCGCAAAAATTGTAACCCTTCTTTAAGCGTTAGCCATTTATAAGATGCTTCATCATTGCTATTGTTTAGTGAGGTCGCTGTGCGAAGCGTTTGAAATTTTTGTTCAAAGAAGTAGTGATTAAGGTTTTGAAGCGATTGTAGGAAAATCCTATTGCAGGCTCGCAACTGAATACCGGTAAGGGATTCCTTTTAGTAATAATGCAATGACAGGAAACAGGCAAACAAATAGGTAAGAAAAAGAAAGGAAAGAAAAGAAAACTGCCACAGTTGTGCTGGACCTCTGTTTGAGTTTTTATAGCTTAGCAGGAAGAATGATTACCATAGACCCAGCAAGTTATACAACTATGTAGAGTTCACGTCAGATTACTAATGATGGAAATTGATCACTCACACGCGTCACTGCACGTGTGTAAAATGGTAACTGAGCTAAGTAATTTTCTGTTTAGTCACTCGTTCAAAGACCAAACAAATACAATTGGTTGAAGCTTACCCCCCTTGAGTAAAGCTGTCTACTCTAGCACTGCCTATAGCTACTATCAGATCGTTGTTTTTCTGACGTGCCTATTTTAAACAGTTCCGAACAGAGATACTTCGATTGAGATAAGCTAAGTTTTCCAAAAATCTATCGGTATTTGCCAGACTTAGACGCGGTATATAGGCAATATAAAGAATTCCCCTTTATAACGCCATATTCGCGCGACGGCCGTTAGCATATTGGTGCCGTTCCTCACCTGTAGCCTCAGTACAGGTGATGCAGCCACTCGCTACACCGGTCGTCTTAAGGTATTCATCAGCTGCATGATTAGTATTAGCATGAAGTCGTACCCAACCGAATTTGACCTTTACTTAGTAGGGTGCTTCAGCAGCGAGCTATCATCGTACGTGTGTAGAGTTATCATAGTAATCTTCATATGTCATCATTGATTCACAAACTTTCGAACGTATCAAGTGGACGGGAATTGTTGACTACTATAATTGGGAATAAAGGTAAACGCTCTGCACCATCAAATCGATTACATATAACCCAGTGACAGAAGCCAGTTGTTGTAAGTAGGTACCGATGTATATCTTATACAGCTTAAAAGTCAATAACCGGATGCGCAACGACAAGAAGTCCATGAATCAATTGGATAACGTTTCTATCGTTTTACATAAAGGCCTAAATTCTTAAAAATGTGCTTCCTTGCTCATTACAAAGGTGTTTGAGCTCCTGTCTTCTCTTGAGGAGTGATGATTGTTGCTATCAACGTCACTACAACAACCAGCTAGTTATTTCAAATGACATCGTATATAGGGTAAATCATGGGTACGATGGGACACGGGTAAAGGTTGGCCGCTTGGGATCCGGTGGAATAAGTTGCATAGCATCTCATAGGCATTCTGTAAATGTGGCTCTTCACATAGCCAGCATCAACGATGATACTGCCAGAGAGGAACATACGAAAACGTTTCAACCATTTACAAAATAAGTTGAACGCATGAAAAGGGAACAACAAACTAAAGATTTTGTTCTTCCGATGAAGAGAATGAAAGTTCACTCTCTACAGAAGGAAAAAGGCCAAAATCTGTAAGAGGAATGCTATTACGTGGTCAGTTTCGATCCACAGGTTGGTCGATGCTTGGAAACCGCGACGATGCAACGTTTTGTTACAATATTTTTGGCCTTTTTCGGTTTAAAAAAGGTATTGATCGCTAATGAATTTATCAAATCTTGTTATAGTATACATTTATTTCAAAGTACTAGCACGATCATTGTTAAAGTAAAACGGGATCCTAAAGAGAGTGTTAGATTTTACGATGTGATCTAAAAAAAATGCCACGAGAAATGTTTTTATTAACGGCATTTTCGTATGTATCTGTTCCTTTGTTAATTTTAACCGCGGCGTAAAGCAGGTGAAGGTGTGTATTCTAATTGCCATAAGTTTGTTACAGGCCGAAATTGGACATGCTCGGAATCATTAGCTGGCTACTATATGAGATCCGATTTCATGAGCAGCCAAGTTACGTATTCTTACTGCAGTAATTAACAATATAAGTCAAGTACGGGCTCGGCTTTAACATCCTATTTAAAATAACTGTCGAAAAGTTAGTAAAAGGGAAGCCAGATAAAGAGTCAAATGTCGAAAACTTGCTTCTCCCCTTATTATTATAGCTATGGACAGTTCTGTTACAGGTACCGAGTCAACTTCTTATGACTTAACCTTAGGGACTATAACGGTGAAAAGATGAACCTGCTATTTTGAAGATTTACTCTCTCTCTCTCTCTCTCTCTCTCTCTCTCTCTCTCTCTCTCTCTCTCTCTCTCTCTCTCTCTCCCTCTCTCTCTCTCTCTATATATATATATATAATGAAAAAATACTTCGTAAAAAAGTTTGATTCTCGATAGTTAATATCTATACTTTGGCGTATACAATGCCTTTTCTATCTAAACAAAGAAGAACGCTATTTTTATTTTGTATTAGATCGGTGGGTCACAAACAAACTAGAAGGTCCACAATTGAACTTTGCGGATGCATTAATTTTCATGAACAGACGTATCTATACAACACATGTACTGAGGTACAGAACCGATCGGTCGTACAATATTGAAATCACTACATATCGATCTTAGATACGCGTCGCCTGACTATTTACCAAGAAACCTGCACTAGTTGGGCCACAACCACTTATTTCTGATCTGTTAGTAGATGGTACAAGGCCATTTGCTCTCGGGCCGTCCCGGCAAAAGTTTAATATAGTAAAGCTGCGGGCCACTGCGGTCTTGGTGCGCTAGAGGCCCACGACTGCTCCGATTAGCTCCGCGTGTTAAACCCAAGTACATTTTCGCGCGATGCGCTTGGTATAGTCATGTTCGCTAAATCATTTATATAGTCGAGAGTTTTGTCGCATGTTGCTGTTTCGGTTCCAATACGCTGTCTGCTATTAGTAAATTGGTTACAACTTCAAGTCGGATATAGTATTTATACTTCATAAATGCGTCATATACGAAAAATATGTCTTGCAGTGTGTGCCTAGATTGGATATGGGTCCCTTTAGCCCATAGAATACACTTGCGACCAGGTATCCCCTTAGTATAAAATAAATTACATTAACAATCCTATCATTAGCCGTGCCCCTTATAAAGGGTCATGAGGAAGTCAATTTGATGCTGGGTCTGTTGGCGTGACGTGATCGGGAAGACTAATCCTGCTGTTTTAGTGTAACATATGTTGTTGTTGGCAATAATAACAATAATAATTGCAGAAACAGTGACTTGGGCGCTGTGTAGATCCCTTGGTAAGACAGCCCTTTGCTCATTGGCCTGCTGACGGGTCAGCCATACTCACTTCCTTCGCACTTCTCGAACAGTTGCACATGGTTAGAATCCATGTCCGTCTATGAGGACGAACATAAAAATATCTACAAGAAGGCTCCGATATATTGGCATAAGGATATTTGCCTTGTCTACAGTGATGCTTCACTGAGTGTTCTTCGTGGCCCTGTTTAGCTGTAGCAAAAACGGCGGTTAACTAAGTGACGGTTGATCATTCTTCCTTTTTACGGATCGGATAGCTCGATACATGATCCACGGCATGTTTTCATACTTCGTAGAGTACTCGCCAGAGACGGACGTTGCAGAAATTGACGCGACAAAATCAACAAACCAGTTCTACATGCATTCGAAAAACGAAACGGATAATCAACGAGAGAATTTCGGTGACGAAAGTTTTCGTACACCTTATGAATCTAACGGATTGAATTTTCAGTACAAAAAGTTACGTAGGGCGATACGACCCAGCGCGAATGCTCTAGATTATTCGTCATTGCTGGACAACGTACCCACGATTGGTAAGTTCACCCACTTTTTTTTTCATATATTAACTTTAAATGCTTCCTCCCTATTTTCACGGAAATAGTTGTCAAATCGATGGCTCATAAATGGCCATATCTTTGCAATTTATGATTGTGCCTGTTGTAATAAAAAACTAATTTTAACTAACCGAGGTAATCTAAAATAGATTTACCTATTTTTCGAGTATACCAGCTTATACATATTTACCACATACTCTGATTGTATACGGAAAAATAGTATTAAAAGTACTCAATAATAATTATTATTATTATTTTGTTTTCTTATATAAATTCAAATCCCCTCCTTCGTCTAGTGAGGCCTGTAATATATATATATATATATATATATATATATAACAAAACGCAATGTCTACTGTTATATAAACAACACAAAAATATTAGAAAAATGTGTAATATTTCTTACCTCGGCAAAAATACGTAGATAAGAGGACTAAATAGAGGACGTTAGAAATTCGTTCGAGCAGGCCTGTGCTTTGTTTTCCGTAAGCAGGCGTATGCTCATTAATATACAGCATCATTATAAAAATCACTGTTGTTATACAGAATTGCTGCCTCTGCCGTACTCATTAAGTTTATTACTCATTTGTGTTTTGAACGTTACCATTGCTTCGGATACCGATCTAGTGATGTTCATTGATTTCAATTGTTTGCTCCTTTTGCATTTACGCTTGCCAGCGGAGCCAGTCGGATCGAGGCAAACCATGCAGCCGGGAGCGGAAGGTGGCATACTTCTGCCCAGCCTCGAGTTAAATAATAACGTCGTTCAAAGAAACTTCCCACAGATACAGGCAACGCCTCGAGGGATCAGACAACGTCAGAAGTATAGCAACGTTCGACCTGGTGGAGCTGGGTGCGATGAGGAAGCTGACGGGCTTAAACAACTTCAGACGGATCAAAACGAATCAGTGAAGCCGCTCCTGGTCGAACCCTTCGAGGCTGAAGTGATTAAGGTAAGTCCAGTCACAAAAACGGCAGGAGAACTAACAGAAGATTGCTAAAAGGTAACAGACAATGCCTGTCATTATATCTCACTATTACGATGTGATGACCAGTTAAGTGTAGATGTAAACAAAGATGTTCGAAGACTTCAAGTTTCAATAGTTATATCTAATGTTGATTTCATTGTTTAGTATTTAGTATTAAAGCGTTCCTTTTATAAACCCTTTATTTCTTTTTGTGTAGACAAACATTTATATAGGTGCTTAGTTACCTTTGTCATCTTATAAGGAGAACTTTGTCATGCCTGCCTCATTTCTGTATAAATTATCACTGTGGAATACTTGATCGATATATAATGCATTACGCAAATTTTGGTGGCGGAAGGCACGACTAATTGCGTCTACGGCTCTTTTCTTTTTATTTTTCTATCGACCAAGTCAACTGGGAGGGGCTTAAGTGATGTTTTTCATACTGTTAATGTAATAGAAACATTAAATATTCTTCTCCCTAGGATAGGCTCCCATTAGTTCAGTTTTTGTGCATGGCGAGCATTAACAAGGCTCGATAAGTTTCAACTATAGCCTATGGTTTTTGACCATAAATACGTGACATTTTAAGAGAGACGAGCTTGAGAAAGTATCTTCGACGCTACGTAAAATTGAGAGTATTCATAAACGCCGTGCGGAGCGCCGACATCGGCAGAAAGAAGAAATGGAAGTTCTACAAGCTCAGAAAAGCAAAGAAGAGTTTGGTGCTAATCAACAACTCTATGACATGATTCAGTAAGTATCGATTATATTGATATAAGGTCTTAACCTTTGCTTAGCGGGGTTTTTTTGACAAACTGAGTTTCAGCCTATACTAAGCCCGATTCTAAGTCAACTTCATCACTATTACTACCTAAAATATTTAGTTGCTTGAATATGTGATACGCCCTTTTACAAATACAAGTTCTTTACATTAGCAGAACTCTTCAAAAAGAAGTTAAGCTACGAAACTTTTACACTATGCTAAAATCGTCTCGAACCAGGCGCTTTGATTTTATTATCTCTAAACAGTTGGACTAAATCTTCTTTGAAACATCTTTCCGAAGAGAGCAGCATTTGGAATTAAGGGAAAGTATTTTAGTACTTGCTAGATCTCCGCCGTGTCTTTTCGGCCTTTTGAATTACAGTACGAAGGCCAACCTTATGGCTAAGGCCAAACGTTGCTGCTGAAGTACAAGGGAAAGAAAACGTAATTTATCATTCAGAAAGTCGACTTTATAATGTCTATAATGGCGTGCGTCCCGACTGTTTGCGCTTTGAGACAGTGCTAGATCCCTCTCTAGCAATGAAGCCGTATCGGTCCACTTATAATACAGTTCAAATTCCTCTAAGTGAACGTAGTGCAGGCCGTTGTGAAACATACCGTATTGCAACCGGGGCAAGAATATTTTATTCAAAATGATAATTTTTTATTGACAATATAATTATGACGACCAACGAGAAAAAATCGAACACAAATAGATATTAGTGCAACGTATTGAACATCCGCTTAGACCGTTGCTTCTAGGCTTCACGAATCTGAGCCTCTTATTGAATTCAAACGTCTGCCTGTTACTCTCGTTTCACTATAAATACAGAGGTGCTCTTTGCAACAAGAAAGAAAACATGCTGGGCAGATAAGGACATAATACTAACGCAGCTGTTTTACTAATATTAACGTTTCTATAGAACCATAGGAACCATATTAACGTTTCTATAGAAATTTTGCCTAAGCCAATATTCATTGGAAGTTCTGAATATGGCCATTAACAACCGAGATGCTCACTCCGAAATATCTTCCGAAATATTTCGAAGAACACCTAGCCTATATGAGACGTACCAGCATTGCTTTTATTAGAAGTATGTATCGTTTTTTGGTTCATTCATCCATTCTTTATTTATTAGTTTTGGCCCACTTTTCGTATTTTGCAAGCTACTGCCTGATTCCTAATACCGTCTACATAAGAAAAACGGCTTTTTGCGTCACGCCGCGAACACTTGGTTCGCTGATGGATCGACGCCGTGGATCTGCTAAAGTGATTAGCGTTTTTAGTCACATAAATAAATTTCTATCTGGCCGAACACTTTGGGTGCTGCGTTAGGCGTGTGGTATTCCTGACTGCTGCCAGGGATTAGTCTATGCGCGCTTCCTGCTCAAGGTTATATACTTATCTGGCGACTTATCTGGCGCGCGGAATCTACTGAATCCATACGTACACCAGAGCGCTTACTGCCCAAAACTTACGTCACTAGTACTGTTTTGTATTGCGCTAGTACCAACAACGCCATACATTTACCACGTTTGCCCTGCCTCTATAACGCGGTGTTTGTTGCGGAAACGATAAATACATTTAGACGAATACGTTCGCGTCATTCGGGGAAGTTATTTTGTGTTTCTACGTACGATTCAGTTGGTCAGTGGTCCTTTTGCATGAAGTGTACAGTCAGAGGCGCAGGAAGCGACATAGGAAAAGTCGTGTCCAACTCTCGGTAACGCAACAAAATGTGATTGTTGTTGTTTCTTTTGGGTTTCTTTGGGGTAATTGATTTCCAATCAATCAATCGCAGACAGCTTCTAACATCGAAACATCTTGCAATACCCTTGTTCTGGAAAATGCAGGATACCGAGTCTAACTATAACTCTGATCTTGAGATTAATTAGACTGACGTATAATACGAATACCCTATTGCAGCTAATCATAGAGCAGTTTAACGCCATCATATTATTCAACCATCGACGGGGCCCCATGTTGACAAATGACAGAAGACGATCTTGCTTACATTGACAAACGTCACACGACGGTAGTCAGTAAGTTAACAGCAAGAAGCCTAAACAGATCGGAATAGGTAACATATTGGTTAAACTTAGGTTTTAGGGTGACTATTATATCCTTAAACACAAGATATTATGTACAATTGGGCAAAACCCTTGCTAGATGGAGGACTTCGTAATACGATGATCTGAGTCTATGCCTCATAGATTGAAACAGATTTGCTAGATAAATACCATCTGCAATTTTTTTCTCATATGACAATGCTTAATGGACGCAAAGCTTGAATCGGTTTTTGAAATAAATAAACACGATGATACATCACAGAGGCACACACTAGCCTACATCGAGCACGCATCCAATGTATTTACTTGACTTTTTTCTATGGATTAGTTGACTATTTCCCTTTTTACACTCTTAGCTATATGCACCACAACTTACGGACCTAGAGGGCAAATGCTATCGACCTGTTCTACACTGCTGGCAATCTGTTGTTGAAGTAAGTTTTTTGTGTATATCTGTGTAGAACCCAACGTTCATTCCAAATCGTCGCATCACTGAATCGTATAGTCAACAGTTTAACATATCTGCCTCGTGGGCATTTATTAGTTTTTACCGAGATACTTAACCCATTTAATAATTAGTTGGAAATAGATTTGATATCAACCTTAACTTTATCCGGAAGTGGAAGACATTGAAGAGGATAATACAATTTTTTCCGTTTTACAAGTTTCAGCTCCAGAAGACAGAAAAGTGCAATAGAAAAAATAAATTCGCAGAAAACAGATGGGAAATTGTGTGTTTTATGATACATTCAAAGCTTTTTGAGTGAGAATTTTTAATAATAAAGTTTTACAAGCGCTATGCCGAAATTAACAAAAACTATTAAATGTTGTACAAAATGATTAAATTGTAAATAAATCAATCGTTGATGATTTTAAAGTTGAATATTCTCGCCATTTTTACATGCCGGTTATTATCATTTCTCTGTTTATAGTCGCTACTTACATGCTATCTATATGAAGCTATCTTAGTTCGATGCCGTAGCATATGGATCTAGTCGTGCAAGCACGTAAGCTTGACACATATCAACGTACACTCTTACGGACAAATATTTTTTTGCCGTTCAATAACTGTCTAGTACATTACTTGTTCATGTTGCTCTATATTTGTGTTCTGGGCTTGCCCACCCGAATTTGCTCATAGGGCGTACAAGGCCACTCTGCCACCTCATCTCTCTGGAGGAAACTACGACGCGTCGGAAGTAGCGATCTGCGTTGTGGTCCGGAAACGACCTTTGAGTAACCAAGAAATTGCCATGCGCGTTGTCGACGTGGTAACCGTCCAAGTAGACACCGTAATCGTGCATGAACCAAAAGTCAAGGTCGACCTAAGCCGCTCCATTGATAATATTAAATTTCGATTTCATTTTGCCTTTAACGAAGACTGTGACAACTTCACCGTGTATAGGTTCGTTTTGTGATACTTTAACAGACATTTATTTATTTACTTTAATAGATAGCTATTTCAATAGGTCTCTGAGTGATTCGCGCTAACTCAGCTTGATTGCCAGTTGGCTAGCTCGGATGTTATTCTATATAGTGGTTTTCATCGCAGTTTCAGTTTGCTACAATGCCAATGCAGAACTCTACCTTGGTGTCTACTGGAATTGAAGGCTACTATATGAAACTCATGTTCCATTAGTCATAACATGGAGAAAAAATTAGGAAAAATAGCTTCGTGGCTCGACCGGATCGTTTGTTCGTAAGATGTTCGTTACTTTATTGGTTTATTATGAATGTCAATAACAAAAACATCGATGGAATCGCGTCTGGGCGGATCTAAACGGAAGAGCACCGTAGAGGTACAGGACTTTAACGAGAGTGAAGATATGTGACAAATGTCCGATAGTGAACGAAATTTGTGAAGTGAGTCTGGTCTAGTCTTGCCCATTTATTTAAACGAAACCGACATAATCGTCTTCGATAGTATGGGTTTAGATAGACCAGCATATGTTCACGTTGGAGAAAGTCAATTTTGTGTAAAAACTAGCCCCTATCAAAGATATTTCATGTCGCGTAGAAAACGCAATAGAGTGCATTTGGCTATAGAGAAATATATACAAACGTACATACTGTGTTTCGTGTCAAGCGAATGCGGTGCAGGTTTATTGGACCTATTTTCAACACCTGTGTCTGTTCCATGGGGCAAATTTTACACGTTATGTTTACAGCGCCAATGTACGAACTGAGTTACCCGTTATATTCCGGCATAATAAAGAGAACAAGGATAATTGCATTTGCTAGTGTACTGCCAAAAGTATGTGACCAGTGGCTCCTCCGGTCAACAAATCGCAAACATTTAGAAATCGGAAACGTCATGGCACTCTTTGTTATATGTCACATCATATCCCTATAAGCACGGCGAGTGAAGTGTTCCTAGTTCGTTTTGTACCAAACTGCGGTAATAAATAATGCTAAGACGTCCAACTATGACTTGCATCGTGGCTCGTACGTGCAACTTGTATCTTTTGCACGCTCATACGTCACACATGTATTCTTGTAAATGCAACCATTCGATGGTTTGCGAGGGAACTCCTTGTTTCTATGGCGCTACGCCATAGACCTCTACGGAATTGTCTGGCTTGTAAAGTATTCTAATGGCTTTGATTTTTTCTACCTCTATGTTTCGAACTTTACGTCTGGTATCGCGATCAGACATTCGATCAGACAAACGGCTGGCAGGCTCCCAGCACGAAACGACGTCTGTCTGTCTGTCTATGCACGGATTCGAACGTAGAACACAGCGGGTCCCCAAAATTAGCAGGCAAATACGTTACCCACTTTGCTGTCATGTAAACTTATTTTTTTCAACCTGACGGATGTTTTCCATCCCGATTACTTTAGAATGCAGGACTTGCAAGTACAAAAGTAGATTAGAATTAGAAATGGCCAAAGTAGCTATTAAACGTACACCGATATTATTTCCTTTATTCATGTGAGCTCTGAACGGATTCGGGCGTAGGAATTCTGGCAGGCAAACATTGCCGTGCTTCATAGTATTATAAAATATACTATCTTGTTAGTGATTACAGGACGAAACCCATTTGCAAAAGGAGCTTTTTTCGATTGTTCCTCAGCTTGTTGTAGTTATCTCAAAATGTATAGAGCTTACGCTCACGATAGGAACGGAAATTGCTCGTTTACTGTTGAAACTTATTAAACCTAAGCTGCATTTACATTATTTTTTTTTTTTCTGGATACTATTCACTGGATATTTGCTTTCGCATTTTGGGTTTACCATAAAAACTTGTGTCCCGATTGATTCATACACGTGTTAACCATAACAGCATCGAACTCATCGCGTGCAGAATGATTTGTTCCTCCACCGCCTTCATCTACCTTATAAAATCATATAGACCATCTGTGCCTTGAATGGGGCGTAATCATTTGTATTTATACTTCGTAGCTACATGTTCATACGCTAATAATGTATTCATGTATCGACGGTGTCCTTTAGTCGTAGCAAGAGCTGTCGCACCGATGGTGGCTTCCAGTTTCTCCTTTTCCTGTTAACTTGATTCATTCGTTTTTCCACCATTCATCCGCCACAGGAGATGAGCCTTGGAGGCTTGAATGGCACCTCGGCCTGATATCAGGTAGGCATAGCAGCCTGATCAAAACACGAGAGCGGATTACATTGTGTTGTGTAACATGTTACCGTGATATAACATTATATATTGTTCCTGCGTACCGTAAAGGTACCAGGTATGGTGAATGTTAAGAACTGGGAGTCATCTGAGTCAGCAGTGCAAGCCAGGGAAATGTGAAACCAACATGCTGCTTTACCGCAGCATCATCTACGTGACGTGAATGTCGTGTCCGACCTCGGGTCTTTCAAGGCTGCGTCGTAGTGGAACAATACTCCTTTAATGCCTATCGCAGACAGACACGACAAGGGGGCGAGCACGCCTGAAGCGCCCGATGATTCCTGAAAACTGACGATCCAGACAGGATTTTCTGGGTTTATAAAAGGAAGAATGAAAGACGAAAAGAAAACCCAAGAGAAAAATAATAATACGAAATACAAAAGGGAAAAAAATAAATGAGACAACTTTATGTTTTAGGACTGTGTAGTCCCGTATACTGACGTATTGTGAGATGTGACATTTTGGGCTTGCGTATTTAAATTTTAAAATAAAATAAAAAAAAAATTA